GCCCTGCCTGGCCACCCGAACCCGTTAGTCGCCTCTGACGACCAGTATAATCGCCTAGCTCATGGGTTGCTGCGTGTGCGTGCGTGCGTGCGTGCGTGCGTACGTGCGTGTGTCCAATAGGCCAAAGAGGCGGTCAAACAGGACTGGTCCTTATTTCTTCACTGTACGACTGTGTGTTCTGCGAGTTGCAAGCGCTGTATGCACGCAGGGATCAATTAGGAGATACAGTTGCAGAAATGTGATCTCTCATGGTGAGCACTGACTTGATCAAACATTGCATGATCGAATAATAACTGTTGTCGTGCCAAGTTATCGTGCTCCTGTCTGGCGGTGGCCTCAGTCTCCGTGTTCTCCACAACACACAACTCACGGCTAATTGTAGCAGACGCCTCCACCACGCGCTTCCTTCAATCGGAAGTTGCCGGCAACCTCCATAATTTACTTCGAGTGGAGTGTTGGCGTCAGTAATAGCTACGTAACTCATAAGTCCAGCTGGGGATATCACCATATGAAATATCACACAGCAACGTCTATTGTGTAATAATAATGATAATAATGATAATGATGATGATGACGATGATGATGATAATGACGATGATGATGATGATGATAATGACGGTGATGATGATGATGATGATGACGACGACGACGGTGATGATGATGATGATGATGATGATGATGATAATGACGGTGATGATGATGATGATGATGATACTAATAATAGTAATAATAATAATTCACCCAAACCCTCTTTTCTGCAATTATTTATTTTAATCCGTAAAATCGTGGAAAGCTAATCTGGAGATATTACACGAATAAAAACCCCATTTACACTGCTCGTTCCGTGGCGCCGGAAACAACGTCAGCCGTATTTAGACATTGATGAATAAAACGTCCTCGTTGTCGAGTGCTTCCCAGAAGACTAGTGTCACGTGATGACAATCTATCATTTAAGGCAGGGCGGGACAACTTAGGAATGGCCAGGAGTCCGAACTTGACCACACAGAAGGAAGCGAGCTACAAAAACATGTTTTATATCATTGGAAAGCTCTCGAGGAGTCGAATCCAAATAATGTGTGTCTCAGTGTGTTCACATGTTCACAAGCTCAAAAATTGGCTCAGAAAATGCATTACTGCAGAAATTTCTGGCCGAATTTTTTTTTTCTGCAGAAATTTCTGGCAGTATTTTTTTTTTCTACAGAAATTTCTGGCAGAATTTTTTTTTCTACAGAAATTTCTGGCAGAATTTTTTTCTGCAGTAATATCAACCATCAATCTTTGGAGAGTTTAAATTGAATTAAGCAATTGAAGATATTTATCTTGGTATTATATTTACCAAATTTATCAAGAAAAGTTGACGTCACTCGAATTAAACAATTGAACAACATGTTGGCCTCATACCTTTGTATACTAGACAGATGCAAATCATTGAACCTTGAGCTTACCCTATAATTATCTTAATTATTATGAGAATTTCAGTGACCATCTTCAATGGCCTTGTTACGACTTTGAAGTATACAACATTAAAGGTGAATGTGATTCTCAAAAAATAAAATTTCATAATTATTCCATGGGGCCAACCAAATATATAATCCCCAGTTGGAATTCAAAGAAACAACCTACATGTGATATACGGTACTCTGAAAGTAGGTTAACTTCAGACATGGAAAAAAATAGAACACAACCAAGATTTTACAATATAACTGCATATATTGTTTCATAAATTTCATTGTGCACATTTCATCTTATATATGTATATTATATATATACAATTCTAAATACACAGCTTTACTAAGAAACAAAAACATACAAAGTACAAAACTCCTGCAATGCAATCCTCGGCAATATCTCAGCCACATAGCTTAGACAAAAAATATGTTCATTTCAGCAAAACTTGCTGCTCCTTCTTTATTGTTCTGATACTGACGCTTGTCTTCGGTGCTTTGTCAGAGTGATCTGAAAGTAATGAAAATAAATGTAAAGAATATGAGAACATAATTAAAATCACAGTGCATCTATACAGTAAAAGCAAAAATAGTAACCTCATGAAGTTGGGTTGTTTCTCTGCCCACATTACACATATTCTAAGTAACGCTGACTAACCCTAATATTACACATCACAATACATATTTCAAAAGAAATGCAATATTTATTGAAATTACCTTTGATTGTTTTTGCAGTTTTTCATTGTTATTCTCTATTGCCTCTTGAACTTTAGTTGGGAGGGTTGTCGCTTCCCTTGGGGCAGGCATGAAGGGCTTGAAGTCTGATAGCTTGGTGGTGGGTGTCCGGATGTCCCCAATCTTGAAGGAGTGCCGATGCAATAAATGAACTATAGTTGACGACATTGCACATAAACATTACTTACCAATTTCAGTGTTTTTCCTTTTGGGCAGATTTCTTGAAGAAAGATGTCTGCCTTGACTGTTGATGGCGTTGGTAAGATCTGTAATAGGGTAGCAACATGTTCAGTGAATATGACTTTGTTCATAAAGAAACCATGATCCAAACAGAAGGCAAAGGTTCTTCAAGATATATACAGTGTTTGGTGTACAAAAATAGAATAAAATGCTTCTTACCAATGTCAACGTTGTTGAAGCAGAGCTGGTGAACCCTCCTCAAGGCATCCAGAGCTTCTCACTGCGACCAGAACTTGGGCTTTCGAAGTGATTTACCGACTTGTTGAATAGTTATCGTTTGATCGTCTGACAGAACGTTCTCGACGATTTAACGATATTTAACGATACCTGATTAGGGTTAAATCTATATATACCATTTTTATGGTCGGGCGTCCACGGCTGATTGGTATATCAAATCAAACACAAGGGTGTATATTACGCTCCCTTGAGTGTTCACGCCTCACTGGGTGGTCACGTAATAAGGTGTGGCACCAGCATCTCGGGTTACAATTTGATATTAATTCAAGTACTCCACTGATAATGTACATAGGTAGTTAACTTAATTACATTCAGTTTTGTCCGACAAGGAGCGAGTTTACTTTTTTTTAGACACAGACTTTGTAACAGGCTCTACCCCTGGAAACACATATATTGTAAATAAATATTTTGCCGTTTCCATCAACCTTATCACGTGATGTTCTATAACTGTTGTCTTGTACACTATCCATAGTGTAAGTCAGCTGGCTCGAGGAATGTTCATATAGTATTATAATTAAACAACATACCCTATGCAACAGTTATGTTGCTACGCAGACAAAACTATTTTTATATTCTATATTAAATGTAAACGATCAGTTTTTATTATAAATACAAAACCACCTTTTGGGCGGTAATACCTATCACGCATTAAATAACATATATGAACAACCATGTGATTATAAAGTCTCACGTTGGTTCCTCCGTGCAACTTCATGCCTGACTTACATTCAACAGACTTAGATTCAAGTTGAAGTGTTTAGATGTTTTCATAGAGCTGTCACAGCCGAACCAGATTCAATAATAGGTATTATTCACAGGTGGTCAGTAAGGCGGAAATCATCATGGGACTACAGGGTTATGGTCATGGTTAAAAAGCTTGCTATCACCAATAGAGGCCAGACTGTATATGATTACTGTAATAACACAAGCCGGCCAGTGTTCCTTGATCAAGCATTGCAGGAGCTGGATAAGAAAGACAGAGAGAAGTGGTATTCAGATCTATTTAATGATAAAAATAATTCAAATGGAAACAAGTTAAGAACTTATTATTAGATTATTTCAACAAGACATTGAAACATGCCATTATGTTAAAATGTCTCTACAAAGGCAATATAGAAGTGTATTAGCATCATTGCGTTGTGGTAACCTGCCAATTAATATAGAATGTGGAAGATATACCAAGCCCATCACTCCTCTTTCAGAAAGACTATGTACTCTCTGTGACAAGCAAGCCATAGAGGATGAATTTCATTTTTTTGTAGAATGCAACTTCTATAAAGATATCAGACTATCTATATTTAACACAGCTAAATACAAGAAACAAATTTCACTGAATTTTAAAATTTTGAAAAGTTTCTGTGGCTTCTTAAAAATGACAACATTCAGTACCAGTTATCTAAATGTTTGCACACTGTGTACAGCAAAACGCGTTTGTGCTTATCCAAACTACCATAATTTAAAAAATATCTGTTTTTAGTGAACAATATCCTTAGGTATAATTCTATGTTCATATGTTGTACATTATCGGTGAAAGAATGTGATTAAGCAGATTAGTAGTTTGTGCTTATCCAAACTACCATACTATAATAATATCTTTTTTTAGTGAACAATATCCTTATGTATAATTCTATGTTCATATGTTGTACATTACCGGTGCGAGAATGTGATTAAGCAGATTAGTAGTTTGTGCTTATCCAAACTACCATAATATAATAATATCTGTTTTTAGTGAACAATATCCTTAGGTATAATTCTGTGTTCATATGTTGTATATTATTTGTGAGAGAAGGTGACTAAGTAGAAATTTTGAAATACGACAGACTGACCAAGGGGATTGGGGATAAACAGAATGACTGGATTAAAGTATATGCATGACTGTGTGACATGGTGTGACTTGGGGCGTATATGGGTGTGTGCTTGGAAGGGTGGGCAGATTGAATACAGAATGGTTGATTGACACGGTTGAACTTGTGCATGATTGAATGTGTGGGGGTCATATTCAATAATGCGTGTAATTGAGTGACCGAGTTGGATTTCTGTGACTCGCTGATCTGGGACATGTATAATGGGGGGAGGATGTGTGTGTGTGTGCTAAGGTGTGTGAACTGGTGACTAGGTTGATCTTGCATGAGAGTATATGTCCGTGTGTCTGTGGAGTGGGGCGGGGGGAGGGGTGGTGGGTTGGTGGGGTTTGCTGTATACATATGAAGATATTGTTAGTTATAATATTTTATTGATGTATTTTATTGATTGTATAATTTTAGGTGTCTTTTAGGCCAGTAATGGCCAGGTGTATTATGTACACATGACACATTAATAAACTATATTCTTCTTCTTATTATTATTGTTCTTTCACCACACTTACGCTTCTCCAAATTTAGAAAGAAGCTGTGTACACAATGTTCTTGCGAGTTACAATTACGCGTCCGGTTTGGCGGCAACTTCAAAGAGTGGACATATGGTTGCTCCTTCAGGTAGCTATAATTACCCTCTCTATAATGCAATATCGTATTATCCAGTTGTAATGAATGATAGTAACACTTAATCGGATTGGATTCAGTTAAATCTACATTTCTCAAGGTCTCTAACATTGAGATTTGATTATCTTTCATGTCAATACCTTCTTTGTCATGTGACTTGTATATATTCGTGTACATTCAGAATCGTACCTTCGCACAATGTCTTTGCACAATGGCACAAGCAACGTGGTCTCTTTCTGTAAAAAATAGCACTCTTTATTTCAGCCACAGCAAAGATCCCGAACCACGTGCAGTCAGCAGAGTTACAGCGTCTGGTTACCGTCTTGCAGTTACGATACAGGTAAGACGTCAAAATATTTATTGTCTTATTTCTGGAAACGCCGACCCTAGAACGTGGAATTTTGGTAACACGGTTATTTCATATAACAACAACCAAATAACAACCTGTACTCCAAACAGTGAATGTGTGGCTTTGCTGCCATGCGAAACGCGTTTTGTAAGAGTCTAATTTTAGTGTATTTATTTCTACCACTTTTGATAAAAAATTACGCAAACAAACTAATCTGAAAAGGAGATATCTCCATCCCCTGTGGTGTTATTGCGACTTGTATACTGTCTACATGTACATTAGGCAACTTATTGTATCTGTATGGCGACACTTGTAGTGTAGCTATGTGACCATGAATTTGCCTGTGGTGATCAGTGAAAGTGAAAACACGGAAAATTACAAAATACCAATCCATGCAGTATTTTGATAATTTACATGCGAGTTTTCTATCATTTATAACGTTGGAAATATTTAGATAAAAATAACTTTATAGACCCAATGTTTATTAATATAACAAATTGTTGTATTAATGTTTTCCTAAAATAAACATATATATCATCTTCTCTTATTGCCCCATCAAAGCTGGTGCTGAGATAATTTAGAATACCCAAACGACGCATATTGTACGGGCCGTGCCGCCAGACTTCCTGCCAACTTGGCAATTAAATATCCTCGGGTATTGTCACTTCATACGGTGATACATAGTCTCCCGCACGTGGTCGGTGGGTATTGTCTATCAGCGCCACGATCACGTGATCGTTTTGTTAATTACACTGTGTTACGGTCTCGACGATCCTAAACTTTCAAAGCCTTCAATAAAATTTATGAGATCATTATCTTATCTTTATTCCGACTGAATCATCCTTTATTTCAGACGCCCCCTCACACACACACTCCCAATGCAAAGTCACTGAGGCTTGACCGTTACCAATTAACAGCTGTCAATTAAACAGTTCGCATCTAAGTAGTATGTTATCGAATATATTGAAAACCGTGAGCGTGCTACTTTTTTTTTGGGGGGGGGGGGGGGGGGGGGGGGCGTTAAGGAGGGTGTTGGTTGTTCACAAGGTCACTCGACAAACAGAATGTATACGGGTATTTCAATAATTGTATGATATATTTAGTCCTTGGGCGGCCCCAATCTCAAAACAACAATAAAATCCTAATTCTCACCGACTCCCTTAGTGGACTAAAAGCCCTCCAAAACAAAATTACCAAAAACGACCTAAATTAATAAACCAAATACCTAAAAGCTCCGACGACCTAACAAAAGCAGGCAAACAAATAACCTTCTTGTGGATCCCCGCCCACGTAGGAATTTACGGCAACGAAAGCGCCGATAAAGCAGCTTAAATATCTCTCAAAATACCAGTAATAAGCCTAAACCTACCCATCTCAAAAGCAGAAATTAAAAGTGTAAACAAACAAAAAATAACCAAAAAATGGCATAATCAATATCAAAACTCAAATAGCCAAATCAAAAAAGTGCTCAGAAAACCACTAGCCAAACCTAAAATCCTACACCCCTCTAAAAAAATTGACAGATTTATTACAAAACTCCAAACAGGACACACGAACCTAAATAAACACCTAAAAAAACTTAAAAGACACACCACAGGCAACTGCCCCCACTGCAAATAACCCGAAACCACAGAACACGCACTCATCCACTGCACCCACTACCAAACACACAGAACCACACTACAAACCACCCTCAATCTAAATAAGGTTCCTACTCTAGATGAAATACTAAACCCTCAAAATAAACTAGAAAACTTCAAAGCCCTAGGCGTATTCCTAATCAAAACAGACCTAATTAAGCGCATCTAAAAACTAATTAATCTACCAATCCAAAATCCAATAAACATACAAACACCCACCTCACCCGGCTCCCTTAGTTCCCTCCTCCACCCACCTCGGCATTTATTCCAAATTTAAAAATTCCAAAACTTCAATATAAGCAACCCCTAAAAGCCCCCTCTTGGGTTGCACACATCACTTTTCGGAATACACTAAATGGTCCGGCCAGACCCGTGTGCGAAATACGCTACAGTCGGAAAGCGCACGTTAAATCTTCTATATCAGTCAGTCAGACCCCAGTGTTTCATATCATTTTTCCACCAAACTAAAAAAGAATAACCCCCAACTGGATATGTCAAGCGAACTAATTTTCGTTTCGTCTGTCGATTCATATTTTGGAAAATCAAGGGGAACCACTCCAGCTTATGCAGCACACACATTTGGGAAGGTTGCTTCAATAATAATAATACTTCTTACCATGGTTTCACAGTCGTTCGGAACTTTTTTAAGATCTGACACCAGATTATGCTGTCCGAAAATTTATCTATTTTTTTTTAGTGGAGACAAAGACTAGGCTAGCTTTACACTAAGTCTTGTACCAGGCTGGCCCCTCTGGGTAGTAGGTTTAGTCTCTCCTTTGTCCTTGGACCCCCTTTCCGATCATAAGGGTTGAGTACCCCTTGCCAATGAAACACGTGTTTACCATCCTTTTTACCTTAGAGCACCCATTTACGACACATGGTGTTAGTTTTGAGTTCGGTTATGGTTTAGAAGTCTCTTGATATAAACATATTTATTTCCATAAAGTGGAGGGATTGGCAAACAAGCACATTTTGCTTATCTGAATGCCTCTCCCAAACATGATACATAAGTCTCTTTTAACGAATTAATCCAATGTAATTTTCGCAGTATACTCATCCTTATATAATTTTCAGCTACATGACAGTGTGAACATTGAGTGCCCCCTACACAAGTATGCAGTCACTGACAACTTATGGAGTGACCTGTACAAAACGGAAGATGCAGACGACTAGTACAAGCACGCGCACACACACACACACACACACACGCACGCACGCACATCGCTATATAAGTGCAATTATCTTGGACGCGACATTCAACCCAATTTCAACTCACCTCACTTATCTTACTTTGTTCATGTGTCTAAAGCTTGTGGAATGTGTTAATTACTGAAATGAAAAGCATTTTAATGGTTTTTTCCTATCTTTTCAGAATATGTGCACATAGCTTTCAATGACCAGACGAAAAAAAGAATTCATTTCAAGTATGTTGAGAAGAAAACGTAAGTAAAGCACACTATTTACATTCATAATACATTTTATTCCGCAGGCTCTATTGTAAAGTTAAACTCTAGCTGCGTATAGGCTGCCATTATCCATTATATTAGACACTATGGATCCACTCATCTATACATCTATTTTCTTTTGTGACAGGACCCATCTCTGAAAAAGTCACCTCACCCAAGAAATGAGAATGAAAAGTGCAAAGTCTCCCAAGGAATTGTCTTGTAATAAAGCATGTGAATAAATAATTTTTTGAAATATCTCACGAAATTAGTTTTATTTTTTTGCTTGAAATCATGTGAAGCAACTCCAGGTTAAACTATCCAATGATTGAATCTTATTTCTCCTGAATTAAAATAATTCTGCTAAATAATTCTGCCAGAAATTTCTGTAGAAAAAAAATAATTCTGCCAGAAATTTCTGTAGAAAAAAAAAATACTGCCAGAAATTTCTGCAGAAAAAAAAAATTCGGCCAGAAATTTCTGCAGTAATGCATTTTCTGAGCCAATTTTTGAGCTTATGAACATGTGAACACACTGGGACACACATTATTTGGATTCGTCTCCTCGAGAGCTTTCCAGTGATATAAAACATGTTTTTGTAGCTCGCTTCCTTCTGTGTGGTCAAGTTCGGACTCCTGGCTATTCCTAAGTTGTCCCGCCCTGCCTTATTTACAGTCTGATAACATATCGTTGCTATGGTAGCGGCAACTTACATAGAAACAGTTTCCTTAGACGGATAACAAATCTGGATGTTGAAGTGTTTGCGACGAAAGTCCACACTCGCGAAGCTGTCTTTTTTCTAGGGTTAATCGTAATAACCCTTGACCCTGAACCCTGACCTCATATTTCGCCCTCAGAATACATTTTTTAGATGAGGACATTTGTTATGTATCGTAGATACGCCAAGAGCTAAATACATATACATATACCACTCAAATCTTGATTGGGATACAACAGAATAGATTAGTGTACAACACCTATGAAAATGAATACTTTGGCTTGTTTTAAAAAAACCCATTATGTTGGTGTAAATGAGCAAGTACCATTGGTTGGTTGGTTGGTTGGTTAACGCCGCACTCAGCAATATCCCAGCTATATGACGGCAGTCGGTAAATAATCGAGTCTGGACCAGACAATCCAGTGATTGATATCATGAGCATCGATCCACGCAATTGGGATCGATGACATGCATCAATCATGTCAGCGAGCCTGACCACCCGATCCCGTTAGTCGCCTCTTACGACAAGCCTAGTCGCCTAGTACGAAGGCAGTTTTATATACTCGTGAGAAAACATCGCCTAGGAATCCGTCCCGACTATCCCTATCAAACGTTGAGCAGTATGCACATGAACACGAGAGATTCTCAGTCCACAGTTACCGTCATCCCAGCATATAGTTAATCAAAGTATAATCAACCAGATATAGTTATGGAACCCGAGAAGGGACACTGTGCCCTTATAAAAACAAGCATAAGGTATCAAAATTAGTAGCGCTTTGATTAATTTGGACAATCTTGGCTTCTTTTTGTAATGCTCAAAACGCGACAATGCAACAATATCCCTTCCGGGTTTCCATATACAATGGTTCTTCCTTTTCTATTCTCGGAACACTCTCTAGTCCGGAATGGGGTGGTTACCTTCCGGTTTGAAAGTGTGATATCACATGAAAAGCGATTGTATTTCCTTAAGTTTCCGCAGTTGCAGTCTGACCGGTATCGTTGTACAACAATATGACCATCATCAACCAGACAAGGAAAACAATAGGGTCATCAATAAACCAAACAGTGAGAACAATGGGGTCATTAACAACCAGACAATGAGAACAGTGGGGTCATCACCAACCAGACAGTGAAAACAATGGGGTCATCAATAAACCAAACAGTGAGAACAATGGGTCATTAACAACCAAACAGTGAGAACAATGGGGTCATCACCAACCAGACAGTGAAAACAATAGGGTCATCAATAAACCAAACAGTGAGAACAATTGGTCATTAACAACCAAACAGTGAGAACAATGGGGTCATCACCAACCAGACAGTGAAAACAATGGGGTCATCAACAACCAGACAGTGAGAACAATGGGGTCATCAACGACCAGACAGTGAGAACAATAGGGTCATCAATCACATACAGTGAGAACAATAGGGTCATCAATAACCAAACAGTGAGAACAATGGGGTCATCACCAACCAGACAGTGAAAACAATAGGGTCATCAATAAACCAAACAGTGAGAACAATGGGTCATTAACAACCAAACAGTGAGAACAATGGGGTCATCACCAACCAGACATTAAAAACAATGGGGTCATCAACAACCAGACAGTGAGAACAATGGGGTCATCAACGACCAGACAGTGAGAACAATAGGGTCATCAATCACATACAGTGAGAACAATAGGGTCATCAACAACCAGACAGTGAAAACAATGGGCTCATCAACAACCAGACAGTGAAAACAATGGGCTCATCAACAACCAGACAGTGAAAACAATGGGCTCATCAACAACCAGATGGTGAAAACCGTGGGGTCACCAACAAGACAGTGAGAACAGTGGGATCATCAACAACTAGACAGTGAGAACTATGGGGTCATCAACAACCAGACAATGAGAACCTTAGTATCATCAACAACCAGACAGTGAGAACCTTAGGGTCATCAACAACCAGACAGTGAGAACTATGGGGGCATCAACAACCAGACAATGAGAACCTTAGTATCATCAACAACCAGACAGTGAGAACCTTAGGGTCATCAACAACCAGACAGTGAGAACTATGGGGGCATCAACAACCAGACAATGAGAACCTTAGTATCATCAACAACCAGACAGTGAGAACCTTAGGGTCATCAACAACCAGACAGTGAGAACTATGGGGGCATCAACAACCAGACAATGAGAACCTTAGGGTCATCAACAACCAAACAGTGAGAACTATGGGGGCATCAACAACCAGATAGTGAAAACTATGGGGTCATCAAAGACCAGACAATGAGAAGCGTGGGGTCATCAACAACTAGACAGTGAGAACTATGGGGTCATCAACAACCAGACAATGATAACTATGGGGGCATCAACAACCAGATAGTGAAAACTATGGGGTCATCAACGACCAGACAATGAGAAGCGTGGGGTCATCAACAACCAGACAGTGAGAACAATGATGTCATCAACAACCAGATGGTGAGAACCATGGGGTCATCAACAACAAGACAGTGAGAACAAAAGGGTCATCACCAACATGACAATGAAAATAATGGGGTCATCAACAACCAGACAGTGAGAACAATGGGGTCATCAACACCCAGACAGTGAGAACAATAGGGTGATGAACAACCAGTCAGTGAGAAACTTAGTATCATCAACAACCAGACAGTGAGAACCATGGGGTCATCATCAATTAGACAGTGAGAACAATAGGCTCATCAACAACCAAACAGTAAGAACAATGGGGTCATCAACAACCAGACAATGAGAACAATGGGGTCATTAACAACCAGACAGTGAGAACAATGAGGTCACCAACAACCAGATGGTGAGAACCATTGGGTCATCAACAACCAGACACTAAGAACAATGAGGTCATCAACAACCAGATGGTGAGAACCATGGGGTCATCAACAACAAGACAGTGAGAACAAAAGGGTCATCACCAACATGACAATGAAAATAATGGGGTCATCAACAACCAGACAATGAGAACCTTAGGGTCACCAACAACCAGATGGTGAGAACCATGGGGTCATCAACAACCAGACAGTGAGAACCTGAGGGTCACCAACAACCAGATGGTGAGAACCATGGGGTCATCAACAACCAGACAGTGAGAACCTTAGGGTCACCAACAACCAGATGGTGAGAACCATGGGGTCATCAACAACCAGACAGTGAGAACAATGAGGTCATCAACAACCAGATGGTGAGAACCATGGGGTCATCAACAACAAGACAGTGAGAACAAAAGGGTCATCACCAACATGACAATGAAAATAATGGGGTCATTAACAACCAGACAGTGAGAACAATGAGGTCACCAACAACCAGATGGTGAGAACCATTGGGTCATCAACAACCAGACACTAAGAACAATGAGGTCATCAACAACCAGATGGTGAGAACCATGGGGTCATCAACAACAAGACAGTGAGAACAAAAGGGTCATCACCAACATGACAATGAAAATAATGGGGTCATCAACAACCAGACAATGAGAACCTTAGGGTCACCAACAACCAGATGGTGAGAACCATGGGGTCATCAACAACCAGACAGTGAGAACCTTAGGGTCACCAACAACCAGATGGTGAGAACCATGGGGTCATCAACAACCAGACAGTGAGAACCTTAGGGTCACCAACAACCAGATGGTGAGAACCATGGGGTCATCAACAACCAGACAGTGAGAACAATGAGGTCATCAACAACCAGATGGTGAGAACCATGGGGTCATCAACAACAAGACAGTGAGAACAAAAGGGTCATCACCAACATGACAATGAAAATAATGGGGTCATCAACAACCAGACAGTGAGAACAATGGGGTCATCAACACCCAGACAGTGAGAACAATAGGGTGATGAACAACCAGTCAGTGAGAAACTTAGTATCATCAACAACCAGACAATGAGAACAATGGGGTCATTAACAACCAGATAGTGAGAACAATGGGGTCATCAACAACCAGACAATGAGAACAATGGGGTCATTAACAACCAGACAGTGAGAACAACGGGGTCATCAACAACCAGACAATGAGAACAATGGGGTCATCAACAACCAGACAGTGAGAACAACGGGGTCATCAACAACCAGACAATGAGAACAATGGGGTCATCAACAACCAGACAGTGAGAACAGAGGGGTTATTCACAATGAGGCCTTTTTTTAAAACAATTTTTCCGATCCTTGCATTAAAGTTATTCAGAGTTATTCAATTATTTTCTTAACTGAGACACCAGTGGATCACAAGAGAAAGTGTGCGTACAGCTGATAGATATTTCGGGCTTATTTCATGAGACAGTTACAAGCAAATTATCTTAATCTCTACATTGCCTAACGTATTAGGAAAAACAATAGAAATTGTAAATCATGTCCAGTAATGTTTTATCGCAAAATTGACATTTTCATCGGCGGAGTTCGTTGTCCTCTGTTTGTTCACCAAAAGCGATGTAATGTGGGTTTTTAATGATCATTATATACGAAATAGCATTTATTTTAACCGAAAGTTTGATAGTACTTACACCTACAGGATGCCTCACGACTGACCGCAGTTAATGCTTATTCGACGTATTTACGTGTTTACACAGCGTCAAATACGCAGGAATGTTGCGCCAATTCTAACCCGGATCTTCACGTGGGACAAGCATGGGTTAATGAAGACCAATTCTAACCCGTATCTTCTCGGGGGACAAGCATGGGTTGCTGAAGACCTATTTAAACCAGGATCTTCTCGGGGACAAGCCTGGTTTGCTGAATACCAATTTTACCCCGGACCTTCTCGGGGGACAAGCATGGGTTGCTGAAGACCAATTCTAACCCGATCTTCACGGGGACAAGCATGGGTTGCTGAAGACCAATTCTAACCCGATCTTCACGGGTACAATCATGGGTTGCTGAAGACCTATTCTAACCCAGATCTTCACGGGGGACAATCATGGGTTGCTGAAGACCCATTCTACCCAGATCTTCACGGGAGACAAACATGGGTTGCTGAAGACCCATTCTAACCCGGATCTTCTCGGGGAACAAACATGGGTTGCTGAAGACCAATTCTAACCCGGATCTTCTCGGGGGACAAACATGGGTAGCTGAAGACCAATTCTACCCAGATCTTCACGGGGGACAAGCGGATGCTTTCAAAACCATATTTTGAGTTGAACGAGTTCGATTTAATCGGGTTCACCGCTCTGTGGGTTATATTGTGTTCACTGAAGAAGTAGTTTGAACAAACGCATTGACATGAATACCTTGGAGATAACGGGTGACACTGGAGAACAATTACCTTGACATTTGATGTTAAAGGTATTCAAATATGTTACCTTGGAGATTCAATCCCTGATACCCTATGTATCAGCCCCCGGGCTTGAACTAATAACGGTATATGATCCTGCCATATGACAGTGCAGTGAATCTATAACAATATCATATAACACTATTCTGTAGATTCTATCTAAGTAATATTATTTCTGTTCATCAAGCTGTTTTATATGCCGATATACAATATGCTGCAAGAAAATAAGCCGGCATATAGTATGCTGATTTAATATTATGTACAATAAGTTTATATATGATCGATTGACATACAATATACCGATGTGCAACCCCGTCAGGAGACGGTAAGATACTTCTCTCTGTTCCAAATGTCAGCCTCATGTCCTTTGGACAAAGATATTTTTCGCATTGTACTCTTTTCTTGTGGAGCTCTCACTGGAACTCTCTCACGGCGGTCCGTAAATAATCGAGTCTGGACCGGACAATCCAGTGATTGACATCATGAGCATCGATCCATGCAATTGGGATACGATGACATGCATCAACCAAGTCAGCGATCCTGACCACCCGATCCCGTTAGTCGCCTCCTTCGACAAGCACAGTTGCCTTTTACGGCAAGAATGGGTTGCTGAAGACCTATTCTACCCCACATCTTCACGGATCGATTGAACTAAAACATTATCGCATAAATATGATATATTTGTTCAAAGAAATATCTTATAGTAGTAGAACCATATGCGCTTTTGGCTACGTTTGCATTTTCTTCGGTATAAATCACAATTATTGTTAATGTAACTGCACTGAATTGGGAACCCTCCGGTCTCCAAGGCCAGGAAGAGTCCATTTTGAGGCAGGGGAGCAACGAGTACTGTTTATATAACTGATAACGTTCTATTGATCACGAGGGGCTGTGAATTGCTGAAATCAGGAAATGTTGAATAAAAATGACAGATTACTTAACCTGTAAAGTGAAAATGACGAATAAATCCATACATAAATTGCTCCAAGTTTCTATAAATGGTTGCCGGCCATTATGTGTAATTTGAGGAAGTAATCAGGATAGAAATTTCAGTAAAGGTCAGACCGCCATTCAGAGGGAATAAGCCACATTGGGCTTGTGGAGAAACACAATATGATGAACTGTTATCAATGTGTAAATGCATTCCCTGTATAAATGATATCACGCGTGCTCAGAGGGGAATAAACGCTTGCGTGTATGAAGGATATCCAGAATATATCCCACGTGTAAATGATATCACAAGTGCCCAGAGTGAAGAAAAACGCAACCATGCTCATACATTAAAACAAGTAAAAAGAGGCATTTTTTCAAACTTTTACAGACTTTGTTATAAATTAAGTTTGATTTAACGTCTATGTCCCTTTAAAAACTGTTTTCGAATTTGTGCTGAGTTCGCACAGCATGGAAACACTGTTAATTATGGTTAAATCATATACTGCTAAAATCACATATACATCAGGAGTACAAGTATATTTATTGTAATAACGATAAACATATATTCATTGAAAATGACGGCATATTGTAGTCTGTTTAACTATAACTGCCAGTGGCGTGAGTGCAGACTGACACTATCTGTGCAGCTGTAACACGTTACAATAACAGGAGCGGAACCCTTGGACGTTATACTGAAACACTGGCGACAGCTACTTCCCACTGGGCGTTTGAGGATGCTGACAGAAGACAATACCTATTTCCCCTCAAATATATCACCCTTAATTTTACTTTATCGCAACTTATTTTTTTTTAATTATTTTTTTGGAAAAAGAATGATTATTTTTTATTTTTTTATTTTTTTAATGTGATTATGATTATTGCTGTTGTTATTTCACTTATATCCCAACACAGGTCGTAGACGTTATATTTGATACAACTGAAAATATAGTGTTTGTATATGTTCCCAAATCACTTTTGCATAAGGTGTAAACATTCTTCAAGTATAATCCAACAGTCCAACTGCGCTCCCACCTCAGATGCCCCGTTGGTATTTCGGGTTATAACTGGTCCGGCAACCTATGGTGGTCTTAAGAGGCGACCATATGCTTCGGGTGTTCATGCTTGGTGACTTGCTAGATTGAGTGTAATCCTACTCCGACAGCATGGATCGTTGTTCACAATATCAATTACTGGAACTGCCTGTAGACTAACATTTAGTCTCTGAAATCTTATATTACACAATATCCTTCTTGACTCTAAAAATTAAAAAAATTCCCTATGCTGATTTCAGTGGAATAGAGCTAGCTTGAGCTGGCTAGACTTGCTTTTTACTTTTTCTAGATTATTATTTTTTCATAAAATAAATATATTCCACGGTCATGGTGCAGGACTAGATTGCCTGGTTCAAACGCGACTATTCACAGGCAGCGGGACTATTTTGAGTTCGGCGTTAACAAACAAACAAACAAACGTACCTCAGAAAGTGGCCACATTGAGTAGGAGCATCACTTTCCCTCGATTCCCGTCACCCATACTGACATTCCGCGTCCCCTCCAGATTGAGCGCCTTGTAGTCATACGCAGATTTGTCGTCCGTGCTGTCGCAGATGCTGTAGTACTTGTGTTGCGCTGCCTGCACCACCCCAAACAGAAGGAGGTAGCACCCCCGGGCCATCCACCCCGGATTGAGGTACCCACGGGACCGTTCGCACATGCTGCTAGAGAACTGTGCTCAACAACGTGACGGTTGCGTTAAATAAGCATGGGCTAGTCCATACCAGACTGTAGGGAGATGCTGCGAACAGCTGTTGCTTCTATGATAGATTATCGATACAGATCTCTGCCTTCAGCAACTCGAAAGTCAACGTCAGCACGGAGTATTTCCTATATTGGACAAGATCAACGTGTACTGATGGCTGTCATGGACCCGCGCTTTGTAGTCATTGATTTGTTTATGACGGCTGTTGCCAATATGGCCATTATTGTTGTAGTAAACTGAAAAACCTCTTTTGTTAAGATCGATTTTGATTTTAAGTTGGTTGGTTGGTTTGTTGTTTTACGCCGCACTCAGCAATATTCAAGCTATATGACGGCGGTCTGTAAATAATCGAGTCTGGACCAGACAATCCAGTGATTGATATCATGAGCATTGATCCACGCAATTGGGATCGATGACATGCATCAACCAAGTCAGCGAGCCTGACCACCTGATCCCGTTAGTCGCCTCTTACGACAAGCATAGTCATTTATTTTAAGCTTCACTTTTCAATTATGTTTTTCTTTTTTTCGGAGAGTGGGTTTTATGCAATATGGATGGACAGCATTTATTTTAGGATAAATACGACTGGAATTACGGGGAATTGTGAAGCCGGAAAAGTTCAATTTGTTAACTGTTTATAGATTGGTTTTATTGATTTAACAAGTTTTGTTTAAAGTTTTAAATGAGTACATGACTACCCATGTCTTGTTTATGGTTTACAAAATGTGTTTTCTTTTATCAGATGAGGAGTTTAACGTCGCGTTTAATATTGCGACGTGCATGCATACGTATTATCTGTGTGTGTGTGTGTGTGGGGGGGGGGGGGGGGGGGGGGGGGGGGGGGGGCGCAATTAAGATTTGTTGTCTTTGGTGGTAATTTATACATAAATAAAGATATTTTTCCGAAATAAAAAGGGGGGTGCCGCATGCAGTCAACTTCAGTGCATGCATGACCAGATTGTTTAATACATGTATCTAAATACGTTTTGCCAGTGCTATGGTAAGAAAATGACCAATCGGACATTTTGTACCTATCTCTTGAGACCTACAGATGGTTGGTTGGTTGGTTGGTTGGTTTGTGGTTTAACGCCGCACTCAACAATATTCCAGCTATATGACGGCCGTCGGTAAATAATCGAGTCTGGACCAGAAAATCCAGTGATTGATATCATGAGCATCGATCCACGCAATTGGGATCGATGACATGCATCAACTAAGTCAGCGAGCCTGACCACCCGATCCCGTTAGTCGCCTTTTACGACAAGCATACCTACAGATGGTACCCGGGTAGGGTCGGGTAATAGGGGGGTGGGTACCCGGGTAGTAAATTCGGACTCGTCCCAGCCCTATTTACTCTATGTTTTTACGAGTAAGGTCTAATCACAGACTTGTGTGTTATATAGGTCCGTGGTCTGATTTATAACAGGCGCAATAAACACAACATCAGGTGTTTTTCATCAAACAATCATCTATCAGACGTATTTCTATACCATGGTGCATTACGAATGCATAACACACCTCCTAAAGTTTCAGTGTTACTGAATGTGGTGTATTTATCGCCTGATAGAGTTTCAGCGCCTCTGCCAATGTTTGACAACACGTCTCCCGCCACTTCCGGTTACGTGGCAAGTGCAGTGACTGCTCCTGCCTTCGAAATGCGCGACCGCCAAAGCTGACTTTGCTAGACGGGACCAAGTATACTACCACGCTTGGTTGTCACCGCTGTTGACAGTCGTAATTGTTGTCTTATTTCGGAATAATATGATCGGTTATTTGACATTCCTGCAGAGTTCATCGGTTCCGTTCGTGAAAGTATTTGTTCTTTTCTTTATCTCTAAAATAATTCTAACTGAAGGAGACAATATATAGGGTTTTGTGCAATGTAGAAAGCATGTGCATAAATTGTTGAGTAATTAACCAAATTAGTTTGTGTATTAAATGTGAATAAATATAATAATGCAGATGTATTATTTCTGCACTTTGGTAGGCTTACACTAAAATGTTTCTCTCATCCACATGTACAGGATGACTGTATGGAAGTTCAGAGGACCAAAATAAACAGGAAAGACTCAACGATTAAAAAAAAAAAGTCTGTTGAAATAATGAAAAGTTGAAAGAAAATGAATGATTTACACAACTTTGGATAAATGACAGTAATTAATGCATGCCAAATATATTTCTTAGCCTTTGCTGTAAATATATTGATCCCAAAAATATTAATTCTAAATAAAAAAATGTCCTCTGAATATGCACACATATAAGTATAAAGGTAACGCTCTTTTTCAGGGCATTATCATTTGCAGAAGCCCGAGGTCTTCCATTAACTGCCCGACGAAGGAGGGCAGTTGAAAAGACCAAGGGCTTCTGCAAATGATAATGGCCTGAAAAAGAGCGTTACCGTTATTATAGCTAAAATGGATGGAATTGATCAAATAAAAAGAAACAACAATATCGGTTTTGAAACATTTACTGCAATCAACACGAATGTCACTGACCGACTTTTACAAATATGGAAACGTCATAGAACAAAGCAGATGACGTCACAATAATACGTGACGTCACTTTCTCTACCCTATGACGTCACCTAACAACGGGCTTGATAATGGCCCGTCGTCATGCAATATGAGGGCATTATCAAATTACAGTGGCCCGCTCATTTATGATAACGTGCGGGCGGTTTAATGATAATTCTATCCATTTTAGCTATAAAATACAGTACCACAAACTTGGCAAACACGTGATCATACCCTATGACGTAATTTTTAGTATTTTGTTGCCAGTCACACCGGCGAAACAATGCTCTGTGACGTCAGGGGTCATCGAGTTGCATAAGCTCCTCTCAGTGATCTATCATCTCTACACGAAATGTCATAACGACATTGAATCATGGTTACTATAGTTTTAGTTCGTATTTGTTTGGTTGGTTGGTTGTTTGATGTAATTTAGTATTTAAAATAAATATATCAAACCCTAACCTGTAAAACACACACACCCCTTAATTTCGAATTCAATTTGATTATCCACTCTCATGGTCATAATGAAGGAGGGGGCACAGGTGGCCCAGTCGTCTTAGGCGCCGCGATTCGCTGTGCAGAGTTGCGTCCCTTGGGCACGCCAGAAACCTATGATTGTGGGTTCGAATCCCGGTTCGCCCCGATTATGTTTCTAGGTTTGTCAGCACCTCACCCGTGCTCGTGGGTTTCACCGAAGTGGTAAACGTCTGAAACCTGCATCACTTCGGGCTTCCCTCCCACATTAAGCTGACACGCCGCAATATAACTGGAATACTGTTAAAAGCGGCGTTAAACCCAACTCACTCACTCACTCATAATAAAGGTATGTCAGCCCAAATGTTTTGTTGTACTTGTATATTTCAGTTACAGCAAACCATGACACTACCACCTCCATAAGCCTCCACCTCTTTGACGCAACAACCTTCCGTCCGTTCACCACGTCGTCGGTAGATTCGAACCCGCATATCAGACTTGAAGAGCTGGCACCTACTCTCGTCGCTGAAGAGCACTCTTCGCCAAGTTCTCTGTTGCCACTGCTGTACAGTCATGGCCCATCTCAGTCTGTGACGTCGGTGTAAAAACGTTAACGTCATGCCCTTGAAAGGTCGATAGGCACGGAGACCATACAGGCGGAGTCGTCTGCAACGGTCCTTCTGCTGACTGGATATCCAAGGCTGTTTGCGGATGATGACGTCACAGTTAGGAATCTAGACTTAGGTGAAGCACCCGTAAATACCGGTCTTCCTGTGGGGTCGTGACCTTGGGTCTTCCGCTCATTGGCCTGTCTGCAGTACTGCCAGTTTGCCTGTGACGTGTGACAAGTCTGGCGAGGGTGCACTTGAAGCAGCCCATGATCCTGACAACGGGCACCTGCGTCGCTCCCATTTGCAACACACCGATGACTGTCTCCCTCTGCGCTGCGGTTAGTCGAGGCATGTTCGTTGTTTTAAACGGTTTCATGTGATGAGAGAGTACAATCCTGCTCATGTTTCATACCTAAATTCCATAGGGTAACTTTGTGCACATTTCGCATTATTTAGTAATTGAATTAACCTTTCTCGCAAATCACGTGAAGCACGTGCACATGTTCACAGAGAATAGGTAAGTTGCATTTCAGCTATGCGTTCCCAGTTGTTTTCGTGCTGTTTGGCAATCTGTTGAAAACTGACGACCATTATTTATTTGGTGGCGTTTCTTATGCCATCAGTTTAGCACTTTTGTTGCTGCTTGGTTTCTTTAGATATAGAATAACATTTAAAAAAACAGTCTACGTATATCCTCTCACGTCTGTACAATACCGTGGTCTCCCCTGTGTGGAGACAACGCCTGCTGGTGGAGTACCGTTATCAGGACGCAGATCATGGCGTCTCATCTAAATGCACTGTACATCCGCTGACACAATATAAAACTGCAAAGTGATGTCGTAAACGTGTGTTGCATGTTAATGAGGTCCATAAGTCGTGAAATGGGGTTTAACGCCGCGTTCAGGATTATTGCACGCGTGTGTTTGTGCGCGTGTTATTACGGGACAAGACTTCTTGCAGGTTACGGAAAGGGGCGAGTGGTGACGAATGGATCGAATTTGTGTTAGCAGCCCTAAGAGCACAATCGGAACGAATTGTGATAAGAACAAAGTTATTTCGCTCTACGTGTACACATATAAAGACCCGGTTTGACTGGGTTCAAACCCAGCACTCCATTGCCTATAAAGGCGGTCAAGTAGCCAAGTGGTTAAAGCGTTCGCTCGTCACACCGAAGGCTTGGGTTCGGGCTCGGGCTCCATAGGTGTATGAAGAGCCATTTTCATATCACCCGCGGTGAAATTGCTGGAAAATTGCGGCGTAAAAAATAATTCACTCAGTCACTAATAAGGTCTGAGACTCGGTCATCGTGGCCGACAACGTATAGGACGTTATTAAAAATAACATGCACTGATATGTCTGGTCCAGGTGTTCCACAAAGCGATCTTAGCGCTACGACTATCGTAAGCCTTTGTTGTAGTATGGGAGTTACGACTACCTAAGATTGCTTTGTGGAACAAGCCGTGAAGATACGGGGTAGAATAGGTCTTCAGCAACCCATGTTTGCCGTAAAAGGGCTTCTGCAAATGATAATGGCCTGAAAAAGAGCGTTACCGTTATTATAGCTAAAATGGATGGAATTGATCAAATAAAAAGAAACAACAATATCGGTTTTGAAACATTTACTGCAATCAACACGAATGTCACTGACCGACTTTTACAAATATGGAAACGTCATAGAACAAAGCAGATGACGTCACAATAATACGTGACGTCACTTTCTCTACCCTATGACGTCACCTAACAACGGGCTTGATAATGGCCCGTCGTCATGCAATATGAGGGCATTATCAAATTACAGTGGCCCGCTCATTTATGATAACGTGCGGGCGGTTTAATGATAATTCTATCCATTTTAGCTATAAAATACAGTACCACAAACTTGGCAAACACGTGATCATACCCTATGACGTAATTTTTAGTATTTTGTTGCCAGTCACACCGGCGAAACAATGCTCTGTGACGTCAGGGGTCATCGAGTTGCATAAGCTCCTCTCAGTGATCTATCATCTCTACACGAAATGTCATAACGACATTGAATCATGGTTACTATAGTTTTAGTTCGTATTTGTTTGGTTGGTTGGTTGTTTGATGTAATTTAGTATTTAAAATAAATATATCAAACCCTAACCTGTAAAACACACACACCCCTTAATTTCGAATTCAATTTGATTATCCACTCTCATGGTCATAATGAAGGAGGGGGCACAGGTGGCCCAGTCGTCTTAGGCGCCGCGATTCGCTGTGCAGAGTTGCGTCCCTTGGGCACGCCAGAAACCTATGATTGTGGGTTCGAATCCCGGTTCGCCCCGATTATGTTTCTAGGTTTGTCAGCACCTCACCCGTGCTCGTGGGTTTCACCGAAGTGGTAAACGTCTGAAACCTGCATCACTTCGGGCTTCCCTCCCACATTAAGCTGACACGCCGCAATATAACTGGAATACTGTTAAAAGCGGCGTTAAACCCAACTCACTCACTCACTCATAATAAAGGTATGTCAGCCCAAATGTTTTGTTGTACTTGTATATTTCAGTTACAGCAAACCATGACACTACCACCTCCATAAGCCTCCACCTCTTTGACGCAACAACCTTCCGTCCGTTCACCACGTCGTCGGTAGATTCGAACCCGCATATCAGACTTGAAGAGCTGGCACCTACTCTCGTCGCTGAAGAGCACTCTTCGCCAAGTTCTCTGTTGCCACTGCTGTACAGTCATGGCCCATCTCAGTCTGTGACGTCGGTGTAAAAACGTTAACGTCATGCCCTTGAAAGGTCGATAGGCACGGAGACCATACAGGCGGAGTCGTCTGCAACGGTCCTTCTGCTGACTGGATATCCAAGGCTGTTTGCGGATGATGACGTCACAGTTAGGAATCTAGACTTAGGTGAAGCACCCGTAAATACCGGTCTTCCTGTGGGGTCGTGACCTTGGGTCTTCCGCTCATTGGCCTGTCTGCAGTACTGCCAGTTTGCCTGTGACGTGTGACAAGTCTGGCGAGGGTGCACTTGAAGCAGCCCATGATCCTGACAACGGGCACCTGCGTCGCTCCCATTTGCAACACACCGATGACTGTCTCCCTCTGCGCTGCGGTTAGTCGAGGCATGTTCGTTGTTTTAAACGGTTTCATGTGATGAGAGAGTACAATCCTGCTCATGTTTCATACCTAAATTCCATAGGGTAACTTTGTGCACATTTCGCATTATTTAGTAATTGAATTAACCTTTCTCGCAAATCACGTGAAGCACGTGCACATGTTCACAGAGAATAGGTAAGTTGCATTTCAGCTATGCGTTCCCAGTTGTTTTCGTGCTGTTTGGCAATCTGTTGAAAACTGACGACCATTATTTATTTGGTGGCGTTTCTTATGCCATCAGTTTAGCACTTTTGTTGCTGCTTGGTTTCTTTAGATATAGAATAACATTTAAAAAAACAGTCTACGTATATCCTCTCACGTCTGTACAATACCGTGGTCTCCCCTGTGTGGAGACAACGCCTGCTGGTGGAGTACCGTTATCAGGACGCAGATCATGGCGTCTCATCTAAATGCACTGTACATCCGCTGACACAATATAAAACTGCAAAGTGATGTCGTAAACGTGTGTTGCATGTTAATGAGGTCCATAAGTCGTGAAATGGGGTTTAACGCCGCGTTCAGGATTATTGCACGCGTGTGTTTGTGCGCGTGTTATTACGGGACAAGACTTCTTGCAGGTTACGGAAAGGGGCGAGTGGTGACGAATGGATCGAATTTGTGTTAGCAGCCCTAAGAGCACAATCGGAACGAATTGTGATAAGAACAAAGTTATTTCGCTCTACGTGTACACATATAAAGACCCGGTTTGACTGGGTTCAAACCCAGCACTCCATTGCCTATAAAGGCGGTCAAGTAGCCAAGTGGTTAAAGCGTTCGCTCGTCACACCGAAGGCTTGGGTTCGGGCTCGGGCTCCATAGGTGTATGAAGAGCCATTTTCATATCACCCGCGGTGAAATTGCTGGAAAATTGCGGCGTAAAAAATAATTCACTCAGTCACTAATAAGGTCTGAGACTCGGTCATCGTGGCCGACAACGTATAGGACGTTATTAAAAATAACATGCACTGATATGTCTGGTCCAGGTGTTCCACAAAGCGATCTTAGCGCTACGACTATCGTAAGCCTTTGTTGTAGTATGGGAGTTACGACTACCTAAGATTGCTTTGTGGAACAAGCCGTGAAGATACGGGGTAGAATAGGTCTTCAGCAACCCATGTTTGCCGTAAAAGTCGACAATGCTTGTCGTAAGAGGCGACTAACGGGATCAGGTGGTCAGGCTCGCCGACTTGGTTGACGCATGTCATCGCATCCCAACTACGTGGATTGATGCTCATATCCGGTCCAGACTCGAATATTTACAGACCGCCGTCATATAGCTGGAATATTGCTGAGTGCGGCGTTAAACAACAAACAAACAAACAAAGCTCTGTGGAACGGGATCCAGACCTGATAAGTTGCAGTGGCTTTGCTTGAATATATGCTACCTATGCTGTACAAAGCTATCGAATAAACAATTATAAGCTATATATATGTGCAGTATACACATGTGATATGTGGAGTTTTAAGTCGTGCAATACGTGACATGAAAACGCTATGATTATCAGTCGTGGCTTAAACCCATTGAGCTCTGGGTCTCCTGACACAGCGTTGCGACTCCCAGTCAACATGGCGTCCCGTAAAGTGGTGGTGGTATTTGGCGCAACCGGAAAGCAAGGTGGGAGTGTTGCGAGGGCTCTGGTCAAGGACGGCAACTTCAAAGTACGCGCTGTCACCCGTCATGCCGACAGTGATAAAGCCAAAGAGCTCAAGAAAGAAGGTAACAGAGTTTGAGTGAACGAGTTAACATTGAACATTTCATCTCCTCCATTTTGCGACGAGAAGGTATGGTGAGGTGAGGTGAAATGGGGTTTAACGTCACGTCCACTTATATACTGTGCGTGTGAGTTTTCTTGTCCTGGTTGATACCGGTATTATAGTGCTAGCCCACTGAGATACCATGCCGCAGCTGTAACATGGATACCCCGACTCCGACACAGTACAGATAGACCTTGTTTTATGTCGCCAGGCATGGTAACAAAAAGTACCATCTTTTAACGGAAAAGAATGTCGGTTAGTTGATGTTTTCATATTGTTCATTCGTGTCTCGTTTCCTGTCTGTCGGTCTCCGTAGTCTCGTGGATAAAGCGTCTGCCCGGAGAACGGAAGGTCGTGGGTTCGATCCCCGGTGGAATACCAAAAGATGTTAAGAGATGGTACTTATTGGTACCCTGCCTGTCGCTCATCATTACGGGGCCAAAACAAGGACTGGTCGGCTCCAGGTCAGTATACTGTGTCAGAGTGGGGTATTAATGTTAAACCGCGGCATGGTTTGTCAGTGGATAAGCACTATACAATCGGCACTAGTACAAGCACAAGCTCGGTGACATGGTTGATGCATGTCATCGTATTCCAATTGGTTGGATCGATGCTCATGATGTCAATCACAAAAAATGAAGGATGCATGGGTTCGTGAGCCAATCAGATTTCTGAAACAATTCAAATTTCTTTTTCTTTCGCCACTCTTCCTAAATTCGATCTAAGCAAAAAACACCACCACAGGACACCGAAATACTCCCCAGATACACCCTTTTGGATGTAGATCTATTGCCCTCAGGAACATTAGGATGTGTAAAATATCTTCAACAATATAACAGCGCGGCTTTATACTTTTTTGATTCGGCACTCTCCGATTATCTTCGATTTCGAGATTTGAATTCAGACACGTTTATCTGAAAGCGTTGCTCCCTCGTACAGAGACTTTAGAATCAATAACGCTGATTGGCTCAATAGGAAGTTTACCTGGCAGCCTCCTTTTGAGATGTCCTCAGATCTTCAGGCAGAGAGTGTCGGAGTAAAAAGTCTGATTTTGATGAGATTGACCCAGCCTGTGGACCCTCTTCATTCGAGATGCTATAGCGAATACACTGGGTAATGAGGGGAGTTATTTAAGAATTGACTCCAAAACGCAAAATTAATTAAGTAATTTCATGTAATTACAAATCTGTCTACCCGTGAAGATCCGGGGTAGAATAGGTCTTCAGCAACCAATACTTGCCCTAAAAGGCGACTATGGTTGTCGTAAGAGGATACTAACGGGTTGATGCATGTCATCGATCCCTATTGCGTGGATCGATGCTCATGATGTCAATCACTGGATTGTCTGGCCAAGATACTGTCGCCGTCTAAATGTCATTACACCATGGAATATGTTCAGAAACCCGTATGCATGTACAGTAAACTACCTTTATAACGAACACGCTTACAATGAACTAACGGATATAACGAACTGTGTTTTAGGTCCCGGACATTTATTGTATAGTTTAGTTGAAATTCTTATAACGAACTACAGTAAATTACGGTTATAACAAACTCAAAGGGACAACTAATTTTAGTTCGTAATAACCGTAGTTCGGCATAATCATATATACAGAATATATATCACAAATGGCTGGGACTAAAAAATAAGTTCGTTATATCAGTAAGTCCGCTATAAGCGAGTTCGTTATAAACGTAGTTTACTGTACATTTATAACGATCAATAATTAGTGGTCCCTGTGAGTTCGTTATAACCGTAGTTTAGTGTATGTATGTATTTATTCCACTGCAGGTTGTGATGTGGTCGAAGCGAATCTAGATGACAAGGCCAGTGTGGTGGAAGCGATGCGAGGAGCTTATGGGGTGTTCCTGGTGACTAACTACTGGGAAGACATGGACGAGAAGCGGGAGTTCACGGAGGTCAATAGTTCCACATACACGCATTCTGGACAACCATCCTCGATAATCCAGTACATTATATGTCTTCTATTCATTGAGTTAGTGAGTGAGTGGGTAAGTGAGTATAGTTTTACGCCGCTTTTAGCAATATTCCAGCAATATCACGGCGGATGACAACAGAAATGGGCTTCACACATAGTACCCATGTCGGGAATTGAACCCGGGACGAGCGAACGCTTTAACCACTAGGCTACCCGACCGCCCCTGTCCTATTCATACCGATTCTGACCCGAATATTTACCGGGAAGAGTGAAAGTATTGATGGAGTCGTTGCGATGCAGAGGAGTTGGAATTGTTTCTATGACACCTTGCAACTGTCCAGCAAATTGTCTATGGGACCAGTTATTTATTCTGTTTGTTTCTTTGTTGTTTAACGCCGAACAATATTCCAGCCATCTGGCGGAGGCCTGTAAATATTTGAGTCTTGACCAGACAATCCAGTGATTGATATCATGAGCATCGATCCACGAAATTGGGATACGTGACATGCATCAACCAAGTCAGCGAGCCTGACCACCCGTTCCCGTTAGTCGGCTCTCAAGACAAGCAAATTTGCTTTCTACGGCAAGCATGGGTTGCTGAAGACCTATTCTAGCTCGGATCTTCACGGGTCTTATATTTTTGCTGTGGCTCTGCCAGAGGGGAGTGCTTTCATCCTACCTCGCCACCATGTGTATTGGGTGCATCCTGTATTTATCTGAATTTACAAACTTTATCTCGAGTATTTCACTCGACAGACGATGTATCTTGGAATGGCCCCATGTATTGTGTGTTTGTTGTTTAACGCAGCACTAAAGCAGTATTCAAGCTATATGTCGGCGGTCTGTATATCATCCAGACAATCCTGTGATTGACGTGAGCATATATCTACGCAATTGGCATACGATGACAACTATAAGCAACCGAGTCACTGAGTCTGACAACCTTATCCATTTTGCAAGCATCTTGCCGTAGACCTCATAAAATAATATTGAAAAAATATGTTATTTCATTTTTTCATGACACTAATTCCTTGACCTTGACAGAATAGGGGCTACAGACCGTGAGTGAGTGATTTGGGGTTAACGCCGCTTTTAACAGTATTCCATTAATATCACGGCGTGCCGGCTTTATGTGGGAGGAAAGCCGGAGTGATGCAGGTCTCAGACGTTTACCACTTTGGAGAAACCCACAAGCACGGTAATGGAGCTGACAAACCTAGAAAAACCGGGATTCGAACGCCCATTTATATATTTCTAGCGCAACTGTGCACAGCGTGGGGCGTCTTAGACGACCTTACCACCCGTGTCCACGCAGTATCAAGTAATAGCATTGCTTTTCAAACTCATTACAGGGTAGGGACGCTGTAGACGCTGCCAAAGAGTGTGGTGTTCAGCACCTGGTGTACAGTGGCCTGGAGAACGTGACGGAATCGTGCGGCTATTCCGTGGCTTGCTTTGACGGCAAGGGCAGGGTGGAGGAATATCTTCGGTCATGTGGCCTGGAATACACCATAGTCAGGCTGTCGTTCTACATGGAGAACCTACTGACGATGTTTCCGCCTAAGAGGCAAGAAGACGGCTTGTACCATCTGGGTACGATTTCTTTGCTAAAATGTTTTTCAAGAAAACTGCGGTGAAATTATGTTTATGCCGCAAGTTAGCAATTGCCCCATCGCCCCGTAGAGATTAAAAGTGTATGAATATGATACGGGATGATTGGATTGCGGAACTCAGAGATTTCCGTGGATGTCAGGAGACACCGGAACTGGAAGTACCGCCATTTTGGAAAAAGAAGCCAGGGGTTTTACTCTGGCGTCTTTTTCAAGATGGTTGGACAACCGGTTCCGGTGCAAGTCGGGATGTACCGCAACCGGAAGTGCAGCCATGTTGAAAAATAGATAAAAACAAACACTACAGAAATAGGGGTCTTTGTATCTGAAAGCCCTGTACGTGCTATATGTAGTGATTGTTTGGTGAGGGTGACATTGAAGAATGACCTCTGTTGACCTTGATATTCTAACTGCGGGCTAGGGGCCTAAATTGCGACGGAATAAACACAAAAGAGTTTTTCACCTTCTGATAACCGGCCTCAGACATGACAAGCGAACGCTTCAACCACTAGGCTACTCCCGTCACGCGTAAAGACGAGCAGGGCGTTGATATGGTGGAGTAGGTGGAGTGAGTGAGTGAGTGAGTTTGGTTTAATGCCGCTTTTAACATTATTCCAGTTATATCACGGCGTGTCAGCTAAATGTGGGAGGAGGCCCGAAGTGATGCAGGTCTCAGACGTTTACAACTTCGGTGAAACTCACGAGCACGGGTATGGTGCTGACAAACCTAGAAACATAATCGGGGCGAACCGGGATTCGAACCCACAATCATAGGTTTCTTGGAGTAGGTTGAAATTTACCCACTTGATTGATGTTTTCCGGTTTCGGATCAGATATGGATACAGATAAGGATGTTCGGTTTTAGGAGTGGAGGCACTTTCCACAAGGCCAGATGAGTTGGAGGTTAACGGAGGAATCTCTTTGGCTTCGGGTTTTCTATTGAAGTCAATACGCCATTTCAAATGTTTCAGAAATACCAATGGAGGGACATCCCCTACATGTTGTGAGTGTGGGTGAAATAGGCCCAATGATAGTCTGCATCTTTGAGGATCCCCGGGAATACACAGGGAGAACACTTGGGCTGAGCAGCGAACACCTCACTCTAGACGAGATGGCACGTGAAATGACGGAATGTTTGGGGGTCAAGGTCAAGGATGACAAGGTGAGGAGACATCCGAGTGTATCATCATTTATATTCGTAAACAACCAAATAAACAATTATGTGCATTTTATTGAGAGAGAAAACAAATTGCTAGTACAAGCATCCTCCATTCTTTGTTTGTGACTCGCGAAAAAGGAAGTCCTCAATCGAAAGCGAGGCTGTGACCTATTTTCTACACTAGTCTGAGTACAGTATGGCGGTAACCACAAATCATGTCGGAAATCTCCCTCGGTCTGTATCACTGTAAACAACTTGATGATCACGTAAGATAATCTAAACTTGAACATTTGAGAAAACTTAAATTTCCTGAATTGAAATCTACATAATTATTTATTATATAAAATTTAAGGACTTAAACGTGATCAGCTTCACAGGGTAATGTCCCCCTTTCAGCTTCATCGTTCCGCAGACAAAAATGCCTTCAATGTATTTTGTTCCCTTTTTAGGTCAAGCAACAACTGAGAATAAAAAGAATCATAGAAACATACGACTAGTGTGCGGTGGTGTCGTGTTTGATTTGAGTCCCGTGAAGATCCGGGGTAGAATAGGTCTTCAGCAACCCATGCCGTAAAAGGCGACTAACGGGATCGCGTAGTCAGGCTGGTGGACTTGGTTGATGCATGTCATCCCAATTGCGTGGATCGATGCCCATGATGTCAATCACTGGATTGTCTGGTCCAGACTCGATTATTTACAGACCGACGTCATATAGCGGGAATATTGCTGAGTGCGGCGTTAAACAACAAACAAAGCAATGTTAAGAGACCACAAGAAAAATGACCGTTTTCGCGATGCAATCTGGGCGCTCACTGGTGTGTGTACTCGGGGGCACGGGTGGCCCAGTCGTCTAAGGCGCCGCGATTCGCTGTGCAGAATTGCGTCCCTTGGGCATGCCAGAAACCTATGATTGTGGGTTCGAATCCCGGTTCGCCTCAATTATGTTTCTAGGTTTGTCAGCACCATACCCGTGCTCGTGGGTTTCGCCGAAGTGGTAAACGTCTGAGACCTGCATCACTTCAGGCTTTCCTCCCACATTAAGCTGACACGCCGTGATATCACTGGAATAATATCAAAAGTGGCGTTAAGCCCAACTTACTCACTCACTCTGCGTACTCGCTTGGTTCCGTATCGCTTGAACAAGTCTCGATCCGTTGGTTAAAAATACCCACCATTACCAACAAATTAGCCGTATGTCGGGGTCGAAATTAACCAAGAATGTATACCAGCCATGCGGTAAAAGTACGGCAATAACCCCCAACGTATTTCCATTCCTACGCATGTATTCAAACCAGGAAGTATTGCCGATGCAGATCCAAATATTGAAAAATATTTCTTTTTGATTCCCAGATAACCTTGGCCGCCTTCTGCCAACTGAAATTCCCTGGAGTCGAAGTGTTCTGCACCATGTTCAAGTTCTTCCAATCTGACGACTTTAAGAGAGACATAGAACTCAGCCGGAAGTTGAATCCAGAATTGTCTCCCTTCAGAGAATGGTTGGCGCGCAATAAAGAGGCGCTGCTCGCTATAATGAACAAATAATGTCGCACATACGTTCTGTGGGGGCACGGGTGGCCCAGTCGTCTAAGACGCCGCGATTTGCTGTGCAGAGTTGCGTCCCTTGGGCACGCCAGAAACCTATGATTGTGGGTTCGAATCCCGGTTCGCCCCGATTATGTTTCTAGATTTGTCAGCACCATACCCGTGCTCGTGGGTTTCACCGAAGTGGTAAACGTCTGAGAATCGCATCACTTCGGGCTTTCCTCCCACATTAAGCTGACACGCCGTGATATAACTGGAATGCTGTTAAAAGATGCGTTAAACCCAACTCACTCACTCACTCACATACGTTCTGTATTCCCCAAGTTGACAAGAATCTGATGATGCGAGTCAGTCATTTTATAGGCTGGTTGAGTTGCACAGTGGTTAAAACGTTTGCTCGTTAAGAGTTCTAATCAATTGGCTAAGGCTTGTTAAAATACATTAATTTTAAGTCGCCTACCTAAAAACTAGTTTCTTTTTAAATTTTAAGCACTGATAATAATAAACGTCTTTATCAACTAACATTTCGTTGTTGCATCGTATTTCCGACGTTTTGCGTGGTTCCATCGTAGTGCCGCCAGTGCCAATGTCCCTCCTATTTACCAATCAGATTCCACCTCTCATATGAATATAGGAATGAATGGATGGATGGATGGATGGTTTGTCTTTATTTCCTCCAGTGAACCGAATAGGTTCAATGAAGTTACATAGTCACATAATTATATTTTACAATGTGTGTGTGTGTGTGTGTGTGTGTGTGTGTGTGTGTGTGTGTGTGTGTGTGTGTGCTAGTTCACACTCATGCCGGTTTTATAGTGCCAGCCCACTGAGATACCATGCCGCAGTTTAACATGAATACCCCACTCAGACACAGTATACTGACTCCGAGCCGTCCAGTCCTTGTTTTAGCCCCTAAATGCCGAGTGCCAGACAGAGTAACAACAAGTATTATCTTTTAACGTCTTTTAATACCGCGCGGCCGCGTAGCCATTTACAATACATACACCGTCTCGTTTACACAAGTCAAGTAAAGCTCTATCATAGTTATTTGTTTTGAAGTCACGAACACTTCTAACAACTTAAAAATCTCTAACCTAATGCTGATCAATTAGTAAATACTTTATATGACCATCAAAGATAAAATCCCGCCACATCCAGTTCTTACATTAAAACCACCACATAATATGAATTTACTGGACTGTTCATAATCGTGTTTGATATGTAGTATCTGATTCTCCGATCAATCTATACACAGTAAACTACGGTTATAACGAACACGCTTATAACGAACTGACGGATATAACGAACTTACATTTGGCTCCCGACTACTTGCTGTAGTCATGCTGTATATGTACTTATAACGAACTACGGTTATAACGAACTAAAATTAGTAGTCCCTTTGAGTTCGTTATAACCGTAGTTTACTGTCTACCAGTCCGCACAGTTGTTGTAGAACGGGGATGTTCGTAGTGAATACAGACAAACCCAATAAAATAAGTGTGGAACTTACAGCATTCACAATCCTGAAAAAGACAGCATTCTTCCACTTTAAGTAATCTCTCAAAAGATTCTGCCAGACAGTGTATAATGCAAACTGCTATTCCCCCATATAACCTTCGACGGTCAGAGAAGCGTTTTGCATCACGAACGTACTTATCACAGTCACGGAATGCGTTCGTTAGTACATTACCAGCATCTGTACACGATGTTTCAACAACACAGAATGTATCAAGTTCTTGACAGAATGGAATAAAGTTATTGAGGCCAAGACTGCCTAATGTCGACTTCTTGTCAGTCATTCCATTGTTCAGGGGCGGTCGGGTAGCCTAGTGGTTAAAGCGTTCGCTCGTCACGCCGAAGACCCGGGTTCGATTCCCGACATGGGTACAATGTGTGAAGCCCATTTCTGGTGTCCCCCGCCGTGATATTGCTGGAATATTGCTAAAAGCGGCGTAAAACCAAACTCACTCACTCACCATTCCATTGTTCGGTCAAAGTTCCCGAAAGGTAGTTCTGACGTGACCCCTGGTGGGATGTCCTCAGATCTTTGTTTTGCGGTAGCGATAACTAAGATCTGAATTTAATGAAATTGCTACGCTTTGAAACATATTTTGACAAGTTCCCGATTAACATTTGAAAACGGAACAAACGAACATTCTGGAATTGCTAAAAGATGGATTATATGGATTCAGTTATAAAGCCCGTTACTCTCGTTCGGAATACCCCGTGTTAACGCTTTCGCGGTTGCATGATCAGAAAATCACATTCCGACTGTCAATTTCATGATCTGGTAAGCGACGCTCTGATTGGTCGGATGGGATGTCCTCATGATTTTAATGAGATTGGTCATCTCCCAGATCAATAACAGACCCATCAACTACCAGTTTATCGTAACTCAGATAGGCAGCTGTGTTCTCTTGTCGGACACTCATCATAAAGGGAAACAACTGTAAGGTAAGGTGAGGTGGAATTGGGTTTAACGTCGCGTCCAAGATTATTGCACTTATATAGCGACGTGCATGCACGTGTATGTGTGGCTGCTTGTACTAGTCCGGACTGATGCCAGTTTATAGTGGTAGCTCACTGAGATACCATGCCGCAGTTTAACATGGATACCCCACTCAGACACAGTATACTGACTCCGAGCCGACCAGTCCTTGTTTTAACCCTTTAATGCCGAGCGCCAGACAGGGTAACAACAAGTACCATCTTTTAACGTCTTTTGGTATGACGCGGCCGGGGATCGAAGCCCGGAGCTTCCGCTCTCCTGGCGGACGCTCTACCACTAGACCACGGAGGCGGTCGGAAACAACTGTGACCGAACCTCCCTCACGCTCTGAGTGTCGTCTCCTGATACCCTATAATCTGTGTTCCTCTTCGGAAACTTTCAGACAGCTCCCATCACTGTTGTTTTGTCCTTACATAAGGAATATCGGTTTACTTCCAGATTGTGATTGCAGCCGATGTGCTCTTTCTATGCTAATGGATTCAACTTCGATATAAGCCTTGACGTCCATAAAATCTTTGACATGCGTCACGCTCTTCCCACTTTCCATGCAAACCACGAAAGATTAGGTGTGATCGACGAGATTGTGCTTCAATTCTGTCATTTCTGGATTCCGGGGCACCAAGTTTTAAACTTGTGTTTTCCTCTTGATGCACGCGAAGTTGGTCATCATAGTCCTTTGTAAATCGACCGCCCCCGTGGTCTTGTGGTGGGGCGTCCGCCCGGAGAGCGGAAGGTCCGGGGTTCGATCCCCAGCCGCGTCATACTGTCATAGCGACTGTTTTACGACTACCATCGTCTGAAGTACATTTGACTCAGAAGGCTAATTACCCTGTAGCCATGTCTCCATAACTTAATTGCCATTACGTTTTAGGCGCTAATCCCCGTTGTTAATCCTCACCAACATTTCATTGTATATTGACTGACAGCCAAACTGGGCTACTTTATCACTTCCCGTTAATTACTGTTATTTATAGTATGACATTTATTGCCTTAATTGTTCATCCCCTGAGCTGTGTTGGTTCATCACCCCCTGAAGTCCCATGTCCAGAGCAACATCATTGTCTTTCCATTGTTGTTCATTACTATGTATGTGCTACCATTACACTGTTACTAGGGTGTTAGTAAAGCTTGGTATTCCGAGCGTTGGTGTAAGGACGACCTCGAGCAGGATGTGCCGCTCGTAGGAAACGTCCTGAGGTTGAGCTGGAGCTCCGCTCACCTCATGTATACCTGAGCTGGAAGGTCCGCTCATCGCTGTTTGTGTTATCAGAGCAGGTATTCCACTCAATGTGCAATTGTTGTTTATTGTTTACATGTTGTGCATAAAGTGTTCCGGGACAGTGATTTGGATTTTGTCTTTTATTCTCCCAAGAGCTAATTCCCCGTCAACATGCGCGTTGACAATACCAAAAGACGTTAAAAGTAATACTTGTTGTTACCCTGTCTAGCGCTCGGCATTAAGGGGCTAAAACAAGGACTGGTCGGCTCGGAATCAGTATACTGTGTCTGAGTGGAGTATTCATGTTAAACTGCGGCATGGTATCTCAGTGTACTAGCAGTCACACACACACACACACACACACGTGCATGCACGTCGCTATATAAGTGCAATAATCTTGGACGCGACGTTAAACCCCATTTCACCTCACCACTTTGTAAATCTGGCCACCTCGTCATTAAGGGAGGTAATCTGTGTTTGTATTGCTTTGAGTGTTACAGCGGGATCATCTAGTGTTGATTGGATATATAAAGTGTCAGGGGTCAAACACTAGCCAGATATTTTGTTCAGATAATCTAGTCTACTCTTTCTGATGAAAGGGGTACTATGGGTTGGATTAAGATCTCCGGCTATTGTTAAGGGTGACAATGTTAACAGAGGAAATCTCAGAACCATCCTTACATCACTTAGTAGCTGTATACCGGGGTGACTTCCAATGGGTCTTTTCTTCCCGGGCAAAAACACACTATTCTGCTCCTCCAAACGACAATATCCACCCCCATGTTTATTGATGCAACCGTGAAGATCCGGGGTAGAATAGGTCTTCAGCATCCCATGCTTGCCGTAAAAGGCGACTAAGCTTGTCGTAAGAGGCGACTAACGGGATCGGGTGGTCAGGCTCGCTGACTTGGTTGATGCAAGTCATCGTATCCCAATTTCGCGGGATCAATGCTCATTATGTCAATCACTGGGTTGTCTGGTCCAGATTCGATTAATTACAGACAGTCGTCATATAACTGGAATATTGCTGAGTGCGACGTTAAACAACAAACAAACAAAATAGATGACAAAGTGCAGGAATTTCGGCTCTTACTTGTACACAATATGTTCTTTAACCACTTTTTGATATCTTGGAATCACATTTTTCCTCTCCAGCGAATGTGCTGTGTCAACACCATTCAATTGTCACATGATCATCCCCCAAAATATGCTCTTCATGAAAAGGCCCTACATTCCGGGTCAGATTATTTATTTCGATATTCCGAAGTTTACGTCTAAAACAGAAATATCAATACATGAAACATCGTTGCTTCAGTGATCACAGTCAAGACTAAGTATGATATCATCAAGTTTAGACTCAGTTACAAGCTTAAAGTGTTCATCGAACTGTTCACAGTTATAAGGTAACGAAAGGTTATAATAATAAGTCCCCAAAAGTTAACATGTATCACCGGGGTCAGCAGCCGAGGAGTTGTTGTATTCAAGTTCTTCTGTCCCTGTTGTTTTGTTTGCGAACATTACGAACTGATTTATAAAGGTATGTACATCACGTGTCTTTTCATACTCACTTCTAGATTTTTCACACAAGTTACGTTTTTATTGTCTGTGATCCTATACTTAAACCTATAAAAAAAATATTTGAAAAAATATCGCTGTTCCTTTTTTCATGACACTAATTTTTAATGTCCTAGACATTGACAAGAAAGGGTCTACAGACCGTCAGTGAGTGAGCGACATGGGTTTAACGCCGCTTTTAACTGTATTCAAGTTATTTCACGGCGTGTCAGCTTAATGTGGGAGGAAAGCCCGAAGTGATGCAGGTCACAGACGTTTACCACTTTGGTGAAACCCACGAGCACGCTAGAAACTGGGATACAAACCCACAACCATATTTCTGGCGTGCCCAAGAGACGCAACTCCGCACAGCTGCGGCGCCTGAGACTACAGGGACACCCGTGCCTGCTTGATTCCCTGTGTTCAGTGAAAGAATTAGGTGTTGTCTTGTAAACTTTGTATATGTTGAAAAGACAAAGTTCAGCTGCTCAAATATCTTTATCTGGGTCAAAACAGTCCAATACATATATAATTACCATGTCACAATTTGCCTCAAACAGATTTCGCCAAGACAGAGACACAGGCCCCTGAAGCAGGATAGTGATATAACTGAAACAGTGGACCCATATATAAGCAGGATAGTGATATAACTGAAACAGTGGACCCATATATATATGGGTCCACTGTTTCAGTTATATCACTATCCTGCTTCTGGGACCTGTGGACAGAGAATACCTCAACAGCACTGCAAATGAGTTAAGCATCGCTGTCCGGAGCTTGGGGAGAAGGGACGTAACTACATTTGTATTTCCGGTAGAAAATAAACAAAGTGAAGCGTGGAAGAGAAGCGGTTCTCGGAATTGAAATGAATGTCCGAGGCCCGGTACCAATGGGTCCAGGTACTGGAGTGTGCATGCATCATGATAAACATACAAATAATTTAAATTAGGTTCGATAAAACACGAATGAGAGCGAAGAAATCAAGCTATGCATGTGTGTATCAGTTAACAATGTATCTGGCATCACACTCTTGGTGAAACGATAAATCATAACAGCATTTCACCACGCGCAGCTTATAACGCAATTTGACATTTTTAAAAATGTGTCCGATAAAGTGCAATACTCCTGATAAATCTATATTTATGAACTTAGATCTACAGTTATGAATTAAGGGCCGATTTCAGTACCTCAAACACATCACAATGTTTGACATTTTGCTGCCCTGTCAACATTAGTTGTGGTCGTACATGCGTATACTGGTACTACCATGACTACATGTCCTCCATATTTCAGTTGAAAATTAAATTTGTCTACTAGTCATGTACTAGTAATAAGAGTGAAATGTAAATCATTTGGGTTTTTATTATTCTAATACCACCATGACGAATCTATTGACTAGAATAAGTAGTAATTTTACCATGTTTACAAGATATATTGGTTGTTCTGTGGATATGAATGTTCAGCTTATTTTACAAAGTAAACCAAAAACCTTATGATGAACCTAATGCATTCTTTAACTGAGGGTTTGAGTATGTTGAGTACCGTATTCGACATAATAAGCGCCCTGCTCTAATAAGCGCCCACGGCGATATTTGCTAACATATTGGCTAGTGAACAATCCCAATTAGCACGCCTTCCGATTGATCAATGTACACAAAACTTATTCATTCGCGTATAATACGCACTCGTGTTTTACATGCACCCTTAATTATGGGCAATTAAATTCTGGAAAAATATATCTGTCGTATATAAACATTTCAGGCTGTCAGCATAAACCACGAAATTTATCCTTTAACTCTGTTTTTTTCACCAAAATAATATTCTAATAAGAGCCCCCTATTTCTAATTTTGAGAGCGCCCTGGGCGCTTATTACGTCAAATACGGTACCTGTTTATTTCACATTGGCTTGTTCTTTATATTCAGAGCATTGCTCAGTCATGAACTCACTTGAGTCAAGCATCACAATTTATTTATTTTTCTGATAAAATATTACTGTAAGATTGTCATATTTCCCATACCATCACTTATCTGCTGTATTGTAATGCATGTATAAAGTGTGATATACATCCGTGTAGGTATATGTTTACAGTTGGTATTTATATCATGTGTGTGTGACAAATGAATGCCTTTTGTGAGTACCTTACATATTGTGTTACCATGGTTACAGATGTGTTTGCATCACCTGAGACTGAGGAGCAGCAGAGAATCCGATTTCAGGTGGAGCTGGAGTTTGTCCAATGTCTGGCCAATCCCAACTACCTCAACTGTGAGCACTCTTGTACCATTTATTACACTGGCTACATATAACATGTAACATATCCCTGGCCAATCCCAACTACCTCAACTGTGAGCACTCTTGTACCATTTATTACACAGCATTACACATAGCATTCAGCAACATTAATAAGGAAACAATCTCATTAAAACCAGATCTTAGTTCTCTCTACCGCAAAACAAAGATCTGAGGACATCCCATTACGGGTCACGTCAGACCGACCCTGCTCGAACTTTGACCCACCAATGGAATGGCTGACAAGAAGTCGACATTAGCCAGTCAGAAGGCAGCTTTCTCATGCTTAATGGCATTAATTTCAAATTGGCGACAACGCTTCGAAACATATTTTGACAAGTTCTCGATTAAAAATTTGAAACCTGAACAAAAGAACATTCTGGAATGGCTAATTGATGGTCTATACTGTATGGATTCACTCGTTAAGCCTGTAACTAGCGTTCAGAATACCCCGTGTTAAAGTTTTCGATGTTGCGTGATTAGAAATCACATTCTGGCTGTCACTTTCATGATCTGGTAAGCGACACTCTGATTGGTTGGATGAAAGGTCGTTTAGACGTGTCCCCTAATTGGATGTCCTCAGATCTTTGTTTAGTGGCAGTGAGAACTAAGATCTGATTTTAATGAGATTGATCAAGAAACAAACAAATATAAAAATTGTGGTATAATATGAAGATTCACATGATTTCTATAACTTGAACCTTGTTATCATGGTTATGGTGGATATAAAATGTCTCTATAATTTTGCATTGCGACTTATAGTTGCATCAGTTTTATTCGTTAACAGGCACGGTCAGAATCCCTGGCTCAGAATCAACAGCAACAGCAATAGCGTCATCATCATCATGTTTTAAGTAAGTGATGTTCCTGTTTCAGTTCTAGCCCAGCGTGGCTACTTCAAGGAGAACTACTTCATCAACTACCTGAAGTACCTGCTGTATTGGAAGGAGCCCAAGTATGCCAGATACATCAAGTACGTGTCATCACTGCATGTCCCATTTCATCATTTGAATGTGTATATTTATAGTCAATTCTTCATGGGTTTAAATACACAACGTTCCTCCAACAGATTTAAGTTCACAAGTCTGACCACCTGACTGTGGTCCAGGACATGGCTGGAGTATTGCTGACCATGCTCAAAGTTTTGGTTTGTTATTTAACGCTGCACTCAGCAATATTCCAGCTATATGACAAAGATCTGTAAATAATCGAGTCAACCTCGAAAATGTTATCACGGGGTATTCCGAACGACAGTTACGGCTCAACAATTCCATACACCACCACTCACCATAACAATGTTGATTTGTATGACGCCAAATTCCTTGAGGTGCACTCATCCGTCATAACAATAAGAATAGTTCATAGGTTTGATTAGAAGAGTCTGAATGGTGAGAGATTCTACTGATCTTGACGATTGAGACAAGGAGTTCCATTTTGTACCTGCTGTCACTCCAAATTAGCGAAATCCGCAAGATTTGAGTTTCTCTACACTGATACCTGGTTTATAAGACTTGAGGACAGGAAAGATCTTGTAGGTGCATGTTAAGTTCCTCACAGTGAGGGGGCACGCCTTTGCCCAGTCGTCTCAGGCGCCACAATTCCCTGTGTAGAGTTGCGTCCCTTGGGCACGCCAAAAACCTGTGACTGTGGGTTCGAATCCCGGTTCGCCCCGATTATGTTTCCAGGTTTGTCAGCACCATACCTGTGCTCGTTGGTTTCACCAAAGTGGTAAACGTCTCAGACCTGCATCACTTCAGGCTTTCCTCCCACATTAAGCTGACACACCGTGATATGACTGGAATCTGTTAAAAGCGGCGTTAAACACAACTCAACTCCTCACAGTGATAGCCTGTTCGCAGAGCTCTGCATACTATTGGTGCTCCCAGTCACAACTCCCCACTGTGACATGCTGCCACGACCATGCTTGGAGTTCAACTCGCACCGACTGACACTTGTTTACAAACAAGTGATGACTGTCGTGATGTCAAATACTCTTCCCCCAGCTAAATTATTCTTTCTTTGACAATTTGAATTGGTATGTCATTTCAACTATCATTTAATTGGCAGAGTAAGAATGAAAGGGTGAAGTTGGGTGCTTTCCTGTTTGTCTCCAATCTTGTGTAAACCTTTTCGACCCGTGTAGATCCGGGGAAGAATAGGTCTTCAGTGAGTGAGTATGGTTTTACGCCGCTTTTAGCAATATTCCAGCAATATCACGGCGGGGGACACCAGAAATGGGCTTCACACATTGTACCCATGTCGGGAATCGAACCTGGGTCTTCGGCGTGACAAGCGAACACTTTAACCACCAGGCTACCCGACCGCCCCAGGTCTTCAGCAACCCATGTTTTCTGTAAAAGGCGACTATGCTTGTCGTAAGAGGCGACTAATGGGATCGGGCGGTCAGTTTCGCTGATTTGGTTGATGCACGTTATCTATCCCATTTGCGTTGATCGATGCTCATGATGTCAGTCACTGGATTGTCTGGTCCAGACTTGAATATTTACAGACTGCCGTCATACAGCTGGAATATTGCTAAGTGCGGCATTAAACAACAAACAACCAAAACAAAAGTAAACCTTTTCAAAATACACTATGATAGCATTCTCAGTGACATGCACAAAATCATAAATGTCACATGATTTGGGATTAAATTTGGGGGGCAGATTTCTAAATTCTTGTACATGGCCACTTCCACACTGGTGGTTACCTGAAGGTTTCAGACGATTAGGAGCTTGGGTGTGCATGTATGTTTATGAAGCTAATCGACAGATGTTGTGTTGCAGATACCCACAATGCCTCCACTTCCTGGACCTGCTACAGTATGAACACTTCCGCAAGGAGCTTGTCAACGGTCAGTGTGCCAAGTTCATCGATGACCAGCAGCTGCTACATTGGCAGCACTATCAGCGGAAACGGATGTCGCTGCTCCAAGCTCAGGCCGACCAGGCCGCTGCAAGGGGAGATAAGCCAATACCATGATGTCCAAGGGCTGTCCAAGACCACGCGGATGGCCAAACCTTTAACACCCACTGCCGAGCTCAACCAAACTGTTATCAATGCAGCCAAGTTTTTTAAAGGGCAGTTGCATTCATAGGGCATAAGATGCTGCAAGGGAGATAACCCATGTGGCATTCCATGGATATCAAAAGACATTATTCGAGTATGGTTGTATTGCCTTTACATACCACTGAGCAAAGGGAGACTATCCATGTCAGGATCTGTGCAAATTATGACTTGTGACAGGACACACATGACAGTAGGTGTGTGCCAAACCTGTCGGAACTTAAGTCGGATGTTCTCATTGGTTTTGCTATGGAACCCGATTTACCAAGCATGTATGTAGCATGCGGTGTAGTGTATGTCAAGTCAAGATGATTTGATGTGGCAAGAGACTGTGTGCACCAATTTGCTTATGTGTATGATCCAACTTTTGTGTTATGCTATGAATCAGATGTTCTCTTTTTGTATAAATTTGTATTCAGGGAGAATCTTTATAAATCTTGACTTTTTGAAAGACTCTCAATATTTTTGTTATGTCAAACTAATGGTGAGATGGCAGTGAAATGAGAACTACCGGTATGTGAGTGAGTGAGTTGTGTTTAATGCCACTTTGAACAGTATTCCAGTTATGTCATGGTGTGTCAGTTTGGTGTATGAGGAAGGCTAAAAGTGATGCTTGTCTTATATACTTACTAGTGAGTGAGCTGGGCTAAAGCTGCTTTTAACAGTTTTCCAGTTGTATCACAGTGTATCAGTTTGATGCAGGTCTTAAGACGTTATCAGTATTTCACTTTGATGAAACACTTGAGCATGGGTATAGGGATGATAAACATAGAAACACAAGGGTGAACTGAGGTTTCAAACCCACGATAATAGGCTTCTGATTCACTTAATGGGGAAGTAAAGTCAACAGAATGTGTTGAACAATCCATATAGTTTATGGGCACATGTGCAAGATACTGTTACCAATGAGTACTGCACCATTCTCCTGTAAACAGATTGGACCTGGGGCACAACATGCATAATCAGTCAGGGTGACCTCTTGTTTACGCAGCTTTTCAATTCCCATAACTGTGTGTAGGAATTCAGTTTTTGCACATTTTATCCCTTTTTGTTATCAAAGAAGTATAAACTCACAGGAAGAAAGACGTAAATAGTAACATACATTCATTATGTTTGTATTATTGTACTTTTGAAAAATAAAACACAATAATCTTGACTTCCATCTTCCCGAGGCTAGTTTGGCAAGGGTGGAAACTGGACTTTTATAGTCAGTTAACTCCCTTGTTTCAGGAAGATATCTTGACTTATAAAGGGAAAATATAAAAATAAAAAATCGTGCAAAACAGTAGGGTCATTTCATTTGGTAACTGCAAACTGCATATGTTGAATTTTGTTATAAAACTTATATCATTAAAATTCCAAATGCTTCAGGTACATTAAAAACAGGGTATTTTCGACTATTTTTGCCAATTTCCATGCGTAACGTGGTGGGAAAAAAATCAAAAGCAGGAGAAACGTGTTGGAATTGGTGGAAATGGAGGCCTCTTCATCCTCTGTGTTTACCAATCAATGTGTGGTTTGTATTCAGTTTGTTGTGTGCATAATGGAATGGACTCCTGGTCGTCTGAGATGTAATTTTCCTGGATTACAAAAAAAACAACTAAATTCAACAAATTTACTTTTATTTGTTCTCCACTCTTTAACATTCCATAACAATCACATTCTGGAAAACTATCGTTGTATTGAATCGGTGATACCTCATCATTGAAATGGATAATTTAGTTCTCAAGTTTGATTCATACCAAGACAATTTCAACTAAAGGCAAACCATTATGTTGACATTAAATATTTTGACTGCATATAAATAATATCGGAGAAAAATGTGGAGTTTGATTGCGAATATCTTGCACAGTATCACAGTGTAACTGTAACCATGGTAACAGGTATAAACAGCATGAAACTCTATCATGTCTCACACTCAACCAAAAACGTAGACATAACCAACATCTAAGATACTTGCAAAAACATTTACTTGAGCAGTAGGTAAACAGTCTGCTGAAGAGGTTCTGTCACTGTCAATGACAGAGCTCCTGTTATGACCCCTGAAAAACACCAAAGTCACGCAGTATCGGAGAAACATAGATCCCCTTGACACATCAGCTTCACAGGTAATGGGTCACTTAGCACGTTAGTACACCACCCTTGAAGATCAGTGTCAGAATTTATCTTCAGGAACCCATAGAGGCATCAATAGGGATCAGATGGTCAGGCTTGCTGATGCATGTCATCGTATCCCAACTGCATAGATCAATGCTCATGAAGTCAATCACTGGATCATCTGGTCCAGACTCAATTATTTACAGACCACGATCATAGCAGTAATATTGCTAAGTGCGGTGTTAAACAACAAACAAACAAAGATAAGCATACACATCAATCGGCCACGCCAATACTTCACAGGTTTGTAAACACTACATAAGTACAGCTTACGTAAGTACAACTTTGCAGTGTCGTCACTTTTCTTCTGACAAATCAAGCAAAGCATGGCTCCAATGAGAGGGACACCAGCAAGGGCTCACACCAATGAGTGGGTGAGTATGGTCTTACATCACTTTTAGCACTATTCCAGCAATATCACACCAAAAATGGGCTTCACACATTGTACCCACGTGGCGATCACTTTAACCACTGGGCTATCCCACCACACCGAAGACCAATGAGCTCTGGGATTACACTGTACAAATGTTAATGTTTTTGCTTGACGTGTGAAAGACACCACAGCCTTTTGGCTGTCTGCTGTACACAGTGCTACAATGTCAGGCAATGTTTCAGTTCACACAAAGGTCATGCATTGAGTGGGGTTCATGACTGATGAGGGGTGGTGGTTTAACCTAGTGGTTAAAGCATTTGTGCATCACGCCGAAGACCCAGGTTCGATTCCCCTTATGGGTACAATATGTGGAGCCAATTTCGGGTGTCCTCCACTGTGATATTGCTGGAATATTGTTAAAATATCTAAAATTATGGAGTATATTTTGGCTGGACTCACAAGTCTATGCATAGTCCAATCAACATTGTGTAACGAAATCGACTTCCAGTTCATCAACTGCTGTCCAGATTTCGGTTAATTGCAGGATTAGCAAAGCATGTGTACCACCAACTCCGCATCAACAGATATTTTCCAAATCTTTTCATTTTTTAAATCAAGGCCGTCACATGATTTGATGCACTTCACGAAGTAAGACCCGTTTTATTACAGATACAGATCTTGATTATCAATCAGGTTGTCTTGACCGGGTGTCACCATTTTGTTTGAAGCAAATGCAAGTGAAATGAGAAGTGGAATCTGATTAGTCAGTGGGAGGGACATACAAGGGACATAACTCGTAATAGCCACTGATGACGCTACAGTCGAACCCAAAAATTCCAGCCTAGTTCGGCAAGGGTGTAAACTGGACTTTTACAGTCAGTTCACTCCTTCACTGCATAGCGGCTGCAATTCATGTTTGATGGAGTTGGGTTTAAAGCCGCTTTTAACAGTATTCCAGTTATATCGCAGCGTGTCAGCTTAATGTGGGAGGAAAGCCCGAAGTGATGCAGGTCTCAGACGTTTACCACTTTGGTGAAACCCACGAGCACAGGTATGGTGCTGACAAACCTAGAAACAAGGGACGCAACTCTGCACAGCGAATCGCGGCGCCTTAGATGACTGGGCCACCCGTGCCCCCTGTTTCATGGAGGAACAGTACATTGTATATGCAAATCAGTTTGAAGCTCTGCTACAAAATATACACCAAGGAACTGAAGCTACTACATCACTGACCACTAGCCTACCAGAGTTGATCCACGAATTTGAAAAATGATTGCACACCACCCAAGCTACGAAGTGAAGAAAAACACTTTGAGGGATGGGTACAGGTTACAGATTGGTATTAACTGTCTGAAAAGGGGATGTACGCAGCCTCCCTCCTGGTTCACCCAGCCTGTGCTCTTTAACTTTTTTTGAGTGGTATATAACTGAAAAGAATCAAAACTCTCAACATGCAAACATTTGTATTTCAGGGGTAGACAACATGAGTTAAATACAACGATTCAAGTGTATAAAAAATAAATAATTTGTGCTTCTATATTTCCACTGGTCTACAGACCATATCTATCCCTGGATATAGTCATGGGGTATAAGTATTCATCAGTCAGTGAACAATTTATAAACGATGGCAAGGAGGCCGTGACAATCTTCTCAACAAAATAATTTTCCATCGTACACATATATTCAGTTCTGCAAATATGCAAAATATATTCAAAACTATCACATGAACATGCAATTTCGCTTCTTTGTTGTGATAAAGCATACCCCATCACAAAATCTCATGCTGTTTTTCTATAAATACTCCACTGATTAATATGAAATTCTTTCATAAGAGATACAAATTGTGGTGAACATTCTTATAAGATTTAAATTGTGGACATTACTACAAATGCACCTCTGCAATAAGATATCATCAACAGAGATTATGTTTCCTCATGAATACCATGACTGTACATTATCTGAAAAAATTATTTACTTGCAAATTGATGTCATTTTGATTTGGACATGCTGCATGTTCAATTTTCAGGGATGAGAATGGATATTTTCTTTTTCAGCTAAAACTTCTTTGCAAAGGAGCGTGGTCCATAAGCTAGGGGTGTTTAAGGGGGAAGCCATGAGATTTTAACAAATTTGTGGTCACTAAAATTTGCAGATCTGTGGAGGATTCTCAGCCCTAAATCCAGAATGTTACTCTCTTGCTCACATGATAAAGTGAACTTTGTACACACTCTGGTGAGGTAGACTGTTGTATGATATCCTCATTACTCTGGGGACGTATTCATGAAAAGTCTGAGAGTGCTCAAGAAGTCTCAGAGAATCTTTATGAATACGGCCCCTGAATCGTCCAACAACAGTGACCACAGTTTTCATCACATTCAAATATATAAATAGCAAGTGCTTCCGTGGCATTTGATGGGCAAACCAAGCAATATTTTTTGTGTTTATTTTTCCATAGATTATAGAATGGGCTGGGCTTGAGTTGCATTACTGTGCAGCATGATGTCACCGATTTCATGCCGTTGTCTACATGTTAGTCACTAAATAAGCAGCCTGTGAAGTACTTATTGTTGACATATTTATTCAAAAGGATTGACTTCAATATTTTTTTAGTTTATGGAGATATCAACATAAAAACCAGCATGCACACTTTGCACTCTGCGGATTTACACAGTTTGCACACTGGTTTTTAAGTTTATACCTCCACAAACACAAAAAATATTGAAGTCAATTCTGAAATATACCACTCATGTCTTAACGGGAGGGATATTCCTAGTGTACCGAATGTGATGGATTGATTCTCTGAATGATTGGAGATGGGACAATAGTTTCCAATATTGCCAAAAATTCAGTTTCATATCATTTCAAATAAAAATAACAATGTAACATGTATTAGGAGGGGGCACGAAATGTTATGTAGAATGTGAAGACCATTGATACAGTGCTGGTTATTGCTCTGAATATTCATATCAATAATCGGAGATCTCACATCGATTGTTGAACATTTACTAATTCTCATCAGGAAATAATAACAATATATAACCACTGAATTAGTTGGGTTCAATATCAGCTCGGTACTAACATGATATATGCAGCACATGATATCAACATGTACTTCGTCATGAAAGGGAATTTATTACAACTGGTGCAATTGTTTCTTCAAATAATATTACAAAGAATGTATGTACCTATAGTTTCAAATTAACATCTTTTTCTTTACCGATTAGACAAGATAGTAGATATGACGTGCTGACTGTCCCATTCAAATTATTGACAGATTATTTCATCACCCATCACTACAGTGATGCTGTCCCACTTTGTGATATAGTTGAAAAAGTGGTATTAAACTTAAGTCCCTCATCATGTTAGTTGAACAGCTGGTAATCAAATGCACAAAAAGTCCTGAAGATTTTAAACAGCAGTAAGCACAGAGTTTCATGAGAAAGCGCCAGGATTTGTGCCAAACCTAAAAACATAACTGGGCAATGGGTGAGGGAGTATGTGAGTAAATGTTCCAGCTACATGTATATCGTGTGGGGAATCAAACTGGGTAAATGCCGGGCGATGATAACTTGTGATGTCACAATGGTCTGCATAGCAGGGTGATGCAATTTCAAAGCAGAGTTATCCCCTAGGAGATATTGTTTGGTCTTACCTAAGTGATATCTCATGTGGAGGTCAGTCTGATGACAAATATCCAAAAAATACTTTTGATGGTACAAACAAAATACATGAGCTCTGATGATGTTGACTAAATACGTTCTTTCTGATGGTAAAAAAAATACATCTGCTTTGTATATATGTAACATATTTCCTGTAATCATTATTATAAAAAAAACTGGAAATTGGGCCATTTTGGGGTCATCTAGTCACATGACTCTCGTTACTGCCGTCGTTGGGCGTCACATGACTTTTGGTACTGTGACTGGAGTACATCACATGATTCCTTTCACTGTGTTCAATGAGTGTCATGTGACCTGTCCTATGAACCTTGGTGCTGGTACCAGGGAGGGGCGCAGGACTTGTCCCATGCTTCTGTTTGCGGAGCTGGTACAGATATTTGAGACGTCCCCACACTGCCAGGCACATGTTGATGAGTCTGTCATCCTTGATGCTGGCGTGATGGGCAAACAGGTACTGGCGTCTGCAGAAAAACACCAACAGTTAGGCAAGAAATAGGGAAACAATGGGGTAGTCATGGCTAAACTGCCTAACTGTGTGTCAAAGAAGCAGCGTTAGAAATTGGCACTAGTCCTGTAGTCCTTACCAAACTGCCCAATAGTAAAGGTATCCTAAGGACTAGTAGAAATTGGCCCATTTTAAGGGTTTTGCTATATGTTATCATTATAAGGACTAGTGGACAAAAACTGTTAGTTTCTAACCCTGAAGAAGTTGTAAGTATCTGGTATCAAATGTCTGCAATTATTATCTCCCTCACCACAGAGATGCATTAGGCTAAAAACATGTTGTTTTCACACAATAGGGCTGTGTATTGGCAAAATATTTGTATTGCAAAATGATGTCATACGTGTATACGTATTGTGATGCGTATTGTAATATACTGGGAGCTAAAGTGTTTGACTATGATTGACATTGATTGTACATGCAGATTCTATTGCAACAAGCGTAATTTTGTTGTCATGGATACAGGGGAGATAACAACATGAGAGAAACTTCACTTTTGCGTTTCATCATCAATTTCGAAGGAAAACATCTTTTGTGAATTAATTTCTGTGAAGATATTAGGTTACACAATAGAGATAATGACGAAACTTGTCATATTTGTTTAACAGAAGGCAGCAGGAATATTCTCCAATGATAAACATAAGATGATGATTTGAGTCACTTGAAATAATTATTGTTTTGTTGGCCCCGTTACTCTGGCCATAGATCAGATTGTTATGTAGTGTTAATTTATGCCAAAGCAACAATTGGCAGGCGTGTTTATATCACCTGACTATCTTCTTGCACTCTTTGAAATACCCAAGTTGAAGACGGCTTTGGGCCCAGAATATCCGGCATTTGGCGGCCATGATTGGATCCCCGAGCTCCATGGCGACCCGAAACTGCTTCAGCGACACCTGCCCCGCAGTTACTGCCTGGAAGACCCATTGTAGAGGAATAAACATGATACTGTTACAGTACATTGTAGAGTACAAATACACATAGTTGTGTCAATTATCAGATGTTATCCTGGTTAATGAGTGTTGTTAATTTTAACATTGTTAATTGAAACCAAGCTGGTGGGTAACACAGACTGGTGCCACTTGTCTGTTCATCTTCCCGAGGCAAGGGAGCTCACTGATTGACCCTTGCCATACAAGGCTGGAATTTCTGGGCTTGATCGTAGTGCCATTAGTGGCTATTTTTGATTATGTCCCTTCTATGTCTCTCCTTTTGACCGGGGGCACGGGTGGCCCAGTCGTCTAAGGCACCACGATTCGCTGTGCAGAGTTGCGTCCCTTGGTAACACCAGACACCTATGAATGTGGGTTCGAATCCCGGTTTGCCCCAATTATGTTTCTAGGTTTGTCAGCACCATACCTGTGCTCGTGGGTTTCACCTAAGTGGTAAACGTTTGAGACCTGCACCACTTCACGCTTTCCAACACATTAAAGGGGCACTGATCTAACGGACTGGTTGTTGCCTTTGTTATTGTTTTTCCCCCGTGAGTACCCGGATGATACGCAACGCAACTGAGCGTGACCAGAGACTGGGGTACCGTCTGCAAGGACAGCTAAATAAACTTGGAGGCTGGAGGCAATATTTGTTTTACGCATTTTTGAACACTGATTGGTTAACTGTGATCTATAAAGATTTCGACAAAGGGCGCATGTTAATTCATTTCTTCAGCCTAAACAAACAGACAAAAAGAACAAGGGAGCTCATCGGATGTCGTCATTTGGAAATACCCCAGATGGTTATAGTTTAATACTAAAAACAGTATCCATGCAGTGAAAGCATTTTCGGATTTCGGCTTGCGTCGATAATACGATTACTACTCCCTTGTTGTCATCCACGTTTTCTCGTATAACCCTACACTTGTGTATTTGTCGTCATTCACTTGATGCTCAGTTAATGAATTTATTACACGTACAATTAGTGGTAGCACCACTTATATTACCTGACAAAGGTTCCCATTTGGCATTTATTGTGTCTGGGGTAATTATTCAATCTAAATCCAGGTTTGAAGTGAGGTGAAATGTGTGTTATGTAATATGCACGTGGCAGCCCAGCAAGAGATGAATGATCAGTTGATTTACTTTTTTTGTAAATCAACGGATCGTTCCTAGTCATCAAAGGATTAACAGAAAATACGTTGATTGATTAATCACTGTTATCTTGCACAGTGGATATGTCAAGAGTGAGTGTTTACATGTCTAGGTTTACTAAAACAAAGGGAATACACTCATATCATGGCGCGAAGTGCCGATGTAAAAAGAACATACTTTGTTCAAAGGGTTAACTGATAATACATTGATTGATTGATCATTGTTATCTATCACTCAATGGAATTTTTAGGAACCGTGGACGCTATGAAAATAGTTTTCACGTGGGCTTTCTCAGCCGACCTTTGAGACTTGACACCTATGTAAAACACCTGAAACAATCCAAGCGATCAGTTGAGAAACGAACACGGGTTATAATATCCCGAAACGATATATATCTTTTAAAATATTTGATTGTTACTGAGACACGTGACATCGAATAAGTTTCTTTGTGCAGCTGCAGATGAGTGGGATATTGTTCCTTTGTGTGGATGTTCACGGATACATTCCTCGAACAAGGAAGCTGCCTAAAACTTATACACATAAATTTGGTAGGTTGTAATTATGATATCTGCATTTTGTTTTCCTTCATTTGAACCGATTCGTTCTTGTTTCTCTACGTCTTGGTTGGGAAATTCTTCAATGCGCGATAGACGTTGTTGTCACAGGTCTTTTCCTTTGTAAGCGTGTATATATTACCGTCAATTTGTAAAATGTGATTCTCTCAGGCAATTTATAAAATGTGTAAATATTTCAGTCATTTTGACTAAAACATCTGTCCAGATTGATCAAGACGATCAAAAGGGCCTACAAACATCACAACAGATTATTATGTAGGATTAAAAGCCAAACAACTTAGAAATGTACTTTTCAACGTTACATTTTCAGTCTCTTGGTGATGACATTAAACATCAAAATGTTTGGAATTCGTTGTCATAATAATACAGATGGAAATGTTTTTCAGTCACTTTGTAAAATAACTGAATATTTAGACGTTTAATAAATTTGTTACACTTTTGACAGTAAAAAAATATACACACTATAAAAAAAGCATATGCTCAGGTGAAATATATACTTTGTGTTGCAAGTCAAAATAGTGTAAACGAAAATCGCAAAATTACCGAGCAAGTGACCATTACCGATGCTACTCACAAAGATACCTACATTTCCTTATTATCTCGAAAACTGTATTTCATTTTGTTGATCAATGTGACCATACGCCCTTATTACTACCCATAAAAGTGACTAATGCGCTTACGAATGGCGCAGCAGAGGTCGCGAACTAGTCTAGATTTCTGCTATACATCCGGGTATTCACTGGGGAAAAACAATAACAAAGGCAACAACCAGTCCCGGGGAATTGCGTTAGATCAGTGCCCCTTTAAGCTGACACGCCGTGTTATAACTGGAATACTGTTAAAATCACCAAATCACTCACTCACTCACTCACTCCTGTTGACCAGTCAGATTCAACCTCTCATATCACTTGCATTTGCTTCAAACAAAATGGTGGCGACAAGTCAAGACGCCCGAATCAATAATCAAATCTCTTTCGTAATATATAGGGTCTTACTTCGCGATGTGCATCCAATCATGTGATCACCTTGATTAAAACATGAAAAAATTTGGAAAATATCTGTTGACGTCGAGTTGGCAGTGCACGTTATCCAAGCGTTGCAATTGACCTAAATCTGCACTGCAGTTGATGAACCAGATGTCGATTTCGTTTCGCAATTTTGATTGGACTACACACAGACTTGCAAGTCCAGCCAAAATATAACTCCATAGTTCCAGACCAGTTTGGCAAGGGTGGAAACTGGAATTTTATAGTCAGATAACTCCCTTGCCTCAGGAAGATGCTTGTCTGTCATACGTGAATAGTTTCTATTTACAGACTGTGCCAAACTCTTTGAAATCTACTGGCCAAAATATGTCGTCCATGTCAGGTATCACTTTCTAAACATACTAAATACATTGACTAGAATCAGTTATCACCTTAGCCTACTGGACTTAAAATGAAACGTGTGGCTAACCACAGACCAGTGCCTTAGCTTAAATTGAAAAATGACACTAAATTTAACAGTAAACAATAAAATCCAAAAGAGCTCACATGGACTTGAAAGTAATCTCCGAGTGCCGAGTACCCTCCGCCCAGGGTGGACAGCCACGCCATCCCTTCCTCACACAACATCCGCTTCACCGCCAGGCCACAGATTCGCTTTCCCCTACCAACAACAACATATCCAGCATTACTTTCCCCTCAACAACATATCCAGCATTACTTTCCCCTAACAACATATAGAGCATTACTTTCCCTTCAACAACATATCCAGTGTTACTTTCCCCTCAACAACATATACAGCATTACTTTCCCCTAACAACATATAGAGCATAACTATATAGAGTGTTACATTACCCTGACAATGGATACAGTGTTACATTACCCTGACAATGTATACAGCGTTACATAACCCTGACAAACGGATACAGCGTTACATTACCCTGACAATGGATACAGCGTTACATTACCCTGACAATGGATACAGCGTTACATTACCCTGACAATGTATACAGTGTTACATTAACCTGACAATGTATACAGTGTTACATTACCCTGACAATGGATACAGCATTACATTACCCTGACAATGTATACAGTGTTACATTAACCTGACAATGGATACAGCGTTACATTACCCTGACAATGTATACAGTGTTACATTAACCTGACAATGGATACAGCGTTACATTACCCTGACAATGTATACAGTGTTACATAACCCTGACAATGGATACAGTGTTACATAACCCTGACAATGTATACAGTGTTACATAACCCTGATAATGGATACAGTGTTACATTACCCTGACAATGGATATAGTGTTACATTACCCTGACAATGGATACAGCGTTTCATTACCCTGACAATGGATACAGCGTTACATTACCCTGACAATGGATACAGCGTTACATTACCCTGACAATGGATACAGTGTTACATTACCCTGACAATGGATACAGCGTTACATTACCCTGACAATGGATACAGTGTTACATTACCCTGACAATGGATACGGCGTTACATTACCCTGACAATGGATACAGTGTTACATTACCCTGAAAATGGACACAGCGTTACATTACCCTGACAATGGATACAGTACTACTTTCCTCTAAACATCATATTGCTCCCTGAACAACATAAAACAAACTGATATCCTAACACGCTTAATGCAACAATGATAAAAACATTGTGTGACTGTTCTTGAGAAAAAGTTATAGACATGTACATGGTCACACTCACCATGGGTAATCAATCCTTTGATTTGGCCACACAGCTACCACATCTACCATGTATGGGACTGTCAGAAACTGATCACATATCAAATCCGAAAAATCAATGCGCTCGTAATCACAAGCCTTAAACCCATATGTCCTTGCAAGGAATTTTAAAAATCGTCTTCTAAATCTCCTGCTTCGATGAACTTCACATGCGGCACAGGATGCAAGATGGGCATCCATTAATACGACACACTTTGTAGCTGGGACTACACCAATAGTGAGAGACTGATCCTCCGGGAAATCTCTGTCCAGCTTATCTAAGAAAGACGGCGATGACACGTGACTTTGTTGCAGCATGCTAGTCCGTGAGACAATATTTTCACAAAACGTTTGAGAATCATTTTCAGGATTGCCAAATATTCCTTGATTTGCTGCACATCTTTCATGGCTGCCTGATTCAGATTTTCGCACGTTTGAATCACTTTCTTTTGAACAGAATGTCAGGTCATTCAGATTGATGTCCAAAATATCTGTGAGGAAGAGAAGCTGGACGAACAGTCTCCCCTCGTCTAATTGCACAGGAGCCAGCTCCCGACTGTACAACATACAATCATAGATGCCATTACAGCTTCGGAAGTTGATAAATATCCGTGGCATGGTGAAAATGTATGGTCAGTGATAGGTCAACTACTAGCCCATGATCATCATGTGTAGTCCTTCATTTATTCACATCGATCCTGAAACCAAAATATACTACGTTAGACTGATGTAAAGTTGCAATGTTCGAAATGAAACAGGACTTCTGCGATCTTTGAAGATTGCTTCAAAAGTATTTGAATCTAGGGACCCTTCTGTAGCTTTTAACATTAGAGCAAAGACCCCATGATTTTCATGCTTAGTTCTGAACACAGGTTAATCAGTAAGAAGATCTGCTGGAATGATCTTTGTTCATTGTGCTACTCAAAATGTTGGGTATTTGGATACCTTTAACAACATATTTGAAGTCAATCTATTGCCCATACAAAGTGTTGCACCGAAGAAACATAGACTAAAAGTCAACTAGGCACACTCAATGATGTGCCTTATATTGTTGGGTGCAGGCTAAAATGGCAGCTCAGCAAAACGTCACAGATATCTTGGGCGAAAATGGCACCTCATCTGGCGAAAACGGCGACTATTTGTCAGGTGGAAATGTTTTAGCTATAACCCATATTGTTTACCGTGTTTACAGCAAGTAAAAGGGTAGTACCGCAATCAGAAGATAAACTTTACGTTTTTAGATTTGCAGGTGTTATTGAGTAATCAATGCCAGGTAATTTCCTGTGGAACCAACGGTGTCATTGTTTATCAACACTGTTAAATACAAAAGTAATCAGTAACTTTCTGAAGCACTCTCTCTACATGAACTCTCACAGTTGTGAGACAGGCATGAAGTCCCCCTGGAATGCTGTTGATGTCATATTGGTAAACAATGACGTCATGACATACAACGTCACATGCTTCTGTGGTAACTGGACTCACCTGTTTGGCAGAATATTGAACAAACATCTAATTTAAAGTTCTTCTGATATATATTGATCAAACTCAATATTTAATTAATGTGGTAACCCTTTCAATAGAGACCATAAAATATTTCATGTCTGCTTTCAACAAGCCGTATTACGTTGTCTATGTGTAATTAGTGAAATCATTAACTGATAGATTGGTACACATCACAAAACTTTAGTTTACCATCAAACAACGTAGGTTTTGAATTACTTTCATCAAACTTGCTTTCCCTACCAGTTGGACCTGTCTAAACTCCCTCTAGGTTATAGGCTAACAGATTAAGTCTCAGACAACTAGCCTACTTTTCATTCAGTCACTGGTCGTCTGCTCCAGCAATTATTCGTTGACTGCAACTGCTTTTATAAACAACTAAAAGGATAAATGGAAAAAGGTAAAACTAGAATGTCCTGTTTTGCGCTTGCCTGTAAACAAATCGAATGTATTCTGTCAATCTTACCACAAGACGACTGGATCATGTTGATCATGCCAGAAAAGGTCACCGTAGGTCAAATATTCAGTTCCGGTATGTTTTCACGAAATTATTTATTCGAAAAAAGTTTAACGAAAATATATCATATTGTTCATTTCCACCGATGTCTAAATAGTAAGGTCACTAAATACCATTTCTATTTTTAATCTTACTTTGAAAGTGACTAACGATGTATTCAGATGTTAAATTATAGGAAAAGATACTACCACACACATACCTGAAACGAACAAGAATAGCATCGTCTGTGGGAAAGTACTAACATTGTTGTATGTTGTGGCGGAAGTCAGTTGATGGCGATGTTGTTCTGTCACATTAGTGACTAATCTCGTGTTTTCACCATGATTATGCTAGGTTAGTCAATCATAACTTTGCACAAGCGTCAGACGCAATTTCCGGATACTTGTTAACAACAGCGTGATACCATTCTTAGAAATCAATGTAATTAACCACGTCTGATTGCCTCAAATCAAGTGTCAACATGTTCAAAATCGTTCCATTACAAATAAGCGCGCCTTTTGTTTAAAGTGATTAATTCGGGAAATTAGTATCGTGGCACACAACCGCATTTGTGCATCTGTCATCAAGCTCTTAGCCTAAGGCACTCTCTTAAAATCATATGCACAATTACACAAGTATGAATCTCAAAAGGGCCTGATGAGACACCTGATGCTAACGTGTTAGGTAATGACTGACCCTGATCATGCTTATGACCTAAACTTAAATAATATTAGTACCATAATTTCTGTACCTTTTAAAGTTAAAAAGGTGTTAATTGTAATTAAATCAAATTTTGTTAAAATGCTGGATAGCCAAGTGATTGAATCCCTGGATCATCACATCAAAATCACCCAAAACAATCTGCGCCAGTAACTTTTGAAACTACTGGCCTGAGTATTCCTCGTAGAATTATTTTCTGTAGAAAAAGGTGTTATTATGTGGACTATTGTTGGTACACCTACAGAATACCAGATACCCATCCGCCTCGTTTGTTGTCTTTAATAAAGCAGAACACGACAATGTGACTACTTTTATAAAAGGGCGATAAAGCTAAAAATAAGTAGACTCCGCTTGCATTTGTATGTTTTTATATGATTAAACCTCAAAATTGAAAATCAAGACTATTCAAAAACATTGAAAAATTGGACATCAACATATTACTCGAAAATAGACGTTCCATAATGGTGTGCAAAATCCTCATCAGTGAAATCTGTCAGGGACACATTGCAACATACCATGATACACCTGTAGTGCTTTTCATTAACTTGGGGGGGGGGGGGGAGGCAAGCCCCATAAACCCCCCTGTTATCTTAGTAAGGTGTATACAAATGATGATGGGAAAACTTAGAAACCGTTAGCAAGGAAGGAGCTTGTGCACATTCCTTTCCAGTATGGCGGAAGTTACCTGGTTTTCTGTATTCTAGGGTACAATGTGTAAAGCCCATTTGTGGTGTCACCTGCCGTGATATTGCTGGAATATTGCTAAAAGTGGCGTAAAACCATATTCACTCCCTCATTTCTGTATTCTAGCCCCTTTATCAGCTGAACTTACTAGATTGATTGGAATGTTTCAAGTCTCTGGCTTTGGACTAGTGGCTAATGTAGGAGACTGCAAAGAATTCCTCTTGTTCTGTTTACAGGAAATAGGAGCAATAATGTACAAGCACCATGAAGACACTTACACAGCACAGTTGGATCTGTTCTTTCACAGAGTTATATATCCATGATGACCTTGCTCAGAATTCTGCCTGTTTTTCACAAGTAGGGTTTGATTAGAACATATGTGACAAGTACATCATGACGGAAGAGAGTTTGAGGGAATCAATTCTTTATCAAAGTTCACAAGATCATGATCACGAAGATGGTGGAATTGGCAGACTGGACAACACAGCTGGTGAGTGCATTTACAAAGTGACACATTTACTTCATGTCCAAAGGTGGATCCAGAGGGGAGGTTCTCTCCCCCCCCCCCCCCTTGAAAACCAAATGTTGTAACATGGTACACTATGTTATCACCATTGTTAACATAGTTAAATTATGATGGATCGTCATGGCAAATGATTACTAACCTATTAAATATTTCATACACAAAATGTTCCTTGTTCTTTGGGTGGCACGGGTGGCCCAGTCGTGTAAGGTGCCGTGATTCGCTGTGCAGAGTTGCATCCCTTTTGCACGCCAGAAACCTATGATTGTGGGTTCAAATCCCAGGCGCCCTGATTGTGTTTCTTGGTTGTCAGCACCATACCGTAGCTCGTGGGTTTCACCGTAGTGGTAAAGGTCTGAGACCTGCATCACTTCGGGCTTTCCTCCCACATTAAGCTGACACGTCGTGATATAACTGGAATAATGTTAAAAGCAGCGTTAAAACCCAACTCACTCCTTGTTCTTTGTTCAACTTTTATGACACATCAATTAGGATTGATATATGTTGTAGGCAGTAAAATTATCTGAGACAGGATTTTGATATTTGGATCATTAAGGACGGTGTGGTCTGAGTCAATCAGTCATCTAGGTCCGGGTTATAGCGAAGTAGGTATTGACAGTTAAACCCTCCAGGGAGCCTCAGTCTGCTGGGTACTGGAGAAGTTCTTGACTGATTGTGTACACAGCTACTAACCCCTCTCCTCCTCAGCATCCGACCTGCTGGAGCAGCAGCAGGCTATGGAGCAGGCACGACTCCTGACACGGTTCCGGGAGCTGCGTCAGTGGCAGCTGCAGCAGCAGGAGCAGTTGATGCATCAGCAGAAGACGCAGCTGGAGGGACTGCGACAGGAACAGCTGAAGGTGCAGAGCCTGCTACACAGAGAGAGAGAGGTGCAGTGGGGTGGAGGGAAAGGTGAGGCCGTGTGGTGAGATAGAGATTAGCTGGGGCTTGTCTTTAATGCCGCACTCAGCAATATTCCAGCTATGTGACAACGGCTTGTAAATAATTAACTCTAGATCTGACAATTAAGTAATTGAAATTATAAGCATTGGTCCACGCCGTTGGGGTATGATGACATGCAATCAACTCATTCAGGAGACCAGATTTGGTACGACCAGTGTTAGGTTGCTGAAGACCCATTCTATTTCTGACCTGCAGTCCCATCAGGGAGAGTGTAAGTTGCTGGGGATGCAGTGAGACATGGATGGAGTGTAGTGCAGGTTTAGTTGACATGGATGAAGTGGGATGGGGATTAAGTTGACAGGGATGCTGTGAGATAGAAATTAAGATGATGGGGTTGCAGTGGGGTACGGATTAAGTTGAGGGGGATGGAGTGGGGTACGGATTAAGTAGACGGGGGATGGAGTGGGGAGAAGATTAGGTTAATGGGGGTGCAGTGGGGTGGAGATTAAGTTGACAGAGATGCAGTGAGATAGAAATTAAGATGATGTGGTTGCAGTGGGGTACGGATTAAGTTGACGGGGATGGAGTGGGGTGGAGATCAAGTTGACGGGGATGGAGTGGGGTGCAGATTAAGTTGACAGGGATGGAGTGGGGTGCAGATTAAGTTGACGGGGTTGGAGTGGGATGCAGATTAAGTAGACGGGGATGGAGTGGGATGGAGATCAAGTTGACAGGGATGGAGTGGGATGCAGATTAAGTTGACAGGGATGGAGTGAGGTGGAGATTAAGTTGACGGGGATGGAGTGGGGTGGAGATTAAGTTGACGGGGATGGAGTGGGGTGGAGATTAAGTAGACGGGGATGGAGTGGGGTGAAGATCAAGTTGACGGGGATGGAGTGGGGTGGAGATTAAGTTGACAGGGATGGGGTGGGGTGAAGATTAAGTTGACGGGGGTTGGAGTGGGGTGGAGATTAAGTTGACAGGGGTTGGAGCGGGGTGGAGATTAAGTTGACGGGGATGGAGTGGGGAGAAGATGAAGTAGACGGGGGTGGAGATTAAGTTGACGCGGTTGGAGTGGGGTGCAGATTAAGTAGACGGGGGTGGAGATTAAGTAGACGGGGATGGAGAGGGGTGGAGATTAAGTTGAGGGGGATGGAGTGGGGTGGAGATTAAGTTGACGGGGATGGAGTGGGGTGAAGATCAAGTTGACGGGGTTGGAGCGGGGTGCAGATTAAGTAGACGGGGATGGAGTAGGGTGAAGATCAAGTTGACGGGGATGGAGTGGGGAGAAGATGAAGTAGACGGGGGTGGAGATTAAGTTGACGGGGTTGGAGTGGGGTGCAGATTAAGTTGACGGGGATGGAGATTAAGTAGACGGGGATGGAGTGGGGTGGAGATTAAGTTGACGGAGATGGAGTGGGGTGGAGATTAAGTTGACGGGGATGGAGTGGGGTGGAGATTAAGTTGACGGGGATGGAGTGGGGTGAAGATCAAGTTGACGGGGTTGGAGTGGGCTGCAGATTAAGTAGACGGGGATGGAGTGGGGAGAAGATTAAGTAGACGGGGATGGAGCAGGGTGAAGATTAAGTGGAGATTGCAGTTGGGTGGAGATTTAGTTGACGGGGATGGAGATTAAGTTGACAAGGATGGAGTCGGGAGAAGATTAGGTGCTGGGGATTGAGTGTTGTGCAGATTTAGTTGACGGAGATACATTTTGCCATAATGTTTCTTGTAGTGATACGTCAGCAAGGAAACACGCCTACAAAGACCCCTCCCCGTCGACGCCCACCTCTCCCAGCCAACAACGAACTGATGACAGCCCTGATGTCAGTGGTGGGGAGCCAGGATCCACTAGCTGTTACACTAGACCAGTCTGTGTCTCAGGTAAGACAGCTGTGTACAACAAGGATCTAATGGTCCTGACAACATAATGAACCAGGGCTCGATTTAACTATGTAAAACTTGCACCAGTGCAATCTATTACTGAAAAATGCAACTTCATATTTATGTCTACATACACCAAGTGAATGTTAAAAAATTCAAATTTGTGTCTGAGTAAGCCTCACTTTTCCACACAACAACCTGTTTTTGTCTGTTGCAACTAAGTTTTCATATCAACATGCACTTGGTGACTCCATATCCAGGGGAACTAGAGTGCGTAGGCTCCATTTTGTAATTAATTCCTGGGTGAAACTGACCCATATCTCTTTCTAAGTAATTTTGGAAAACAGTAACCACTAATGTCATAAACATTATGACATTTGAACAAGAAGACACTAGCATTTGGTGGTATTTAATGGATTTAATCACATTTTTTTGGACTGCTTGTTTGACAAAGCCTAGTCCCTCTTTATGCCCGTTAAGGTGCAGCCAAACAAAAGACCTTGAACGGATGAGCAGCAGTAGAAACTAACAATTTTAGTCAACTAGTCCTGATAATGATAACATATCGCAAAACCCTTCAAAATGGCAAATTTCTACTAATACTTATGATACCTTTATGATAACTATTGGGCAGTTTGGCAAGGACTACAGGACTAGTGCCAATTTCTAATGCTGGTGAGTGAATGTTTGATTGTGAAAGTTGTTTCCTATGCATGAGCAGTCCCAGACGTCTCTGCCCATGCCGGTGTTGTATGGGCCCCCGGCGCCGATGTTGGACGATACCAGCACCAACCCAGAATTGTTCAGCAACCCAGAGTCACGCCCGGACTACCAGAGAGACATCGACGCGGTGGATGATGGCGTCTGTCCCATGCCTGACAACATCTCTGAGATAAGTGATGGCTCATATATGCCTCATGGTCAGAAGAAAAACTTTATAAGGACTCAACCGTTCCTCGGTGACCTTGCATCAGACACTGCTTCAGTGAGGAGTGATGGGTCGTACATCCCTCCAAAACAGTTTATGTCGCGGAATGGCAGCGCTATGCCCATGCAGATGCCGGTGTCACCCGAGGCGGCGTCCCTGTTGCAGACATTGCTGCAGACGACCAAAGCTGACACATTGAAACAGATGCTAGGTCTCGTCCCTCCTGAGCGTGTCGTGATTCCGGACCAGCCACAAGGGATGCGGTCCAGAGTTGCGGACAACGATCAGGACATGGATGTCAACAGAAACTGCTCTCGTGTTCAGCGCAGTCAGGATTATGTGGATGATGAAGAACAGCATCACAAATATGACCGACTCCATAATGGGTCCCGCCATCACTTAGAGAAGCCCCGAGATGACAGCAGTGTTTCTGGTCGACACAGACGGAGTGCTGAGTACAGACATACCAGTCAGGGAGAAAGGGACTTCGGTCAAATACAGCCCGACATGGAGAGGTTGCTTAGAGATGCCCAAGTTCAAGGTCACTGGAATCAGCGGAATGGGCAACAGCTTGATGATACAGTCGAGGATGACAGTTTGATGGAGCAGGAAGTAGCAGACATCACGGTTCAAGAGGTCCAGGTGAGGTTTTGTCACACTTGCATTCTTTTGAGGGGGGATTTTGTTGTTGCTTTTTACGCTCCCGTGAGGATTCCGGGTTTGAATAGATCCCCAGCAACCTATGCTGGTCGTAAGAGGCAACCAATTAGATGGGGTCGTCAGGCATGGTGACTTGGTTGATTGCGTGTCATCGTACTCCAACAATGTTGGACATTGCACATATCAGTCACTGGTTTGTCTGGCCCAGACTTGATTATTTACCCTGTCGTCACATAATAATGGAACCCGTGAAGATTCCGGGGTAGAATAGGTCTTCAGCAACCCATACTTGTCGTAAAAGGCGACTAACGGGATCGGGTGGTCAGGCTCGCTGACTTGTGTTGATACATGTCATTGATCCAAATTGAGCGGATCGATGTTCATGATGTCAATCACTGGATTGTTTGGTCCAGACTTGATTATTTACAGACCGCCGTCATATAGCTGGAATATTGTTGAGTGGGGCAGGCGTTAAACAACAAACAAACAACATAATAATGGAATATTGTTGAGTGGTGTAAAATAACACACAAGAAATATACTACAGTTAACAGTTAAAGACAGCATTACTTTTGTTTAGAAAGACTCTGTCAATTATCCAAAAATGATACAATGATATATTTTGCAAGATTTCTAATGTAAGTGTTCTCAACACAAGAAAATATCAATTAGGTAACTTTTACATGAAATATATATGATGTAAATGTATTTGTACGATGGGTCAATGGCCTTTAATACAGATACATCTGTGTCTATACTCCAGGCCTGTGTACATGAAATAAAAGATGAACTGATTTCCATACATCTGACCCTTGATTTCCATGACTTCTTGTAACCATGGTAACACCTGACTTCTTCCCTATGTTGGCCAGGAGATGAAGGTGCTAGGTATTGATGACAGACCCATCAAGTCGGAGTTGGCAGGTCAGTATTGTACACACTCTGTTGTCATCAATTGCAATATTTGCAGGGGCGGTCGGGTAGCCTTGTGGTTAAAGCGTTCGCTTGTCACGCCGAAGACCCGGGTTCGATTCCCGACATGGGTACAATGTGTGAAGCCCATTTCTGGTGTCCCCCGCCGTGATATTGCTGGAATATTGCTAAAAGCGGCGTAAAACCATTCTCACTCACCCACTCACTCACTACAATATTTGCATCAACTGGCACCAAAGTTACCATGGTTACAGAGATTTATCTAAGCCTCCTCAGAGGCCAATATTGGTCCCTTAGTAGCAAATGTCAGTAACTTGTCCCAAGTTGGATTTGAAACTTTCCTTGTCTGTGCAATCTAAATTTTGCGTAAAACTTATGGCTTTATAGAGGTGACATATGTTTTTTACTGACCAATAAGATGAAAAGATTTACTGTTGCCGTGGTTACATTGTTGCATTGAATGCAATGTTAAAATACCTTTGAACTTAAGAGAATATTGACTTTGCAAGCATCCAAATTTTGAGCAAAATGACTAAATGTTAGGACAAGTGGGCGACTTGCCTTGCTTAATCTCATACAGGGATATGTGGGCAGAAGAAGTCACCAATTGACAAAATAATTGGCTTGATGGGGATTGGGTAGTCATAATGTTGTGTCATGGAGATTCACGATCGCTGCTCATACATCAAGCCTTGGTTTATCTGGTCCAGACTTGTTACTTCACATCCCCAGTGATGTTCCAGGTTAGAATTGGTCTTCTACAACCCATGCTTGTTGTAAGAGGCGACTAAAGGGATCGGGTGGTCAGGCTCGCTGACTTGGTTGAAACATGTCATTGTATCCAAATTTTGTAGATCTATGCTCATGATGTCACTCACAGAATTGTCTGGTACAGATCGATTATTTACAGGCTGCCATCATTTAGCTGGAATATTGCTAAGTGCTATGTAAACAACAAACAAAATTCAGAATTGCTGAAGACCAGTTAATATTTTCTTAGGTTAAAAGGTGTTTCAACATTGCATTCAAGAGGTGTTGATCCTGACTGAGTGAATCCTTAACATTATGTGTTCTGTGTCCAGGCAAGAAGACGTTTGACCAGCTGCTGGAGGAACAGATGAAGGAGGAAGAGGAGAGGGTAGGTGGGGGAGGGGTGGGGAGAGAGGGGTTGTTTGGGCAGGGGAGGGGTGGGGGAGAGAGGGGTTGTTAGGGCAGGGGAGGGGTGGGTAGAGAGGGGTTGTTTGGGCAGGGGAGGGGTGGGTAGAGAGGTGTTGTTTGGGCAGGGGAGGGGTGGGGAGAGAGGGGTTGTTTGGGCAGGGGAGGGGTGGGGAGAGAGGGGTTGTTTGGGAAGGGAGAGAGGGGTTGTTTGGGCAGGGGAGGGGTGGGGAGAGAGGGGTTGTTTGGGCAGGGGAGGGGTGGGGAGAGAGGGGTTGTTAGGGCACGGGAGGGGTGGGGAGAGAGGGGTTGTTTGGGCGGGGGGTGGGGAGAGTGGGGTTGTTTGGGCAGGGGAGGGATGGGGAGAGAGGGGTTGTTAGGGCAGGGGAGGGGTGGAGAGAGAGGGGTTGTTTGGGAAGGGGAGGGGTGGGGAGGGCAGCAGGAGAGGGTATGTGATGGGGGGGTTTGGACAGGTGAAAAAGGGCAGGTGGATCGGGGATGAAGAGGGAGAGAGTAAGGAAGGGGGAGAGGATGGATGGGGCGGGGAGAGTTTTGGGGGGGGTTAAAGGGCATGTGAAATCAAATGGATGAGCAGACAGAAAAAAGACATTATAAATTAAAAAATCCCAGCCAGAAGCAGGCAGACTGGGTGTTGGCCCATTCATCATGATCATTGAAGTTGCACAAGGCATTAAACATCAGGAACCCATTTTAACCCCAGTAAGGGGAATCCCCTCAGTAGTGGAATTTTTCGTTTGCAGTGTGATTTCAGCTGTCATTTTTTATCATCTGTTTTATGCCATTTCTGTGTTTCAAATATAATTTTGGTCAAGCATGTCTGATTAAGTATGTCCTAAAACTTTATTAACATCTGTAAAGTTACTATGTTTACTTTAACTGCCCTTTGAGAAGGGTTATGAATGAAAAAGAAAATAGAACATAATTTGTTATATTTTGAGGAATATAAACTTTCTTGTTCACCACAAAAAAAATATGCATACATTTTGTTAAACTGCAAGATCAAATTGACAAACATAGAGTCAGATAGATTTTTGTAGAACAATAACAATCAGAAAGGTGTGTTTTATGCTCCTACTGGAGTTACACGGAGCTGTTCCTCAGGATGCCACTGTCTGTGTTTCAGCTGAGAGCAGGTGCTTGTGATTCCCCCAGTACCAGAAAGAAGCCATTTCTACGCAAAGGTCAAGGTTTGGCCAGGTTCGGCCCTGGGAAGAAAAAGGCAGCCCCTAGAAAACCTGCGACGACCGAGAAACTCCTTGACAACAAACCATCCGCGAACACCGAGTCGAAGCCTGTCAGTAGAGTAGTAAGTCTCTTATAGTAAATGATGATTCATTGTGTTTGCATAGCTGCTAACTGTCATAAATTTTTCCTTTTTGTTACAAATTTACACCTAAAAAACGAAAATATGATTTCTTCCTTAATTCATACGAACAAAATGCCAATCAACAGAAAAGAATCCCTAGGATTAAATTTTGATAGACACCAGTGAGCATGGGTCATTATTTAGCCTTGCACCGTCTGCCACGAACAAGAGTGTGTCTTGTTTATGGACTGGTGTGAAGTCTATTTATGGTGACTGCCTCCGTGGTCTAGTGGTAGAGCGTCCGCCCGGAGAGCAGAAGGTCCGGGGTTCAATACCCGGCCGCGTCATACCAAAAGACGTTAAAAGAGGGTGCTTGTTGTTACCCTGTCTGGCGCTCGGCATTAAGGGGCTAAAACAAGGACTGGTCGGCTCGGAGTCAGTATACTGTGTCTGAGTGGGGTATTCATGTTAAACTACAGCATGGTAACTCAGTGAGCTAGCACTATAAATCGGCATCAGTCCGGACTAGTACAAGCAGCTACACACGTACATGCACGTCGCTATATAAGTGCAATAATCTTGGACGCGGCGTTAAACCCCATTTCACCCTCACCCTATTTATGGTGTTGGACACTCTAGTTGCCTAGTTACAGTATTTACTTGTCATGCCAAAGATCATTCTTGTTTGTCCCCTGCTGTGATGTGGCTAGGATATTGTCAAAAGCTATGTGAATCTCACTCAGTGGCAGAGATATGTTGACGCATGTGACTGGAAATGATCGGGTGTCCCTACAGTGACACATCTTCCTGAGGCAAGGGCATTATCTGACTAAAAGTCCAGTTCCCACCCTTTCCAAGTTTCCAGGCTCAACTGTAGCACCACCAGTGGCTACTATGAGTTATGTCCCATCTCTGTCCCTCCTATTGACCAATCAGATTCCACCTCTCACATCACTTGCATTTGCTTCAAACAAAATGGTGGCACCCAGTCAAAACAATCTGATCAATAATCAAGATCTATATTGTAATAAAAGGGGTCTTACCCAGTGAAGTGCATAAAATCAATTGAGCACCTTATTAAAAGCATGAAGAGATTTGCAAAATATCTGTTGAAGCTGAGTTGGCGGTACATGTTTTGCAAATCCTCCAGTTGACAAAATCCATGTAGCTCGTTGCACGATTTTGATTGGACTATGCATAGACTCGGTTGTCCAGCCAAAATTTAACTCTGGAATTCAAGCCTTGTCCAGCAAGGGTGGGAACTGGACTTTTATTGCCCCTTGCCTTGGGAAGATGACAGTGACACAGGTAGCTGAAAGTGAATTCATCCATGTTTCAGGTGAAGGTTAACAAGGCAGCTCCCAAACCAAAGAAGTCCTCAGCTGTTTCCTCTCACAAGGTCAGCAAGGAGCCACAGTCTAGTCAGACAAATGGACCAAAGAAAGAACCCTCTCCCAAGCAGAAGAACAAGACCACAGCCCGAATCTCGCCACGTCAAACTGCCCCAAAACACAGCACGGCGCCACACACGGACTCCCCACCCAATGTGAAGAGGGTGGGCCAGGCAGACTCGCCCGGTACGAAGGGGGTAGGCCGGACAGAGGAAGCTGTGCAGTTTGACGATGATGCATCATTTGTGGGGAAAATAAGGAAAATTGAAGAAAATAAGAAGGTGTGCTTCCTCTGCTGTGTTATCTCTCATGATCTATTTTATCAGAGAGCAATTAACAGAGATGCCAACAATTACAGGCAATTTGTCTGCTGATGTCATGTCTCTGTTGATGTTGTCATGTGTGTCTGCTGATGTCATGTCTCTGTTGATGTTGTCATGTGTGTCTGCTGATGTTGTCATGTCTCTGTTGATGTTATCATGTGTGTCTGATGATGTCATGTCTGTTGATGTTATCATGTGTGTCTGATGATGTCATGTCTCTGTTGATGTTATCATGTGTGTCTGATGATGTCATGTCTCTGTTGATGTTGTCATGTGTGTCTGATGATGTTGTCATGTCTCTGTTGATGTTGTGTGTGTCTGCTGATGTCATGTCTCTGTTGATGTTGTCATGTGTGTCTGCTGATGTTGTCATGTCTCTGTTGATGTTATCATGTGTGTCTGATGATGTCATGTCTGTTGATGTTATCATGTGTGTCTGATGATGTTATGTCTATGTTGATGTTATCATGTGTGTCTGATGATGTCATGTCTCTGTTGATGTTGTCATGTGTGTCTGATGATGTTGTCATGTCTCTGTTGATGTTGTGTGTCTGCTGATGTCATGTCTCTGTTGATGTTGTCATGTGTGTCTGCTGATGTTGTCATGTCTCTGTTGATGTTATCATGTGTGTCTGATGATGTCATGTCTGTTGATGTTATCATGTGTGTCTGATGATGTCATGTCTCTGTTGATGTTATCATGTTTGTCTGATGATGTCATGTCTCTGTTGATGTTATCATGTGTATCTGATGATGTCATGTCTCTGTTGATGTTGTCATGTGTCTGATGATGTTGTCTTGTATCTGATATTGTCATGTGTGTCTGCTGATGTTGTCCTGTGTGTCTGCTGATGTCATGTGTGTCTGATATTGTCATGTGTGTCTGCTGATGAAGTCATGTGTGTGTCTGCTGCTGATATCATGTGTGCCTGATGTTGTCATGTGTGTCTGCTGATATTGTCATGTGTCTGCTGATGTCATGTGTGTCCAATATTGTCATGTGTCTGCTGACGATGTCATGTGTGTCTTATGATGATGTCATGTATCTGATATTGTCATGTGTGTCAGCTGATGATGTCGTGTGTGTCTGCTGATCATGTCATGTGTGTCTGATATGGCTGAAATATTGCCGCTGTGACTTTTAATATTAACTCACTCACTCACTTAACTCACTAATGTGTGTCTGATGTTGTCATGTGTCTGATATTGTCATGTGTGTCTGCTGATGTTGTCATGTGTGTCCGATGTTGTCATGTGCCTGGGGATGTCATGTGTGTCTGATGTTGTCATGTGTCTGATATTGTCATGTGTGTCTGCTGATGTCATGTGCCTGGGGATGTCATGTGTGTCTGATGTTGTCATGTGTCTGATATTGTCATGTGTGTCTGCTGATGTTGTTATGTGCCTGGGGATGTCATGTGTGTCTGATGTTGTCATGTGTCTGATATTGTCATGTGTGTCTGCTGATGTTGTTATGTGCCTGGGGATGTCATGTGTGTCTGCTGGTGTTTCAGGTTGAGGAGGATGAGCTGGAGGTGTTTGAGCTGCTGGAGGACTTCGCCGACAATGTCTCCTTCTGCAGCAACTCCTCCGTGGTGTCGCGCCTGCTGCAGAAGGGGCGGGAAGAGCACCAAGTGAGATACTCAGCTTCTGTCACACCACAGGATAGGCGTTGTTAATCTACGCAATCACCTCTTCCTGTTTCCCAAAATAAATGCATCTATTTTCAAATTATATGTGTGCACTTGACATACATATAAAACATCTAATATTACTCTCTGCTATATCGCTTATATTACATTAAGTAATACGTTACCACTGTTATACCGAGGCTGTTGTCTCCCACAACTGCTGCTATAGCGAAATCTACCACAGAGATCTCAATTACCTCATGCAGCACGTGCGTAGCCACCTAGCTGCCATGTGACACCCTTCACTCTTGTCTCCTTCGTCTGCTTAGCAAGACGTGTTTTCTCCTGCTGAAGCGTTCCTTGAAGATTTGGTGATATTTATTATAGTTTATTCTCTAATAAACTGTGCTTTTATGGGGCGTTGCGGTAGCTACGCTTGGTTATAATTTTCCCGCCAAACGGAAAATTTTTCCCGCCCTTTTTTCTATATACTTGCGGGGTTCGCGTATGCACGTTGTGTTTTACGTTTCCCCTGTTCTTGTATGTTTTGGGGGTTAACATAACTTATTTCTTTAATAAAAGTTATATGTGTATGTTATATGTTCACATTGCTCGTTTATTTTCTTGTGAAAATGTTCGTTTGTGAATCATTGTGGTGCGTGCGTTGTAACCATGTTTTGTTCTTTGTTTATAGCAAACAATCAATGTCTGACATGGATATGTCCCCAGTATCCACCCCCTCTACCCCTGCTCCTCGGAGTTATGGGGTGTGCAGAAAGTTTTTGTCGTCCCGGGATCCCCACGTTCGTTGCCCGCGGTGCAGGGTTCCTTGCGGGGACACCCGGTGCATCCTGTGCGAAGGTCTGGGGCCTGCGGATTTTGAGCGGTACCGGCTGTACGTACAGTCCGTCTCCACCCCTGTGGTGGCCGGTTCGTCCGGTCGGGGTCCCCGTGCGGGTACCACCTCCTCGGCTGCGGCGGATCCCCTTGCGGCCCTCGGGCTGTCTGGGGATTCCGTCGCCGCATTGTTGTCGAAACTTGTGGATTCCATGCTGGCGGCCTTATCGCAAGATAGGCCGCTGGCTGTTCCGTCCCCGGCCTCTTCGGTGGCCGCGGGGTCGGCCGCGGGGTCCACCGGTAAAGCGGCGGATCTCTTGGCGGCCCGTGTGCTGTCCGGGGATTCCGATGCTGCATTACTTGCATAACTTGTGGACTCCAAGCTGGCGGCCTTATCTCAGGATAGGCCGCTGGCTGTTCCGTCCCCGGCCACTTCGGTGGCCGCGGGGTCGGACGCGGGGTCCACCGGTACGGCGGCGGCTCCCGTGGTCACCGGTCCTTCCCCCGAACCGTTGCTCCCGCTATCGGTTTAGGACCGCGTGGCCATGGTTTATGACCTCTTTGAGGACATGCCCCGGCCGGTACCGCGGGGAATCCACGACTGTGGGTTCCTCCGAGGTATACGATGAGTCTTCCGACTCGGCTTTCCCCGCATCAACCTTGCTGCGCGGTTTCAAGCCTTCCTTGGAGAACGCCTTCGCGGCGGCCTCCGGTCGGGGTCTCCCGTTGCCTCCGACGTCGTGGAGAAAGGGTTTATTCCCGGTACATGACCTTGCCTTTCCCGAGGCTGGTCCTACCGCGGAGGCCCATGTTGAGCGGTTGGGTGTCCGTGCCCCACCGGCTGCTACGGTAACGCAAGCTACCTTGCACCAGCTGGACGCCCTCGCTCGGCACTCCATGTCTCACGGAGACACTTACTTGGCTGCAGCGGCCCGTCTGGTCGAAGGTTCTCCCACGGACCGTGACCAGCGCATTTACAACTGCCTGCTCAGTTTAAATGCTTCCCTGGAGTACGTTGCCGAGGACTCTCGGCACACACTTGCTCTTGTTGGGTCCCTGCATAGGCGCCTGGGTGCCGCTCCTAACCGGAGCGCGCCCCAGGCTGCTGCGGCCGGTAGGTCTAAGGGGTCGGGTTCTTCTTCCTCTGGGAAGTAGCCCCGCCCTGAGGGCTCCGGTATGGGCAATCAGCTGCCCTTTCGCGGGAAAACGGGGAACTGGGGGAAGCCCAAGTCGTCGACGGACGGCAAGGGCCCCTCCAGGTGACTCTCATTGGAGGGGTTCGTATGCCGACAGCGCCAACTTCGGTTGGCCCTTAGGCGAACCCGAGTCACTTGGCCCTGGACAGTTGCGCCTGTCGCAACCTGTCAGGGCCCCCTCTCCTTCCCCAGTGGGAGCCAGACTCCAGACTTACTGGGAGAATTGGGAACAAGTGTTCGACGACCCGTGGGTGGTCAACACGATTCGGTACGGCTATCGGCTTGATCTCAAAGCGAATCCGCCGCTCACCGTTGCCCCGTTGGCAGGTTTCGATTCGGAAACCGATCTTCCCATCCTCGCCGATGCCATCGGCAGGTTGGTGGAGAAGGGGCAGTACGGGAGTTAGCTCTACCAGAAATAACACCGGGGTTTTACTCCAGGATATTTCTCGTTCCCAAGTAGGACAGTGCCGAACTCAGAATGATTCACACGTCCGCTCCCTGGCTGTTCACCCGGTTAACCACCCCCATAGTGGGGTTCCTCCACAGGAGGGGTGTCCGGTACTTCGCGTACCTGGACGACTCGCTAGTAGCAAATCGAATGACGGACACCCTGTCACGCCATCTCGATTTCGCACGTCGGCTCTTGGAGCAATTGGGGTGGATTATCAATCTCCCCAAGAGCGAGTTAACCCCTTCTCAGAACTTGCTGTTCATCGGAGGTCGGTTCAACACGGTGTCCCATCGCCTCTTTGTCCCCCCAGACTGGTGGCACAAAATTCAGGCGATGATTGCCAAAGTCTTAGCGGTGCAACAGACTGTTCACTTTTGGGAACAGCTGTTAGGGCTACTTGTATCAGCCCAGGACTGCACCGCACGGGGTCGTCTCCAACTCCGCCCGCTGCAACGGTTTTTAATCCAGTTGTTAGCAACGGAGGTGAACAGTGCGACCGTCGCCCTCCCGGATCGGCTCCGACCGCATCTGGAGTGGTGGACGGTCCCTTACATTGTCTTATCAGGAGTCTCTATGCGGCCCTACCGGGCCACGTTGACCCTGTATACAGACGCCTCTCTAGTGGGCTGGGGCGCCCATCTAAAGGGGGAGGTGAGCTCGGGGCTGTGGTGCTTAGACCGTGACCAGCGCATTTACAACTGCCTGCTCAGTTTAAATGCTTCCCTGGAGTACGTTGCCGAGGACTCTCGGCACACACTTGCTCTTGTTGGGTCCCTGCATAGGCGCCTGGGTGCCGCTCCTAACCGGAGCGCGCCCCAGGCTGCTGCGGCCGGTAGGTCTAAGGGGTCGGGTTCTTCTTCCTCTGGGAAGTAGCCCCGCCCTGAGGGCTCCGGTATGGGCAATCAGCTGCCCTTTCGCGGGAAAACGGGGAACTGGGGGAAGCCCAAGTCGTCGACGGACGGCAAGGGCCCCTCCAGGTGACTCTCATTGGAGGGGTTCGTATGCCGACAGCGCCAACTTCGGTTGGCCCTTAGTTCAAGGCAGTGATCAACGCAGTCAATCACTGGAAGCATCGTCTCGTCGACGCCCGGCTCATGCTGGCGACCGACAACACGACGGTAGTGTCCTATGTGAACAAACTGGGGGGAACCCACAGTCACTCGCTACTCGATCTCACGTTCGAGTTTTACACTCTGGTGGACAGTGTCCCGTGCCAGATACGCGCCCGTCACATCCCAGGTGTGCGGAACGTACTGGCCGATGCTCTATCGAGGCCTCAGGATCCGAGCCCCACAGAGTGGATGCTGAACCCAGTAGTGTTTCAGTGGCTGTGCGAACGTTTGGGTCGTCCGATGGTCGACCTGTTCGCAACGCGGTTCAACAATCAACTCCCGTTGTTTGTATCACCAGTCCCGGTCCCGAGGGCCATCGATCACGATGCTCTCGCGTTAGACTGGACGGGCTTGGTCGCTTATGCTTACCCGCCGACAGCGTTGATACCACACATTCTAAGCCGGCTCCGAGGAGTTCGCTGTCGAATGTTACTGATCGCGCCCATGTGGCCGAACAGATCGTGGTACCCCGACTTGCTGACCCAGGTCACGCAGTCGCCACTTCCACTGCCTGTGAGACCGGATCTCTTGATCCACCCTCACACCCGTCAGCTTCATCCAAACGCAGGGCAGTTCACTCTGCACGCGTGGATGTTGTCACCGAGCGTCTGAGGAGTAAATTTTTTTTCTCGCCGGGCGTCTCGGGCATACGTTAGTATGCATCGTGATTCTACCCAGAAGGTGTATAATGCACGTTGGGTTATTTTCACGAAGTGGTGTTGTAAACATCACATTCATTCGCCAGATAAGGTATCTGTGCAGGATATTGCTCGTTTCATGTCTCACTTGCGAGAGACCCGGAAACTCTCCGGGGGTTCCATTGCCAACTATGTCTCGTCCGTTGCTACGGTACGGGACGTTGCTATGGGTACCAGTCTCTCCAAAGAGCCGGTGATACGGGGTATTATCAAGGGTTTCAAGCAGCACGATCTTAAGAAGGGCCGCCTTCGGGCACCGGCCTGGGATCTTTCCCTAGTGTTGCAATCACTTACGGAAGCTCCGTATGAACCCTTGCATAGTGCTTCGTTCCGGCATGTGACTTGGAAAACAGCATTTCTCCTCTCCTTTGCCACGGCGGCACGTGTATCCGAAATTCATGCACTCGATGTCGCCAAGGTACGATTCGATAGGGGTGACGAAGGAGCGGTCCGCCTGGGCCTGCTCATGGGCTTCGTCGCCAAGAATCAGAGAGTCGGGCAAACGGAGAGAGAATTCACTGTAAGATCACTCAAAGAAATCTTACATCCTGCTGATACTGAGGACAGAGCGCTGTGTCCGGTTAGGGCCCTTAAGTATTATCTTAAGGCTTCGAATGAACGTAGACAAGGGCGTGACCGTCTGTTCATATCGTGTAACCCTAATCGCACGGTTGACATACCTCGCAACTCGATTGCGTTGTGGCTTCGTTCTGTCATCAATCTGGCGTACCGGTCTCGGGGGTTACCGGTAGCGGGGTCAAACCCGCACGAGATCAGGGCGCTAGCGGCAACATTTGCCCTACACTCGAATATCTCTGTTCGCAGAATATTACGAGGTTGTTACTGGCGTTCTGACTCGGTTTTTGCCAATCATTACCTCAAACAGGTCGCTGATGCCGTCGTGGAGAGTGTGCACCGTCTTGGCCCGCGGATCGCGGCGCAAGCGGGCACCTAAGGGGTGTGCCCAGCGCAATTCCGAACTCCTCAGGCGTCTGACCTTGCACGGTGGTCAATCTGGGTCTACTCCAATGTTCCCACTGCCGTGGGTACAGGAGTTGGGGTCCCGCAAACCAGCGCACTCACACCACAGGTGAGGGCGGCTTTTTGTGTGCTTTGTCCTTATTTGTATTTTGACAATTATGTCTTTAATTGTCTGTCGTGTATCCCAACCTTGTGATGCATGCTTACAAATACTGGAATTAGGTCACGCGCCTAATGCATACTTTAAGTAGGCTTGCTCTGGGATATACGGTCTGAATGAAATTAATTTCCCTCTTTTCGACTGTTTAACCTGATCTAAGATTAAGCTCACGCGGATACAGTGTTCTCATCCGCTGCGGCGATGAAATACCTATCCAGTGGGGCCGTTTGGAGTCACCAATCGTTTTGGCAATGACGATTGAGCCTTACGGTATGCGCTTGACAGTGCTTTGGTATTCCTATAGGGTAACGCCTAGCTAGGTGCATGCGCATCGAGTGCTTCCGCCTTGGTGTTTACTTCCGCTGGTCGGAAGGAACGCTAGCAGTCAGGATTCGGGTTGTAGGTGCTCCCCACCGCCTACTGTGGTAGTCAGCCTCGGTATAACAGTGGTAACGTATTACTTAATGTAATTTGTAGAATTTTCCTATTCGGAATATTCTATAAGTAATACGTTACCACTGGGCTGCTGCCCGCCCGTCCGTCCCCCGAGCACTTGCTCTCGCAGGAGACAAGAGTGAAGGGTGTCACATGGCAGCTAGGTGGCTACGCACGTGCTGCATGAGGTAATTGAGATCTCTGTGGTAGATTTCGCTATAGCAGCAGTTGTGGGAGACAACAGCCTCGGTATAACAGTGGTAACGTATTACTTATAGAATATTCCGAATAGGAAAATTCTACAAGTTGATATCTATTTTGTAGTTCTATTGTTTCATCTCTGTATATGATGAAATGTGACCTCTCCTACCTCAGTAACCAATGTTTGCCTGAAATAGATTCCTTTGATACCAGCACACACTTTCAGCGTGAAACCATTCTCATCATTCAGTCTTAGTAGCCTTGCCTCGTCCAATGTAGTTAGTCAGATGTTACTGTTCGTTACTGCTACACAAAGATCTGAGGACATCCCATTACAGGCCATGCCAGATGTGTCTGCTGATGTCACACATGTCTGTTGATGATATTTCTGACACTGCGTTTCGCCAGGTTCAGACTAGATTATTTCCAGGAATATTGTGAACTTAGCATCACTGTCCTTCATGAATCAGATGGTGATCGACTCACTGACAAATTGACTTTCTTGCAGGCAAATTTGAAAAATGTCAAGGCTGTTATAGAAGCTAAGAAGAATGAGAAGGGAAAGCTTCCTGGACATGCTACCAACAGTAGGTCGGGGAAACCCCGGCTCCCTGCCCACCCCGAGATGTCCCCAAGGGACACGTCACTGATAGACGGGGTGGATCTCGACACCTCCTCCGACACCCTCACTGACTCTTCCTCCTCCGAGTCTTCTGATGAGGAGTACGAGAAGGTCAAGGTCACACCGACAAAGAAATCGGATGTGAATCAGTCCTATGAGGCATTATTTGATCAAAGTCAAAAGGAAGGATTTGTGTTTGTGAACAATAAGAACAGTGATAGTGACGCCTTTAGATCGTCTGATTCAGAAATACGGACTTCAGTGCCTTTGTCTCCAACTAAATCATTGACTCGTAAAATCGCTGTTAAAGACGCAAGGCTTGGTGACTCCAGTGAGATGCAGTCTATACTGGAGAGACTAGCGGCCGGGGCGGAGGGAGTGGCACGAGGGACGGACGTACACGCAGGGGTCATGACAGATCCTTGTAGTTCTCAGGACCAGGTGATGGTAAATCAGATGTTTGGCGGTGACAGCGTTGGCGGCGTTCCCCACACCAGGAGCTCCAGCAGCAGTGAGGATGGTATGGACGAAGACGACAGTGACGATAGCATTACTCGGGTCAAAGGTCAGAAGTCACATGATCCTGAGGTGAAGGACACGTCCTCCCTGTTTGATGATGAGGATGAGTGGGCCGTTTCAGCTCCACAGACACAGATGGCTATGTTGGGTAAGTCTTCTGCCGATGTTCTTCATACAAACTCGGGCAGGGATGGATGCCTCTTAGTGTGTTCTGTTGGGTAAGGCTTCTGCTGATGTTCTTCATACAAACTCGGGCAGGGATGGAGGCCTCTTAGTGTGTTCTGTTGGGTAAGGCTTCTGCTGATGTTCTTCATACAAACTCGGGCAGGGATGGATGCCTCTTAGTGTGTTCTGTTGGGTAAGGCTTCTGCTGATGTTCTTCATACAAACTCGGGCAGGGATGGAGGCCTCTTAGTGTGTTCTGTTGGGTAAGGCTTCTGCTGATGTTCTTCATACAAACTCGGGCAGGGATGGATGCCTCTTAGTGTGTTCTGTTGGGTAAGGCTTCTGCCGATGTTCTTCATACAAACTCGGGCAGGGATGGATGCCTCTTAGTGTGTTCTGACCATGGGTTAAAGATCTTAAGAGTAGGGAAACTTTGAAAACTTTTCACTCCTAAGATTCTCCACATTTCATATGAGTCAATATCAAAATCTGCAAATTTCAAGACTGAATACATGACAATTTCACTTCAAAGCTAGATGAATTTTGGAAATAGGGAACTGTAGACATGAATTCAACAACATGGCATCTCAACATTGTTTTATTATTGAAGAATTGACTTTCACATTGGGTGAGGTCACTGGAGCAAGGGCCTTCATCGACTGAGGACCAAACTGTATTGTGCAATATTTGGTGCTCACTCATTCATTCAAAAATTGAAGAATCATTTCTGCAAGTTTATGATATGCTCGTTAGTGGTTCGATCCACTGGCTGCATCATAGCTAAAGACATTACAAGATGGTACTTGTTGTTACTCGGCATTAAGTAGAAAGAAAAGGAACTGGTCAGCTCGCGTCAGCATACTGTGTCTGAATGGGGTATTCTGTGGCATGGTATCTCAGTGGGCTAGCACTATAAGACCGCAATTAGTCCGGACTAGTACAAGCAGCAATGCATGCACACAAGCACTCGCACGTACGCACTCATGCGCACACACACATGCACGCACACTCATACACACCACACGCGCACGTACACACCACACACACACACACACACACACACACACACACACACACACACAGAGCTTTAAACACACATACATGTAATATGACTGCGATTAATCATGAACACATCATTCGACCCATTTTACCTCACCTCATTGGAGTAAAGTCGTTAAACATTCTTGTACTAACCTGCCACAAGGCCGCTCCTCCAGTCCTGGTTTGTGTTGCCCAGATGCTGAATCAGCCAGTCTGGATGCTGACAAGTCGACACCACCCACATCTCGACTAGTGGCCCGGCTCTTCCCCAAACTGAAGAACGCCAACCAGGTGAAACAGGCAGAGAAACACCAACAGGTAGGAGTGCTGAGATCGCATTTACAGGTCAAGGCCATAAGATATAGATTGGACATTGCCCTCTTTACATGATCAACAGACTGTGAAGATTCGGGGTAGAACATGTCTTCAGCAACCAATTCTTGCAGTAAAAGGTGACAGTGGTTGTCGTAAGAGGCGACTTACAGGATCAGGTGGTCAGGTACGCTGACTTGATCCGTGCTCATGATGTCTATCACTGGATTGTCTGGTTCAGATTCAATCAGATCGCCATCGTATAGCTAGAATATAGTGCGGCGTTATATAACAAACAAACAAACATGATCAATACTTCAGGTTTTATGTACACTACAGTCCTCATTCACCAGTAAATACATCAGACTGATTTGCAGTGTAGTCGTTATCTTTAACCAATGAAGCAAAACAGTGCCTGGTTCAGACCAATGAGCACTCAGATTACATCGCACTAATGTAAACCCGTCATGTTTTTTTTCAGGAGCAGCAGAAGCTCCAGGCTGTTGCCAAGGCAACGCTAGGTGATGGGGTGCAGTCCAAGATTCTTCGGGATAAGCTGACTGAGATGGACAAGGAGATCGAGAAGTTCCGCAACGAGAACGCAGGTCTTGAAAAGTTGCGGCGAGATAGAGAGGAGGTGACTATTACCTACTTTGCATGTTACTGGTACATTACTGAGGCAGACAATGGCTCTAGATCATCCTCTGTATATCAAGGTGGAAATATCTCTCGATAGGCTACAGGGTTGTGCATTGGTGGCTGTGCATATATTGTGATACAGGTATCTGTGTTCACTGTTGGGATTTATTGGGATCTAAAATGTTTGACACTGATTGTGCATGCAGATCCTATTGTATTCATGGGGGCACTGTTGGCCCAGTCGTCTAAGGCACCGCGATTCGCTGTGCAGAGTTGCGTCCCTTGGGCATGCCAGGAACCTATGATTGTGGTTCGAATCCAAGTTCGCCGCGATTATGTTTCTAGGTTTGTCAGCACCATACCTGTGCTCGTGGGTTTCACCAAAGTGGTAAACGTCTGAGACCTGCATCACTTCGGGCTTTCCTCCCACATTAAGCTGATACGCCACGATATAACTGGAATACTGTTAAAAACGGGTTAAACCAAACTCACTCACTCACTCACTATTGTATTCATACTAAGTTAATATTACTTTGTTTAAGTCAGCATGATCAGTACCTGCTGCTTAAAAGAAAAATCACTTCCTCGTTTCCGCCGTTTTGTCAATAAATTTACAATGGAAAAATCATTTGTCAATGGATTTCTGTGTAGATTTTAGGTTAAACAATACAAATAATAACAACACTTGTTATCTGTTTTTTACCCAATATATTAGAACACAGAAAAAATATTGCAATACGTATCATTTGATAAGCATATTGCAGTATGCGGGTAATACCATGCAGACCTGATAGGCTACACACCACCACGTAGCATGATAATAGCGGAGAACACCCTACTGTCATTAGCTTCTTTGCTTCTGTCTCTTGTTAGAAAGACACCCACTTTTGTATGAAAATCAAACGGGCAGAGAATTTGGATTTATTTTTGGGGGGATTTTTTTTAGATCCAAAGTATCGTGAATAAACTAATTTGTCCTTATGTTATACACCAATAAAATCGTGGATGTTCTGCAAAATGTGGTAAAAATGTGTTGTAGGTGCAAACAAAATTGTTTTGTCATTTAAGATAATTGATTCTAGGTATTATACCCTGGGTATTTGAGGATGATTCCCTTGTGTTTCAGCTGTTGGGCAAGTTGCGGCAGGAGATCTGCGACTTCGAGAAGGAGAAGGACTTGGAGGTCAAGCGCCTCGAAGAGTTCCGAGCACAGGAGGTGAAGAAGCTGAAGTAGGTGTTGAGGTCTCTCTTGAATAGCCATCTATCTGGAAATACTACTTCTGGGGCTAAGGGACAGGTGATGAAGCCAGTGGGAAAAGTGTTCTATCGTCATGCCAAAAGGTCTGGGTTTGATTCCTGACATACAATGTGTGAAGCCCATTGCTGGTTTTGTTCCACTGGAATATTGCTGGAATATTGCAAAAGGTGGCATAAAACCATACTCATTTATCCTGGGGCTGAGAATTTAAGAAAGTCAACATCATTGGAATATTTTTTATCTTTTTCTCCAAGGTTTTTATCCTTCCAACAAACCTAAACAATAATTTCATGATATCTAACTTCTTCCACCTGCAACTTGAAGAAGACTTGACTGGGAAACCCAGCATGGTTCAGTGAACCAGACCAGATAGAGGCAGAAACAAAGATTGTTCCTGTATCGGGGGGGCACGGGTGGCCCAGTCGTCTAAGGCGCCACGATTCGCTGTGCAGGGTTGCGTCCCTTGGGTCAGAAACCTTTGATTGTGGGTTCGAATCACGGTTCGCCCCAATTATGTTTCTAGGTTTGTCAGCACCATACCCGTGCTTGTGGGTTTCACCGAAGTGGTAAACGTCTAAGACCTGCATCACTTGGGGCTTTCCTCCCACATTAAGCTGACACGCGGCAATATAACTGGAATACTGTTAAAAGCGGCTTTAAACCGAACTCACTCACTCACTCCTGTATCGGTGATTAAGTAAATGAGGTTCCACTTTTTGTTGCCAGGCATGAGAGGAAGTTATTCGAGCAGTACCAGAAGACTGTCAGGTCCATGCCAGACAAACGGGAGAGGGAGGAGATAGATGCTCTCAAGCGACAGGTAACCCATGTTGTCTGATATTTTCAAAATTCTGTAAAGTACAAGTGTGTCTCGCAAAAAAACAGAGGCAATTCCCTTTGGTATACCAGATACCTATGTTTGCAGATTCAAATTCTGGTTTGCCCTGAGTATGTTTCTAGGTTTGTTGGCACCAACTCGTGCTTATAATGGACAAACGTCATAACGAAATGGTTTTGTAATGATGGAACGTATGTTCTTTGGAACAATTTTTGATCCAGCCCAAGGGTACCTCAGCAGTAGAGGGCTCTCAGTACCTGATGTTTGTGTGGGAGGACGTTATTGTACCGTCATGGTGTGAATCAATACATTCAGTGGGTGTGTTGTCTGTTGCAGTTGTCAGAGCTGCAGGATGAGATGAAGAAGAAGGAGGGGCGGTGGACGTCGGCCAGCAACCGTCTGCGTCAGCGCCTGGAGGTGGTGGAGATGGAGAACCAGGAACTGAAGGAGGAGGTGAAGTTGCTGGAGAAACGTCGCCTCGAGATGTTGCAGCGGGAGACGCAGAAGAAGGTAGGTCGACCTACAGGGGATGTTGACAGTAGCTGCTCTGACGTCGTAAGGGGCGACTAATGGGATCGGATGGTCAGGCTTGCTGATTAGGTGTCATCGTATCTCAATTATATATTGTGTGGATCAGTGCTCATGATGTCGATCACTGGATTGTCTGGTCCAGACTCGATTATTTACAGACCGCCGCCATTATAGCTGGAATATTGCTGAGTGCGGCGTTAAACAACAAACAAACCAAACTCCTGAGTGAGTGGTTATAGATGACGCCTTGAAATGCTGAAGTAGGAGACCAGGAAAAGGGTAGGTTGTTCTAACGGGTTTTGACAGTAGGTCTGGTTTCTGAGTGAGTTAACACTGCCTCAAGACCCTGCTTTGGCCGCCATCATTGGTATAGTTCTGAGACACAAAGAATCAGGCTTGAACCCACAAGCTTCAGATCCTGGCACATTCAAGGGACACAACTCCCCTCTGACAGCTCCTTCACCTGACAACAGATCAAGGAGAGTTGAACCATAAAATAATCATGCTTTAATGACTACCATTATTTGGTCAGGGACTGCCTCCGTGGTCTAGTGGTAGAGCGTCCGCCCGGAGAGCGGAAGGTCCGAGGTTTGATCCCCGGCCACGTCATACCAAAAGACGTTAAAAGATGGTACTTGTTGTTACCCTGTCTGGCGCTCAGCAATAAGGGGCTAAAACAAGGACTGGTCGGCTCGGAGTCAGTATACTGTGTCTGAGTGGGGTATTCATGTTAAACTACAGCATGGTATCTCAGTGGGCTAGCACTATAAATCGGCATCAGTCCGGACTAGTACAAGCAGCCACACAAACACACACACATACATGCACGTCGCTATATAAGTGCAAAAATCTTGGACGCAACGTTAAACCCCAATTCACCTCACCTATTTGGTCAGGGATTTATCTAGACCTGCTTTGAGGCTGATATTTGGCCCTAAGACTGCTGCAAATAACAGTAAAAATTCCCAATTCAAATTTATAATTACCAATTTCTTAGAATGTACAAAAAGAAGATGATGAAAAAAAAACAATTTGGATCAGTATCACAATTTTTTCCGTTTGTTTGTCAAGGGCACTCAGTTTGTAATATTTGATAAATCACTGTATTATAAGGGTAAGGCTATTTTTCAGGGCATTATATTATCATTTGCAGAAGCCCGAGGTCTTCCATTAATTGCCCGACAAAGGATGGCAGTTGAAAAGACCGAGGACTTCTGCAAATGATGATGCCCTGAAAAATAGCGTTACCGTTATTATAGCTAAAATGGATGAAATTTGTTATTAAAAGAAACAATATCGGTTTTGAAACATTTACTGCAATCAACACGAATGTCATTGACCCACTTTTACAAATATGGAAACGTCATAGAACAAACCAGATGACGTCACTATTGAACGTGACATCCCCTTTCCCAATACCTATGACGTCACCTAACAACGGGCGTAACAATGGCCTGTCGTCAAGCAATATGAGGGCATTATCAAGTTACAGTGGCCTGGTCATTTCCGATAACATGCGGGCGGTTTAATGAAATTACATTAAGTAATACGTTACCACTGTTATACCGAGGCTGTTGTCTCCCACAACTGCTGCTATAGCGAAATCTACCACAGAGATCTCAATTACCTCATGCAGCACGTGCGTAGCCAGCTAGCTGCCATGTGACACCCTTCACTCTTGTCTCTTCGCTTGCTCTAGCAAGACGTACAATAAACTGCTCAAGCGTTCCTGTTTCTCCGACCATTCGGTGATATTTATTACTGTTTATTCTCTCTAATAAACTGTGCTTTTACGGGGCGTTTGCTGTAACTACGCTTGGAAATATTTTTCCCGCCAAAAGGAAATATTTTTCCCGCCCTTTTTTTCTATATACTTGCGGGGTGTCTCGTATGCACGTTGCGTCTTACGTTCCCCTGTTCTAGTATATCTTGTTTTTTTTACATCACTTATTCCTCTATATGTTATATGTGTATGTTCTATATTCCCATTGGTCGTTTATTTTCTTGTGAAAATACTCGTTTGTGACCATTTGTGGTGCGTGTGTTGTAACCATGTTTTGCTCTTTGTTCATAGTACAAACAAAATGTCTGACATGGATGTTTCGCCGTCCTCCACCCCCTCTACCCCCGCAACCAGGAGCTGCGGGGTGTGTCGCAAGCGAGCGCTACCGGCTGTATGTGCAGTCCGTTTCCACCCTTGTGGTGGCCGGCTCGTCCGGTCGGGGTCCCCTTGCGGGTACCACCACCACGGCTGCGGCGGATCCCTTGGCGGCCCGTGGGCTGTCCGGGGATTCCGTCGCTGCATTACTTGCATAACTTGTGGACTCCAAGCTGGCGGCCTTATCTCAGGATAGGCCGCTGGCTGTTCCGTCCCCGGCCACTTCGGTGGCCGCGGGGTCGGAGGTGGGGTCCACCAGTACGGCAGCGGCTCCCGTGGTCACCGGTCCTTCCCCCGAACCGTTGCTCCCGCTATCGGTTAAGGACCGCGTGGCCATGGTTTATGACCTCTTTGAGGACATGCCCCGGCCGGTACCGCGGGGAATCCACGACTGTGGGTTCCTCCGAGGTATACGATGAGTCTTCCGACACGGCTTTCCCCGCATCAACCTTGCTGCGTGGTATCAAGCCTTCCTTGGAGAACGCCTTCGCGGCTGCCTCCGGTCGGGGTCTCCCGTTGCCTCCGACGTCGTGGAGAAAGGGTTTCTTCCCGGTACATGACCTTGCCTTTCCCGAGGCTGGTCCTACCGCAGAGGCCCATGTTGAGTGGTTGGGTGTCCGTGCCCCACCGGCTGCTACGGTAACGCAAGCTACCTGGCACCAGCTGGACGCCCTCGCTCGGCACTCCACGTCTCACGGAGACACTAAATTGGCTGCAGCGGCCAGTCTGGTCGATGGTTTTCCCACGGACCGTGACCAGCGCATTTACAACTCCTTGCTCAGTTTAAATGCTTCCCTGGAGTACGTTGCCGAGGACTCTCGGCACACACTTGCTCTTGTTGGGTCCCTGCATAGGCGCCTGGGTGCCGCTCCTAACCGGAGCGAGCCCCAGGCTGCTGCGGCCGGTAGGTCTAAGGGGTCGGGTTCTTCTTCCTCTGGGAAGTAGCCCCGCACTGAGGGCTCCGGTATGGGCAATCAGCTGCCCTTTCGCGGGAAGACGGGGAACTGGGGGAAGCCCAAGTCGTCTAAGGACGGCAAGGGCCCCTCCAGGTGACTCTCATTGGAGGGGTTCGTATGCCGACAGCGCCAACTTCGGTTGGCCCTTAGGCGAACCCGAGTCACTTGGCCCTGGACAGTTGCGCCTGCCGCAGCCTGTCAGGGCCCCCTCTCCTTCCCCAGTGGGAGCCAGACTCCAGACTTACTGGGAGAATTGGGAACAAGTTTTCGACGACCCGTGGGTGGTCAACACGATTCGGTACAGCTATCGGCTTGATCTCAAAGCGAATCCGCCGCTCACCGTTGCCCCGTTGGCAGGTTTCAATTCGGAAACCGATCTTCCCATCCTCGCCGATGCCATCGGCAGGTTGGTGGAGAAGGGGCAGTACGGGAGTTAGCTCTACCAGAAATAACACCAGGGTTTTACTCCAGGATATTTCTAGTTCCCAAGTAGGACAGTGCCGAACTCAGAATGATTCACACGTCCGCTGCCTGGCTGTTCACCCGGTTAACCACCCCCATAGTGGGGTTCCTCCACAGGAGGGGTGTCCGGTACTTCGCGTACCTGGACGACTCGCTAGTAGCAAATCGAATGACGGACACCCTGTCATGCCATCTCGTTTTCGCACGTCGGCTCTTGGAGCAATTGGGGTGGATTATCAATCTCCCCAAGAGCAAGTTAACCCCTTCTCAGAACTTGCTGTTCATCGGAGGTCGGTTCAACACGGTGTCCCATCGCCTCTTTGTCCCCCCAGACCGGTGGCACAAGATTCAGGCAATGATTGCCAAAGTCTTAGCGGTGCAACAGACTGTTCACTTTTGGGAACGGCTGTAAGGGCTACTTGTATCAGCCCAGGACTGCACCGAGCGGGGTCGTCTCCAACTCCGCCCGCTGCAACGGTTTTTAATCCAGTTGTTAGCAACGGAGGTGAACAGTGCGACCGTCGCCCTCCCGGATCGGCTCCGACCGCATCTGGAGTGGTGGGCGGTCCCTTCCAATGTCTTATCAGGAGTCTCTATGCGGCCCTACCGGGCCACGTTGAACCTGTATACAGACGCCTCTCTAGTGGGCTGGGGCGCCCATCTAGAGGGGGAGGTGAGCTCGGGGCTGTGGTGCGTAGACGAACTAGGTCTTTTGTCTCAATTGTCTCGAGTTCAAGGCAGTGATCAACACAGTCAATCACTGGAAGCATCGTCTCGTCGACGCCTGGCTCATGCTGGCGACCGACAACACGACGGTATGTGAACAAACTGGGGGGAACCCACAGTCACTCGCTACTCGATCTCACGTTTTACGCTCTGGTGGACAGTGTCCCGTGCCAGATACGCGCCCTTCACCTCCCAGGTGTGCGGAACGTACTGGCCGATGCTCTATCGAGGCCTCGGGATCTGAGCCCCACAGAGTGGATGGTGAACCCAGTAGTGTTTCAGTGGCTGTGCAAACGTTTGGGTCGTCCGATGGTCGACCTGTTCGCAACGCGGTTCAACAATCAACTCCCGTTGTTTGTATCACCAGTCCCGGACCCGACTGGACGGGCTTGGACGCTTATGCTTACCCGCCGACAGCGTTGATACCACACATTCTAAGCCGGCTCCGAGGAGTTCGCTGTCGAATGTTACTGATCGCGCCCATGTGGCCGAACAGATCGTGGTACCCCGACTTGCTGACCCAGGTCACGCAGTCGCCACTTCCACTGCCTGTGAGACCGGATCTCTTGATCCACCCTCACACCCGTCAGCTTCATCCAAACGCAGGGCAGTTCAATCTGCACGCGTGGATGTTGTCACCGAGCGTCTGAGGAGTAAAGGTTTTTCTCGCCGGGCGTCTCGGGCATACGTTAGTATGCATCGTGATTCTGCCCAGGTGTATAATGCACGTTGGGTTATTTTCACGAAGTGGTGTTGTAAACATCACATTCATTCGCTAGATAAGGTATCTGTGCAGGATATTGCTCGTTTCATGTCTCACTTGCGAGAGACCCGGAAACTCTCCGGGGGTTCCATTGCCAACTATATCTCGTCAGTTGCTACGGTACGGGACGTTGCTATGGGTACCAGTCTCTCCAAAGAGCCGGTGATACGGGGTATTATCAAGGGTTTCAAACAGCACGATCTTAAGAAGGCCCGCCTTCGGGCACCGGAATTGGATCTTTCCCTAGTGTTGCAATCACTTACGGAAGCTCCGTATGAACCTTTGCATAGTGCTTCGTTCCGGCATGTGACTTGGAAAACAGCATTTCTCCTCTCCTTTGCCACTGCGGCACATGTATCCGAAATTCATGCACTCGATGTCGCCAAGGTACGATTCGATAGGGGTGACGAAGGAGCGGTCCGCCTGGGCCTGCTCATGGGCTTCGTCGCCAAGAATCAGAGAATCGGGCAAACGGAGAGAGAATTCACTGTAAGATCACTCAAAGAAATCTTACATCCTGCTGATACTGAGGACAGAGCGCTGTGTCCGGTTAGGGCCCTTAAGTATTATCTTAAGGCTTCGAATGAACGTAGACAAGGGCGTGACCGTCTGTTCATATCGTGTAACCCTAATCGCACGGTTGACATAACTCGCAACTCGATTGCGTTGTGGCTTTGTTCTGTCATCAATCTGGCGTACCGGTCTCGGGGGTTACCGGTAGCGGGGTCAAACCCGCACGAGATCAGGGCGCTAGCGGCAACATTCGCCCTACACTCGAATATCTCTGTTCGCAGAATATTACGAGGTTGTTACTGGCGTTCTGACTCGGTATTTGCCAATCATTACCTCAAACAGGTCGCTGATGCCGTCGTGGAGAGTGTGCACCGTCTTGTCCCGCGGATCGCGGCGCAAGGGGGCACCTAAGGGGTGTGCCCAGCGCAATTCCGAACACCTCAGGCGTCAGACCTTGCACGGTGGTCAATCTGGGTCGTCTCCAATGTTCCCACTGCCATGGGTACAGGAGTTGGGGTCCCGCAAACCAGCGCACTCACACCACAGGTGAGGGCGGCTTTTTGTGTGCTTTGTCCTTATTTGTATTTTGACAATTATGTATTTAATTGTCTGTCGTGTATCCCAACCTTGTGATGCATGCTTACAAATACTGGAATTAGGTCACGCGCCTAATGCATACTTTAAGTAGGCTTGCTCTGGGATATACGGTCTGAATGAAATTAATTTCCCTCTTTTCGACTGTTTAACTTGATCTAAGATTAAGCTCACGCGGATACAGTGTTCTCATCCGCTGCGGCGATGAAGTACCTATCCAGTGGGGCCGTTTGGAGTCACTAATCGTTTTGGCAATGACGATTGAGCCTTACGGTATGCGCTTGACAGTGCTTTGGTATTCCTATAGGGTAACGCCTAGCTAGGTGCATGCGCATCGAGTGCTTCCGCCTTGGTGTTTACTTCCGCTGGTCGGAAGGAACGCTAGCAGTCAGGATTCGGGTTGTAGGTGCTCCCCACCGCCTACTGTGGTAGTCAGCCTCGGTATAACAGTGGTAACGTATTACTTAATGTAATTTGTAGAATTTTCCTATTCGGAATATTCTATAAGTAATACGTTACCACTGGGCTGCTGCCCGCCCGTCCGTCCCCCGAGCACTTGCTCTCGCAAGAGACAAGAGTGAAGGGTGTCACATGGCAGCTAGGTGGCTACGCACGTGCTGCATGAGGTAATTGAGATCTCTGTGGTAGATTTCGCTATAGCAGCAGTTGTGGGAGACAACAGCCTCGGTATAACAGTGGCAACGTATTACTTATAGAATATTCCAAATAGGAAAATTCTACAAAATTCTATCCATTTTAGCTCTTAGTTAATTTTCCCAGTGAAACAGTGACCGAAACAGGCCATTGATACCTTTGTTTGTGCATAAAATATTCAATAAATACAGTAAAGAAATGATAGTCTGCAACCCTTGCCACCAAACTGAACGTTTCTGAACATGTTTATACAAAGTAAGAAGAATGTCTGTGACGTGCAGGGGCAGGGGCACATAGCGTGGATCTATCAGGTGTGGTCTCTGTGAAATATTGTACACAGATCTCTAAGTACTTGAATATCCAGTCATTGAATGTTGGTTCACGGAAATGTTTGCAGAATGGTGTCCAGAAGAGTTTTCCTCGGTGCAGCACCCCCACGGAGGACAAGGAGAGGGACGTCGTCAGTGCAGTCATCAGCAGCCAGGGTCAGTTATGCAGCAGTCTGGATCCAGTGATTGTAGGAATCAGTGAAGGGCAGAAAGAATATAGCCCATTTTTTACTTATCCTGCATTACTCCATAATGCATTCACTTCTTACCTCACGACAACTAGAAGGACAGCGCAACAGCGATGGTCCTGGGTGAAGAAATAAAATTGTTGTTCTGAAGTCCCTTTTACTGACCTTCATGTACTTAGAGAATAACCTACAAGAGATTATGGATTATCTGTCCCGAGGGAATTAATCAGTTCTGAGCCTTTTGCGACAAACTTTCAACATTAATTTATGAGCGATATTTTATCCATAATTCCTTGTTTCTATTAGACCTGTGAAGATCTAGGTTAGAATAGGTCTTCAGCAACCCATGGTTGCCGTAAAAGGCGACTGTGCTTGTCGTAGGAGGCATCTAATGGGGTGGTCAGACTCGCTGACTTGGTTGATGCATGTCATTGTATCCCAATTGCATAAATCGATGCTCATGATATCACTCACTGGATTGTCTGGTCCAGACTTGATTATTTACAGACCACCGTCATTTAGCTGGAATATTGCTGAGTGTGGCATTAAGACAACAAACAATAAAATCTATTAGTTATTTTATATTATCCATAGCTCTTTTCACAAATGTAGAAACATGAGGATTTCCTGATAAAAGAAGTGGAGACATAAGCTGAGTACTCTATTGTCGGAAATTGATGTCACATAACATAAAATGACATAAAATTGACATCACGTTGAATTTGAAATTAATTCCAATTTGTGCTGTTCCTTGCAGACCCAGTGGCCAGGTCGGCCCTACCACCTCACCACCCCCTGCTCAATGGCTCTCAACATTCCCAGTCCACCCTCCGACCTGACCACACCCATGGCCACAATGTGTCTGGTGATGCCATCCCTCGGAGTCAGCCGTCCGCTCCACTGTCACTGCCCAGGTATGTTGTGTCTTACTCCGAGGGGACCGCCTCCGTGGTCTAGTGGTAGAGCGTCCGCCCGGAGAGCGGAAGGTCCGGGGTTCGATCCCAGGCCGCGTCATACCAAAAGACGTTAAGAGATGGTACATGTTGTTACCCTGTCTGGCGCTCGGCATTAAGGGGCTAAAACAAGAACATCAGCTCGGAGTCAGTAAACTGTGTCTGAGTGGGGTATTCATGTTAAACTGCGGCATGGTATCTCAGTGAGCTAGCACTATAAATCGGCATCAGTCGGGACTAGTACAAGCAGCCACACAAACACATGCACGTCGCTATATAAGTGCAATAATCTTGGACGCGACGTAAACCCCATTTCACCTCACCTTACTCCGAGGGTTCAATAATAATAACAATAACAATAGTCATTTCAAATGCTCAGAATACTGGGGTGCCACAATAGGATTACCTCTGTCAGTGGATCAGTGTGCACTCAATTTTCATTCTCAGCTCCCTGGGGAGTATACAGCCCAAGCTGTCTTTGAGTAGAAGGTTGATACTCTCAACCTACTGGGTACCTTTTCACTGCTGGGTGTTCAAGGGCACATTTCAAACAGTCACTTGCCTAAGGTGACACCATATGTAACCTGTGTTTCAGTGTGGGGCAGGCGTAAAGCCCTAGGAACTCTCATAAGTCAATCTGACCCGTAAAGATCCGGGGTAGAATAGGTCTTCAGCAACCCATGCTTGCCTTAATAGGGGACTATGCTTGTTGTAAGAGGCGACTAACGGGATCGGGTGGTCAGGCTCACTGACTTGGTAGACGCATGTCATTGTATCCCAATTGCGTGGATCGATGCTCATGATGTCAATCACTGGATTGTCTGGTCCTGACTCGATTATTTACAGACCGCCATCATATAGCTGGAATATTGCTGAGAGCAGCGTTACACAACAAACAAACAATCAAACACATGTCAAGCTTACTTAACACGGTGAAATGTACTTGAAAAGTGTATTAGGTACTTGCATTTCGTTTAGCAGTTCATCATATGATGTGGAACCGTGAAGATCCGGGGTAGAATAGGTCTTCAGCAACCCATTCTTGCCTTGCATGGTTGATGCATGTCATCGTTTCCCAACTGCATTGATCGATGCTAATGATGTCAATCACTGGATTGACTGGTCCAGACCCGATTCTTTACAGACCGCCGTCATATAGCTGGAATATTGCTAAGTGCGGCATTAAACAATGAACAAAAAAAAACAAATCATATGATGTGATTTCAGATCCTCAAGTCAGTCCCCCGATGATGACACTAGCTCAGTGGGTGCTGTTGTCAATCTTCCACGGAAACAAATCAGCAAGTTCTCCTCGGAGGACCCCGCTATCGACAAGGGCGACCGCGAGTACGAGGAGACCCAGTACCCGGACGGGAAGGTCAGTTATGACGCTGCAATGCAGTGTGATGTTGTTGCCTCACATGCCAGAGTAGAATCAGCCTGCCAGGGCTGTATCGCAATGCAATACTTTCACAATTTTAAGAAGAAAATTAGCCGTTGTGGGATTTTAGCCACTGGTCGGAAGCAGCTTAGGAGAGAAATCTGGTTAAACCTTATTTCACTTGTCCTCAGAGTTTGTAGCTGGTCCGACTGCCTCCGTGGTCCAGTGGTAGAGGGTCCACCCGGAGACCGGAAGGTCTGGGGTACGATCCCCGTCCGCGTCATACCAAAAGACGTTAAAAGATGGTACTTGTTGTTACCCTGTCTGGCGCTCGACATTAAGGGGCTAAAACAAGGACTGGTCGGCTCGGAGTCAGTATACTGTGTCTGAGTGGGGTATTCATGTTAAACCGCGGCATGGTATCTCAGTGGGCTAGCACTATAAATCGGCATCAGTCCAGACTAGTACAAGCAGCCACACACACACACGTACATGCACGTCGCTATATAAGTGCAATAATCTTGGAGGTGACATTAAACCCCATTTCACCTCACCTCACCTTGTAGCTGGTCCTGCTTGAACAAGACAAAACTGACAAAGTAGACACAATTATGGATGACAACTTCTTTATTTACATTTCGGTAGGGATCCTTATACCGTTGTCAAGTAAGGCCTTGCTTGACAGTGGTATAAGGATCTATCCTGAAATGTCACCTTCACAGTAAATTAAGAGGTTGTTATCCATAAGCTGTGTCTACTTTGCCATCTGTCAACATCTCAGTAATGCCTATCAATTAATTCGAGAGAAAAAAATGGTTACTATATCAGTTTTATTCATTTGTAACAAAATTGAAGCACTGAGAACTGGTTCAGAAATATATGAGGACTGCCATCATTGGTTTTTTCCTTGTCCTCAGCACAAGTTAGTAGTCTTGGGCTAGCGGACTAGCATGAATTTTGAAGGCTTACAAAGCCTACACTAGTCGGAACCCTCAGTCTAGTGAAATTCCTTTCGGGCAGATAAGCTCAGCCACCACCAGCCCCTACAGATTAACATGTGCTGAAAATGGCCCTAGGAGACAAGTTGGGGCTAGTAGACTTGCAAGTTTTCGATACAGACTGAAATGATGTAATAATACTGATAGCCTACAAAACAAACCTCTGAGAACATTTATGTTGACGAGGTATAATCAGTTATGTGGACAGAAATTAATTATCTTGAAACAAAACATGAAGTACCAACGAATGAGAATTCTTGCAATTCATGTATCCATATTGTTGGATTGTCTGGCCCCTACTTGATTCTTTACAGTTTGATGTCATATAGATTTGCTGAGTAAGAATTACCGGCAGACAGCTAACAAATCTTGTGTATGAATTTGTACAGCTGTGTCCGTTGTTCCAGAATGTGTCTGTCTGTGTGTCCCCAGGTTGAGAGAACGTACAGTAACGGGGCCCGGGAAATACTCTTCGCCAATGGAACAAGGAAGGAGATCTCATCAGACGGACAGTCAATCATTGTGTCCTTCTTCAATGGCGACATTAAACAGATCTTCCCGGACCAGCGAGTTGTGAGTGAGACAATAGCCATGTGCTCGTCCCAGGCATTTCATTATACACTCCCAATACAACAACCTCATGCTTGTCATGGTATGGAAATAATAAAATTTGGACCAGGAAACTATTCAGTGGATAATGACCCTCCTGTCAGGGTATGACGACCCACAATCAGCCAGATCATGCATTATATAGACATACGGGAGCATGGGTGTCATGACTCGTGAAGATCCGGGATAGAATAGGTCTTCAGTTACCCACAGGCGACTATGCTTGTCGTAAGAGGCGACTAATTGGATCTGGTAGTCAGACTCACTGACTTGATTGATGCATGTCATATTGCTATATTGATGCTCTTGATTTCAATCACTGGATTGTCTGGTCCAGACTCGATTATTTACAGACCGCTGTCATATTGTTGGAATATTGCTGAGTGTGGCATTAAACAACAACCCAACCTTACTTTTCAGTTTCAGTTTATTGAGAAAGTTACTGATACATTACACTGGTCCATCCAGAAAAAGGATGGAAGGGTGAAGACCCCTCTCCACCACCCTCCAGACATCTTTCATATTAACCTGTCATGTGTTTTTGTTTGCTTCATGACTAAGGTATAGAGTGCACCTATCTGTTTCAAAAGTCGGACCGCCTCCGTGGTCTAGTGGTAGACCATCCGCCCAGAGAGTGGAAGGTCAGGGTTTTGATCCCCGGCCGCGTCATACCAAAAGACGTTAAAAGATGGTACTTGTTGTTACCCTGTCTGACGCTCGGCATTAAGGGGCTAAAACAAGGACTGGTCGGCTCGGAGTCAGTATACTGTGTCTGAGTGGGGTATTCATGTTAAACTGCGGCATGGTATCTCAGTGGGCTAGCACTATAAATCGGCATCAGTCTGGACTAGTACAAGCAGCCACACAAACACACACACATACATGCACGTCGCTATATAAGTGCAATAATCTTGGACGCGACGTTAAACCCCTTAACCTCTCCTGTTTCACAATTCCTGGATCTGCCTCTGCTTTGACTTAGTGTAAATACAGTATAACACGCTTATAACAAACACGCTTATGACGAACTGACGGATATAATGTTCTGCTTTTTTGTTCTGGGCATTTGCTATAAGCTGTATATGCTTATAACCAACTACGGTTATAACAAACTAAAATAAGTGGTCCTTTTGAGTTTGTTATAACCGTAGTTTCCTGTTGTGTGGTATCTCTCTTAACTTATGGAGAACCTTTTTAGCTGCAGCTATAGAGGTGTGGTTCTCTCTAGTCATATCCTTGGTGTTAGATGACTGTAGAACTGTGTTGCTGTTGTTGCAGGTGTACTTCTATGCAGATGCTCAGACCACCCACACAACTTACCCCGACGGCCTGGAGATCCTGCAGTTTCAGAAGTACGCCTCACAGTTAGGAGATCGTGTTTTCAGATTTACAGGCATTATTGAATATCTGATACCTTAAAATTTCATTTGGAACTGACAGTGTTAGCTTGAGATTTCAAAAGTTAACATGTCTCGGCGTATTTGGAAATCTTTTTTCAAGTTTCAAAGTTTTATGTTAACAAGATCAGATATTCCTTCATACAGTGATAAGGCCATCTTAAGTCGTCTAAAAATATTTGAAAGATTTAAAGTTTCTTTAAAAAGCAATGTCTTAACTCTAAAATTAATCCATCACCATAGCAACCAGATAGAGAAGCACTACCCTGATGGCACGAAGGAGATCACATTCCCGGACCAGACCATCAAGTATCTGTTTCCAAACGGATCTGAGGAGAGCATATTCCCAGATGGCACCGTGATCCGCGTGGAGAAGTCCGGAGACAAGACGATGGAGTTCCCTAACGGTCAGCGGGAAATACACACAGAAACATACAAGGTACTGAAGTCAGACTCTCACATATACAGTAGGTCACGATAGGAGGACTTCATGTTTTCTATAGCGGAACGGGTAGCTCAGTGGCTAAGGCGTTGCAAGTCTCTGTGCAGTGTTGCGTCCTTTAGTGCGCCAGGAACCGAACCAATCAAATCGCCCTGATTATGTTTCATGGTTTGTCACACTGTGCTTGTGAGTTTCACCAAAATTGTAACCATGGTGACCTGCATCACTTTCGGGCTTTCAAGGTCACCCTTTCAAGGTCACCCAAACAAGATGGGAATTATGGAGTTATATTTTAACGAGTCTATGCATAGTCCTATCAAAATTGTGTCACAAAATCGACATCTGGTTTGTAAACTGCTGTGCAGATTTTGGTCGATTTGCAAAGCATGTGTACCGTCAATTTAGCGTCAACATGTATGTTCCCAATCTTTTCATGTTTTTTCATCAAGGTGCTCACATGATTTGATGCACTCCGCGAAGTAGGACTTATTTTGTTACAATAAAGATCTGGATTATCGATCAGATCATCTTCACTGCCGCCATTTTGTTTGAAGCAAATGCAAGTGCTATGAGAGGTGGAATCTGATTGGTGAATATGGAGGGACATACATGGGTCATAACTCGTAATATCCACTGGTGGTGCTTCGATCAAGGCGAGAAATTCAAGCCTTGTTCTGTGAGGTTGAAAACTGGACTTTTACAGTCAGTTAACTCCCTTGCCTCAGGAAGATGGGATTCGTTGGCTGCAATTTGTCCTGGGTGTTAGGGTGTCTGTTGACCTGTGTAGTACAGCAGTGAGATGTGGTTCTGTGTACAGGGCACAAATCAAGGGAAGTTATGTAGTTGGTTGGGTGAGCTTTCAGTCCTCCCCAACACTGAAACACATGTGGTGGCTCCTTAGACAACTGACCTTGTTCAAAATATGCCTCTGTTCACCTAGTAGTGAATGGGTACCTGGTAGAAGGATATTGTAACGGGACTGTTTACCTTCTACCACCTCATAGTCACATGCTGCTTAGATTGTATTCTCCCCAGGGAGCTGAGAATAAAATTTGAGTGCTCTCTGATCCGGTGACATGGTTAAAAAGATCTATCATGATGTCAACGCATTTGAGCAATTATAAATTAGAAAGTGTGCTAAGGAAATAGTATGATACAATACAGTAACCAGGATCTCTTGTTTCAGAGGAGGGAATATCCAGATGGCACCGTGAAGACTGTATACCCTGATGGGCGCCAGGAGACTCGCTACTCCACGGGGAGGATACGACTCAAAGACAAGGATGGGAATGTCATCATGGATCGGATGTGTTGACAGGAGCATCTCGTGTGTACTCGTCTTGACAGTGTGATCTGGATGGTTTTGAGGTGGCGTAGGCCTGTGGTTAAAGTGTTTGCTCATAACGCCCGGGGTCGATTCCCCACATAGGTATAAGTGAAGACTGTTTCTGGTGTCCCTTGCTGTGATATTGCTGGAAAGTTGCTAAAAGTGACATGCATCCCTATTCACTCTCGCATTGTTGATGAAAATGGACTGACGCTTCTCTGGAATATCATATCACTCTGTTGAGGAACACATTGCGAGGATATGTTGGTATCCAGGCAAGGTTGTAATATACTTTGATACAACTGGCTTTGCTACGGATAATGGAGATGTCATATCTCAGCTGTAGGGGACTGTAATGTGATGATACTGGACTAGTGACTCCTTGCATCACACCAGATGACTAGATGAATTGAAACTTACAGCTGACGTGAAGAAATTTGTTTCTTGCGAATTTGATGGACAACACCAAGATTCCTCCACCAACATACAACTGTTGTTTGTATGCTTTCTCTGATCTAGTGGATCTGATGGACAACATACACCTTCTCTGATCTTGTGGATCCGATGGACAACATACGACTTATCTGATCTAGTGGATCTGATGGACAACATACACCTTCTCTGATCTTTGGGTTCGATGGACAACATTCGACTTATCTGATCTAGTGGATCTGATGGACAACATATGTCTTCTCTGGTCTAGTGGATCTGATGGACAACATGCACCTTCTCTGATCTAGTGGATCTGATGGACAACATATGTCTTCTCTGATCTAGTGGATCTGATGGACATCATACACCTTCTCTGATCTAGTGGATCTGATGGACAACATACACCTTCTCTGATCTAGTGGATCTGATGGACAACATACGACTTATATGATCTAGTGGATCTGATGGACAACATACACCTTCTCTGATCTAGTGGATCTGATGGACAACATACGACTTATATGATCTAGTGGATCTGATGGACAACATACACCTTCTCTGATCTAGTGGATCTGATGGACAACATACACCTTCTCTGATCTAGTGGATCTTATGGACAACATACACCTTCTCTGATCTAGTGGATCTGATGGACAACATACACCTTCTCTGATCTAGTGGATCTGATGGACAACATACACCTTCTCTGATCTAGTGGATCTGATGGACAACATACACCTTCTCTGATCTAGTGGATCTGATGGACAACATACACCTTCTCTGATCTAATGGATCTGATGGACAACACAAGGTGCCTCCACCAACATAAGCCTGGTGTTTGTACACATTTGTAACTAGTGGATCCGATGGACAATGTATGCCTTCTTTGAGTGGATCTGATGGACAACACAAGGTGCCTCTACCAACTTTAGCCTTGTGTTTGTGCCTGTTTGTATCGATTGGAACTGATGGAAAACACAAGGTGCCACTTTCATTTTCCATACATCCTTTCTCATCATGACAGTGTCATGTGAAGTGCTTCATGACATTTGCAACACATGACAGTGTCAGTTACTGACAGAATATGGTCTCCAGGAAATCTATAAGGTCAGAGTTAGTACATGTATTAAACATGTCTGCCATGCTCTGCTCTGTTGAAAGTGTTCTACATGTTAATGTATACGTGTGACGGAGAGTAACTCGTCGGGTAGCCGAGTGGTTAAAGCGTTCGCTCGTCACGCCGAGGTTCGATTCCCGACATGGGTACAATGTGTGAAGCCCATTTCTGGTGACCCCCGCCATGATATTGCTGGAATATTGCTAAAAGCGGCGTAAAACCATACTCACTCACTCACTCACTCCTGCTCTTAGTTTCTGTAGCTTCTATATGGGACAAGTTCAAAATTTAGATCCCAAAAAATATTTCAGAGGAGGGAATATCCAGATGGCACCGTGAAGACTGTATACCCTGATGGCCGCCAGGAGACTCGCTACTCCACGGGGAGGATACGACTCAAAGACAAAGATGGGAATGTCATCATGGATCGGATGTGTTGACCGGAGCATTATTGTGTGTTCTGGTCTTGATAGTTTGAGGTGGCGCAAGGCCTGTGGATGAAGTGTTCACTCTCCACGCCTAAAAAAATAAAATATTTATGTCAGGTGCCAAATATCTGTGATATACCTAGGTCACAAATGGTTGTACAAATGTGGAAGTGTTTTAACCTGTTTGTGATAAGACTTTTCTTCACCAATTCTTCACCTCGATTTAATTGGCTGTTTTTGGAATTGTAGCGTTTTAGGACAAGTCTTTGAGCAGGTTCCCAATTTCACAAAGAACACAGTGTCTGGAGATGTTGATTTGTGAAACATTTGGTGCATAATGTTAAGACCTTTCAGTGAAAGCTGCAACGCCATTGACTTGGTCACATATGTACTTGACAGGGGGACAATAGGATTGAGATTATGTTCTGATTTGATTTCAATATCCAATTAAGATGGAATATCACACAAGAAATAGGTAATCAACAAAGTTATGTACCGTTTTGCAATAGATCAAAATTTAAGAGAGCTTTACCATGAAATCTTATTTGCCCAAAAGTGTGTTTTACCAATTTATAACAACTCTAAGCCCTACTTCCTTAAATCTTTCCACACTGAAGCAATAACTTGTCTGACAACAGAATAGATCCTCTTACATATAGGGTAGAGAGATCTAAATAAATCATGTTAAAACCTGTGTATTTAAAGATGAAAAAAGCATTTATGATATCAGTTAGTTGTGTTGTCTGATGCAGCCAGTATATTGTACAGAGCTTCACAAGTGCCTTGTAGTCGGTGTTTAAGACGCATCATATTTACATGATGAATAAATGAATGAAACTAAAAATGAGTTTGTGTTTTATTTAGGGATTAGTTCAGGATTCACTGCTCCCTAGAAGATATCCAGCTTACATATGGTGTCAGTCCAGATTCAGACATTCCATAACGGTTGTAATGATAGCCTAGTTTCACTACCATGATGCATACATTTACAAGAGCTGGTATGGGATAGTTTGTTTTTATTTATCTTGGTCGATAAGACAACCAATCTCATAATCCCCTAAACAGCTTTGGTGTTTCGTTTAATTTTAATGAGAAACTTCAGAATCATTAGAAGGGATGCATTAATGTGACACAGCACAAGTGGACCTAATCTGGCAAGTATGCATCAACTCCTGTGCCCCCCCCCCCCACTTTCTCAAATGAAGCTGCATTAGGGACCCGTTCAAAAGTTTGATGTTGGATATAGATTCCTTAAGCTTTGAGGCATAACCAACCCCTAAAAACATTGATTTTGAAAATATTTAAGTCTGGAGTTTCATGGACTCTTTCATGTGTTTTGGCCTGCTTTTTTGAAACTATCGACTGAAGTCTCTTTACAAGGTGTTGAAATTCATTTGGTAGATTTTGATATTAAAAAAACCAACCAAATGCATTCTATATTACTCATTGCACTTGGACTTACCACTGTTGCAGGTGACAATAAAACCCTAACTTGTGGAAGACTGAATTTATATTTATGAAAATTCAGGCAACGTCATTGTTGATGTTTAACTCTTTCAACACCGGACAACCAGAAGCGTTTACTGTTGTAACACAGAGTCCCGCGAGATTCTTGTGTGATAGATGAAGCCAACATTTATCAAAGAAAATATCTGCTTGTAAAAGGTCTTTGCTTACTATATGATACACCATTGGAAAGGTCTGATCGTATGTATATAAATATGAAAGTTATGTTTATCATATATCACTGCATGTGAATGAAAATGGGATCGGTTGAGATGATTTTGTCAGATGGAAAACTTGCAGGGCCATTAACTGCCCACCTCTGTACTTAAGATATTTCTTTCAATCATTGAACTTTTGAAATGGTCCCTAAACGGTTTTTCTTAGAATCTACAAATAAATTTACACCATTAGTCATGTGGACATCAAGAAGTTGATGCAATCCATGCATTATTGACTACAAGCAAGTACATCTCACTTGACCATGGCCTTCACTTAGGTTATAAATACCAAATTTTCTCAAAGTAATAATTTCATTTTTAACAAGTATTTGTCACAGAAGTGACGAAATGTCCCCCGCCTGTATATACACCATAGTACCAAATATGAAGACAATCCAGCGATTAGTTCTTGAGATATCGCGGCAACACCGTTTTCCAACTCCAAAAGCAGATTTACCTGCTGTGACCTTGAAAATGCGGTCAAGGTCACCAAAACCGACTGGTGTCTGCGGAGTCTGTATATACACCATAGTTCCAAATATGAAAACAATCCAGTGTTTAGTTCTTGAGATATCGCGGCAACACTGTTTTCAAACTCCAAAAGCAGATTTGCCTGCTGTGACCTTGAACATGGGGTCAAGGTCACTAAAACCGACTGGTGTCTGTATATACACCATAGTTGCAAACATGAAGACAATCCAGCGATTAGTTCTTGAGATATCGCGGCAACACCGTTTTCCAACTCCAAAAGCAGATTTGCCTGCTGTGACCTTGAAAATGGGGTCAAGGTCACCCTAAACAGCTTTGGTGTTTCGTTTAATTTTAATGAGAAACTTCAGAATCATTAGAAGGGATGCATTAATGTGACACAGCACAAGTGGACCTAATCTGGCAAGTATGCATCAACTCCTGTGCCCCCCCCCCCCACTTTCTCAAATGAAGCTGCATTAGGGACCCGTTCAAAAGTTTGATGTTGGATATAGATTCCTTAAGCTTTGAGGCATAACCAACCCCTAAAAACATTGATTTTGAAAATATTTAAGTCTGGAGTTTCATGGACTCTTTCATGTGTTTTGGCCTGCTTTTTTGAAACTATCGACTGAAGTCTCTTTACAAGGTGTTGAAATTCATTTGGTAGATTTTGATATTTAAAAAACCAACCAAATGCATTCTATATTACTCATTGCACTTGGACTTACCACTGTTGCAGGTGACAATAAAACCCTAACTTGTGGAAGACTGAATTTATATTTATGAAAATTCAGGCAACGTCATTGTTGATGTTTAACTCTTTCAACACCGGACAACCAGAAGCGTTTACTGTTGTAACACAGAGTCCCGCGAGATTCTTGTGTGATAGATGAAGCCAACATTTATCAAAGAAAATATCTGCTTGTAAAAGGTCTTTGCTTACTATATGATACACCATTGGAAAGGTCTGATCGTATGTATATAAATATGAAAGTTATGTTTATCATATATCACTGCATGTGAATGAAAATGGGATCGGTTGAGATGATTTTGTCAGATGGAAAACTTGCAGGGCCATTAACTGCCCACCTCTGTACTTAAGATATTTCTTTCAATCATTGAACTTTTGAAATGGTCCCTAAACGGTTTTTCTTAGAATCTACAAATAAATTTACACCATTAGTCATGTGGACATCAAGAAGTTGATGCAATCCATGCATTATTGACTACAAGCAAGTACATCTCACTTGACCATGGCCTTCACTTAGGTTATAAATACCAAATTTTCTCAAAGTAATAATTTCATTTTTAACAAGTATTTGTCACAGAAGTGACGAAATGTCCCCCGCCTGTATATACACCATAGTACCAAATATGAAGACAATCCAGCGATTAGTTCTTGAGATATCGCGGCAACACCGTTTTCCAACTCCAAAAGCAGATTTACCTGCTGTGACCTTGAAAATGCGGTCAAGGTCACCAAAACCGACTGGTGTCTGCGGAGTCTGTATATACACCATTGTTCCAAATATGAAAACAATCCAGTGTTTAGTTCTTGAGATATCGCGGCAACACTGTTTTCAAACTCCAAAAGCAGATTTGCCTGCTGTGACCTTGAACATGGGGTCAAGGTCACTAAAACCGACTGGTGTCTGTATATACACCATAGTTGCAAACATGAAGACAATCCAGCGATTAGTTCTTGAGATATCGCGGCAACACCGTTTTCCAACTCCAAAAGCAGATTTGCCTGCTGTGACCTTGAAAATGGGGTCAAGGTCACCAAAACCAACTGGTGTCTGCGGAGTCTGTATATACACCATAGTTCCAAATATGAAAACAATCCAGTGTTTAGTTCTTGAGATATCGCGGCAACACTGTTTTCAAACTCCAAAAGCAGATTTGCCTGCTGTGACCTTGAACATGGGGTCAAGGTCACTAAAACCGACTGGTGTCTGTATATACACCATAGTTGCAAACATGAAGACAATCCAGCGATTAGTTCTTGAGATATCGCGGCAACACCGTTTTCCAACTCCAAAAGCAGATTTGCCTGCTGTGACCTTGAAAATGGGGTCAAGGTCACCAAAACCAACTGGTGTCTGCGGAGTCTGTATATACACCATAGTTCCAAATATGAAAACAATCCAGTGTTTAGTTCTTGAGATATCGCGGCAACAAAGAGGTGGGACGTACGGACGTACGTACGGTCGTGAATACTATATCCCCCGCTTCGCGCTTTCGCGCGGCGGGGGACAATGCTGTTTGCAAGCTTTCATGTCAATTGTGTGAGTATGTAATGGAAGGTCTAAGTTGTGATTTCCTTGCTGAAAAGATGCTGTTGATCAGTTAGTGCCAGTCCTGTGGAATCAGCCATACTGACATATGCAAGAAGAAATGCATTAGACTATCAGTTTTCAGGACTGACAACTTGTGCACCCAACTTTATGTTCTATTATAGTCATTTATAAATCCAGATCCAACTAAAGGTTATTCTCAACATTTTTAGGAAAAACTACTAAAACTCTGGAAATATAATACATCAAATTTATTTTCACTTAAACATTTAAATACAATGCACCAGTCACATAATAGTAATTTTTGTACACAGAAAGTGCTTCTGAAAATGTACATATAGTATCTGATGAATCTATGAAAACACCTTGGCTTTACTTAGCGCATGTAATAAGATTATCCACTGGTACCGCCGTGAATAGAAACACCAAACAAGCCTGGACTTGAATTGTCAGATCTCAGTCATACTGATGCTAGACTTCAGCATAATAATCTCCATCAGAATACACAGTATCCTCTGTCTGTCCAGTCCTTCACTTCTTGTGTCCAATATTCTAACAATATATTCACTGGCTATGTGATCGCCCACTGTTACTTCTGTGGGACATAGGAGTAGGCACCAAAGAGTGAATCAGTACGAGCTTCAAATTGTGATCCCAAAGAGCTTTACACTGGAGTTTTGCGCACAGAGGCATTTAAATGATGATTGCGGAGATGAACATGCGCATATAGTTACTGAAAGTAGTCCACAGTGAAGTTTTTATCACACTAAATATCGTCATCATCCTCTGGTAAAGCAAGCCCTTGTGCCGTCTGAAACATAAAAGTACATTCATTTAGAAAATGATGTTTTCAATGCAATGGCTAGGTACTTGTAGATTTAACTGAGCTAAATTCAATTTGAAACACGACTTTGTTATCGATCACAGCTTCAAAACAACCAAACACCAATTGGGAAAGTACTTAAATGTTGACCAATCATCATCTAGTAGTTTGATAGTAGAACATGTATTGACTGACTGTTCACTACATCTGTTAACAATTGATACACATGCTTCGCAACTTAAATTTCTTACAAGTGAACAGTGATATTGGTCGCCAGGATTAATTGATAAGATAATTAGCCACCGAACTCTGCATACAGGACCAAAAATATCACTGCCAACAGCTTCCACTACATGTAACTCACCTTCAACTCTTCTTCATACTTCTCCTTAAGCTCCTCGTCCATCTGAACCTCTGGGGGCTGGAGGGCAGGCATGGCCACAAACTCCAGATTGGGGTCACCCACCAGCTTACGTGCCAGCCACAGGAATGGCTTCTCAAAGTTGTAGTTACTCTTGGCTGAGACATCATAGTACTGAAACAGAATGATAACCCATTGACGACCCTCCACAGATATAATCCAATGTGTAGCAGAACTACCAGCTTAATAATTCCAGAACAGGGTACCCTGCAACCACAGCTTTTCCAATACTGGTCCTATTGCCATGACTGCAGCTGTAGAAATTAATTTAGAAATGTTTACTTGCCAGTGATTCTGAGGGAAGTTTACCCAAAGGGTAAACTTGTAGGTGATAATGGGCTTCTTGCTTAGCACTACACATTGTGAATTTCATGTACCTATGTGAACATGATGAAACATTTATAGCAATATGCAATTTGTTTCATTTTTCAGTCTTGTTTGTGGTCTGGCTAGCAACATGAGCAAGGGGCCACCAAACAGAAAATGTTTATGAGACTGAATAATTTAGGCTTGTTAATAGTACTACTGTTTGGCAATAGTGGTATGGTTGTCATCAGGCAACGTCATTGTTGATGTTTAACTCTTTCCACACCAGACAACCAGAAGCGTTTACTGCTGTAACACCAAGTTCCGAGCGATTCTTGTTTGATAGATGAAGCCAACATTTATCAAAGAAAATATCTGCTTGTAAAACATCTTTGCTACACCATTGGAAAGGTCTGATCCATTTGTATATAAATATGAATGTTATGTTTATCATATTATTTAAATAATGCATTTACAACTTAATTAAGTTTTTTGTATATAAAAAATGTAAGCTAACACATTGATCATGTTGATAACGTCAAGACAAAGGACCAAGGGAGTGAAAATTTGACGATTTTCAGCACATATAGGATTTCATAAAATCCACTTACCTATTTCTTTTTATTTTCATTGTTTACGTAATTAAAAAAGCATTTTAAAAAGGCTTTGTATGAAGAACATGTTGGTCGAAGACTGGCATATGACATCACTGGATAGCTTATTCTTTCATCTGCACGCTAGTAACATCGCCTGGAGTCTCTTCATAGTTCTAACACGCGATTTCGTTGGATATAAATTGGTATCTTATGACACTTTCTGGCCGAAATCTGCTGCAAGGGTCGTGATTGGTATAATTTGAGCATGTGACCTAAGGCAGCCTTAGTAATAGTAATATCCTTGTGTATGATGATTTCAGATTTTGACGAGAAATTGTTAAATCGTGCTCTTCTGACATTTTAAGCAGGAAATCACAATCTGTATTACAAATATGGAGCTTCGTGGATGCATCGTACTAGGCTACGAGCTATGACAAAGATTTTTCATGCATATATTTTGGCATCAAACATCATGTCCGAGCTGAGAATTCAAGGCGATGAAAGCCAAGAAGACATTTGATTTACATTACAAGCATTAGCACAAAAAGATGGAAATAACAACGTAGCTGTAAGTTTGACATATTTTAGATATATTTTTGTTGATTTTACTTATTACTTTGAATAATATATTAAAGATTTGCTTGAAGTGTCTTAATTTTTATTGTTTGACATGTTCGATGTGGACCTGTTGTCGAAATGTGTGTCTGAGAATCATATTTTCAATAACTTGAATAACTGCGGGAAATAGTGAATAATTTTTTAATCTATTGATAAAAAATTATAAATTGAAATGGAATATGTATTTCAGACAATGTGAAATGCGATAGCTTTAATAAATGAGTGATATTACTGGTAGGTTGATATAATTATATACTATTTTGATGTGACAACGTCTGGGAATTTGATGCTTCTTGGCCGGACTACCAGCCTACAAAAATTATCAAGTCTGGAACAGACGCGCCAGTGATTGATATTGTGAACGATGCTCCACACTGTCGGGCTATGGTATAAGCAATCGGAACCATCAGATTTGGCATGTGTTTCATTTGTTCATTACAACCAACATAAATAGTTTTATGCTATTCATCAATGTACAAACAAAATACATAATGGACAAGCTAGTAGAATCTGAAGTTGGGTATACCTGCAAGTTCTTCTTCCTATGGAAGGTGATGGTCTTGGCTTTCACTTTCCTATCCTTGATATCCACTTTGTTGCCACACAGAACAATTGGCACGTTTTCACACACACGAACTAAGTCTCTATGCCAGTTAGGAACATTCTTATATGTCACACGAGACGTCACATCAAACATGATAATGGCACACTGCCCTGTGAAGACGAAAAACATCAGTATTAACACATGCTAAAAAAAAAGATCAGGGTACAAAACAAACCATAGCATCACTTGTGGACGAGATTCAAGTACCTTTTAACCTATGCTCGATTACCGAGAAAGCAAATTTCACATAGTAAAACATCATAGACAGTACTAATATTTACCCCTGCGTATATCATTCCCACGTCAAACTTCAGATAACAGTGCTTCACATATCAACAGCCTAGACATAAATATGATCACACACACAAAAATCAGACTAACATGTAGACAAAGAGTCGACATCTTCCAAAGTTTGCTGTTTGATTGTTTAACGTCGCACTCAGCAATATTCCAGCTATACAACAGCTGTCTGTAAATAATTGAGTCTGGACCAGACAATCCAGTGATTCACATGAGCATCTATCAACGGAATTGGGATATGATGACATGCATCAACCAAGTCAGACTACCAGAACCCATTAATCGCCTCTTACGTCAAACAGTCACTTTTTTACAGCAAACATGGTTTGCTGAAGAGCTATTCTTCCCCGAATCTCCAAGGGTCACAAGACAAACGTGATAAACAATGCCTAAATTAAAGATCCTGACCAGCATTTTTTCACCTGGAAAAGAAGTGTTTTACGACACAATGTTATTTTTGCAGCTGACAATGCTGCTTTCATCTTAGCTCAACATACCCTGAATATAATAGCCATCTCTAAGACCACCGAACTTCTCCTGTCCTGCTGTGTCCCATACATTGAATTTGATCGGCCCTCTGTTTGTGTGGAACACTAGTGGATGGACTTCCACACCAAGCGTTGCTGTGGGACAAATAAAACATTCCAAGTATTCCAATTGTGAGCTGCAATGCACCAGTCTAACAGTCAAGCAACTAACTTCCCACACTTGTCAAACATGTTTTTGCAATGAACTTATCAGACTCAATCTGGAACAGAGCAGCATGGAACTTCACTGATTTCACCAAAGCAGCAAGGATTGAATTAGACTACAATTGTGATATTGTTACATAGTTCTCACAGATATCGCATCAACATACATTCGTTTTTTATGGTTTTGCTATATGTTATTATTATAAGGACTAGTGGACTAAAAACGTTAGTTTCTACCGCTGTAATTGAAAAATGGGACTTTTCTTTCAAAAGTAACTCATAAACATTGTGAATATCAACAGTCTTCAGCTACGGGTTACTTGTTAATGTTTTCTGGCTGTTGCATGTGGCAAACATGCAGCATGATGCAGGAAATAATTATATACATTGCATCTTCCAGTCGACAATGCTTGGAAAGACGGAAATATTGATGCATAGGTTTTTTTATTACAGCTGACAATGCTCATTATCCAATAATATCCACACATTTTTAACTATTAGCACTGGAAGAATTAAGAATCCGAACATAGGCTACACAAGGATATATCTATATAATCTAGTAGCATCATATTTTAGTCACAAATAACAAAAGTCCAATACAGTTCCCACTGTTTGAAGATGAAATATCTGATAACTTGCAAAATCTCACTGCTTTTTTCTGCCATTTTCAAGATAATCCCTGATCAGCAGAACACCTTCTTTCAGAAAAATATTGGTTTGTAGGAGTAAAAATAAGCAAGGAGCAAACAAAGAAATGCCCATGGTCATGATCAGATTTGATGAGAGACAAGATTTCAGCACTGACTGTAGAATAAGCATGTACCAACATACAAACTCACCAACATATTTCTTTTCAAATTCTCCTGTCATGTGTCGCTTGACGAATGTGGTTTTTCCTACACCGCCATCTCCAACCAAAACAAGCTGCAAAAAAACAAAACAATTACTGGTTTCATCAACAAAAGAAACCCATAATACATGTATCTAGAATAACTAAATACACAAAGATGGTTGACAGCGAATTCTGGGTTGGCATATTGGCACATAAATCATATTGAAAAACAGACAGCTGTATCATATTACAATACATATCGCCCCAAACTATATATGTACTGTTCAAACAGGAATGCTTCACTCAATTCTCCCGACATCAGATTACGATATGGGTTTTGACAGTTATGTATAAATGAGACTTCTTGTTACGTCATCAATATGGAATGTTAATGTAAACAGAATGAAGCATGTGGCGTTTAGATAGGAACTCAGTCCATCCAAATGCCTACATCAAAACAAGTATCATGTTGAATGGGTAATCACTTAGTCCTTACCTTGAACTGGACAAGATCTGTCAATGGACACTGGGTCATTTCTGCCATAATTAGCTGGAATAAAAAGAAAGTCAGTAAGACAAGTGATTTTTTTGTGAACTTTAACACAAACACACTCAGTGATGAGAACTTGTGCAAATGCAACAAATTTTTCAAAGCTTTTGAACACACAATATGTGATGGACATACATATTGGATAAAATTTGGCTATGGTCTATGCCCTCAACATCTAAGGGAAACTAAATGTTGCCAATGTCATTCATGGATTCCTTACGATAGCCTGTTAACATGATGAACTCACTGTGATGAAAGTTCAGTTTCAAGGCTTTTTAAGGCTCACACTAAAACTCTAGACATACACATAAGACAAAATGTATCTCCAGAATATTTCCATCTGCAAGAAGCAGTCAAATCACAAACATACAAATCAAGCTATGTCTGAACGATACCCTCATTAGTTTACAGAAGAACACAGGGACAGCTTTTAAATGAATGTGCCGATTGCAGTATATGAAATGTGAAACAGGGTATCAGACAAACTCATACGAAAACTTTGGTTATGCTGCCATAGCAAAAACACTAGTAGGATAATCAACAAATTTAAGGTGGCAATTTAGAGTACAAACTACGAAAAGTGACAACACAACAGTTAAATCAGGGGCTTCCATTCAGCTTTGAGTTCATCAACAACTTGCAGCTTATGACAGCTATATTGTCACAACAGGCTTAATGTTTTCTCCAACTGCTTGTTTCTCATTCCCAAGAAATGTTTGTTTGGTTTAGAGGATTAATAACATAAGGCACACAAATTGAAAAAAGAAAGAAACCTTTAACCATGTAAAGATGGGGGTAGTTTGTGTCAATCCACTCCTACGCTAGTGGTGATTGTGTCCACAAAATGTTTACAACACCACATACGAAAGTTGACGTGGTTGAATGCACATCCACATGGGCAGATCTTATCAACTGGTAGAAGGGCTTGTCCTGAAAGTGGTTGACTTTATCCTGTTTGAAAACAAGTCAGATATAGGCCTACAGACCTAGTGCATGTCGTCTGGTGATTATCGTGTAAGAGTACACATTTTGAAAGTCTGTTGATATCCAGGTAACTTTACACCAAACCTACTTTTTTCCTCGGTTAGTCATAATCAATACGATCACAACGCCTGTGTGACAGAGGGTAGCGCATGTATGTCACTGAGGATGGGCGAGTTATGTACTAAACTTCGTAGTAGTGTTCGGGCCTTGCCCTGTTGTGGTAACCCATACAACGTGGGTTGTTTCAAATAAAACTGTCCAATAGTAAACAAAGACAAAGCATAAATTTAAAGAGTATCGATCATTTAAACCAGTTGATTTTAACTTTATGGCCCTCTTTATATTGAAACAAACAGAATAATCCAGAAAATAAATCTAGAATGTTGGATTTTTCATATCAAACGTAAAAGGGAAAGTGACACTTAAGTGAGTCCACACCGGAACGAAATGTACAATCACACATGATAACGATGTGAGCAATATTGAAAGACGTATACTCATTACATAAAAGAATCGCCTTTATTTCCTGGACACTATCACCAGATTCGAATGGAAAATTCCATGCCGTCATCAGATGAATGAAATCAAGAAAATCAATGTAAGAGTTTCATGGAGCATTATTCCATACCTAAAGTACATATACAAACAGTTGAAACTATTTTAGACTGAAGATGCCTTCGATTGAATACCGATCCACCTACCTTTGCTTTTAGAGGACGACTGAAGAATGATGGCGCAAGTCTCTCAGGCAGTTTGAACCGGTTTTGGCGCGCAATGTCCTTGTATACGGAAGTTGCCTGATTATCTCCCTTATACGATCAGCTGCGGTTCAGCTGATTGGCTTTAGGTGTTGATTATCACTGCTCAAGGGTGATTGTTGTTAACTCGTAACATCTTGGAATGGAAGTCGAATATACTTACAAAGATTCTTTTGATATAGAGCTGTGAATTTTGGCCATTCAGAATTGTTTGAATCCCGGAGATACAAGGATCAAATGAGGACGGTTTGGCGCCAAATCTGCCACCCACCCTCGCTCCCCAAGCTCACACGTCCTTTGTTAGTATTTGTGACGTTATGTAATTGCAACATTAATTAACTTAATGGGAAGGGGGCGGGGGAGGTCGGACGTGTGGTGAAAGGGGACCGTTGTGTTTTCGTTTGGATGTTGCTGAAATTCCAGAACAAGTTCGTGTGACTTCCGCCCTCCTGTGACGTAACACCAGACCATTACAGCTTTGCCAGATTCACACCAATTATCGGATTAGCGGATACCGAGGGGGTGGGGTCCAGGGACCGACTAAACTAAAACATTTGATCCAAGAGCCACTCCAAAAAATAAAGACTCACCATAAATACAAAAATATTGACAGGGCAATACTTAAACTAAAAACGGGTCATGCAAAACTACATAAAACTGTTTTAAAACAAAGAAACACAAAACAGGTAAATGGCCACACTTCAGCCAACTAGAAACACCAGAACACGTACTACTACACTGCACGCACTACAGACAACACAGGACAAAACTCAAACCAAACTAGACTGCAACACTCAAATAACAGTTGCAACACTACTAAATCCGCTAAACGGTACACAAACCTTCAAAGCATTAGGTAGGGGCGGTCGGGTAGCCTAGTGGTTAAAGCGTTCGCTCGTCACGCCGAAGACCCGGGTTCGATTCCCGACATGGGTACAATGTGTGAAGCCCATTTCTGGTGCCCCCCGCCGTGATATTGCTGGAATATTGCTAAAAGCGGCGTAAAACCATACACACTCACTCAAAGCATTAGGCATATTCCTTATTAAAACTGAACTACTAGGCCGCATATAATCACTTACAAAAATTAAACTACCACTAATCAGAACTAATATAACAAATCCCAAAACCACACCCTCCATAAGTCCCCCACATATTGCAAGTTTTCAAATTTCACAAAACGTTAACGCCCCCAGTTGTCTCACCTTTCGGACACACTCTCCTGGCATGGCAATCTCACTAAATGGCCTGGCGGGTCCGTGTGCGAAATACGCATAATGTCGGAAAGCGTACTTTAAATCTCCAATAGTAAGTAAGTTAACTCACTCACGCACTCACTCACATTCTTTGTATATTACCTAACCGATCGGAGCACATGGGAGGACATTTAAACTATGGCATCAAACGAAAGTTCTCTTTTTCAATTTATCAGTTATATTTTAAATATAAAATTTGACCATAAGACTAATATTCCATTATTTATTGGAAAATATATGCGGGAAATTACGATCTCGCAAACACAGTCTAGATATTTGTTGTAAAAGGGCTCAACGTTTGCTTGTATTCAGTGATAATATCCTTTGAAATTGATGTGATAGTGTGACCGTCATTTGACACACACACACGTATATATATATGCTCAGTGACTTGATACATCGTGATTCCTACAGCAACACGCCACATCATACAGCGACACATCACATCATACACTGACATATACCACATCAAACAACAACACGTGACATTCAGGAAAGCTCTACATCAAACACCGACACGCCACATCATACAGCGACAAACAACATCACATCATTCAGTAACACGCCACATCAGACAGCGACACGTACGGCACATCACATGCAGCGACACGCCACATTCATGAACGCTCGACATCAAACACCGACACGCCACATCATACAGCGACACGCCACATTCAGTTACGCTCAACATCAAACACCGACACGTACAGCGACACGCCACATCATGCAGCGACACGCCACATTCAGTTACGCTCTACATCAAACACCGACACGTACAGCGACACGCCACATCATGCAGCGACATGCCACATTCAGTTACGCTCAACATCAAACACCGACACGTACAGCGACACGCCACATTCAGTTACGCTCTACATCAAACACCGACACGTACAGCGACACGCCACATCATGCAGTGCATGCCACATTCAGTTACGCTCAACATCAAACACCGACACGTACAGCGACACGCCACATCATACAGCGACACGCCACATTCAGTTACGCTCAACATCAAACACCGACACGTACAGCGACACGCCACATTCAGTTACGCTCTACATTAAACACCGACACGTACAGCGACACGCCACATCATGCAGTGCATGCCACATTCAGTTACGCTCAACATCAAACACCGACACGTACAGCGACACGCCACATCATGCAGCGACACGCCACATTCAGTTACGCCCTACATCAAACACCGACACGTACAGCGACACGCCACATCATACAGCGTCACGTGACATTCAGTTACGCTCTACATCAAACACCGACACCTACAACGACACGCCACATTCAGTTACGCCCTACATCAAACACCGACACGTACAGCGACACGCCACACCACACAGCGACACGTGACATTCAGTTACGCTCTACATCAAACACACTCTCCTACCCAGAGTTCCATGCGGCCGGCAGCCAGCCAGCATAGAACCTCTGCCACAGGCCAGCGCCATGTGACGATTCGTCACATCTTTCACAGTCCATTCAAGATATTGCATATGCTTTTCATCCGTTTCATGTTTGACAAGTCTACACATTTTCATAAACAAATGTCAACGAATGGTTAACTTTCATTGAGAAAGTATGCAAATACGTAAAAATCTACTTGTTTTTGCGTAGTTATCCTATGTTTACATGGGTTGTACGGCTCCACGTGCTGTCATCGAAGCCCAACGGAGAGCTAGCGACACGGTCACTTTGATGCATAAATATATATTGTCATGCAACTCACTGTCGCAGTTGTAGTAGCATATCTATATAGTTATGCAAAACAATATGTAAAGCGCCCCCAAATACTTGCATTAGTCCGTTCTATACTGATTTCTGAAAAAGCGCGCTTGTTTACAAACAAGAGAAAAGTCCGGTCACGTGATATGCAAATTAGCCTGTGGCAGTGGTGTTATGCTGAGTCACCACTGCGATGGAGTGTGCATCAAACACCGACACGTACAGCAACACGCCACATCATACAGCGACACGTGACATTCAGTTACACTCTACATCAAACACCGACACGTACAGCGACACGCCACATCATGCAGCGACACGCCACATTCAGTTACGCTCTACATCAAACACCGACACGTACAGCGACACGCCACATCATACAGCGACACGCCACATTCAGTTACGCTCTACATCAAACACCGACACGTACAGCGACACGCCACATCATATAGCGACACGCCACATTCAGTTACGCTCAACATCAAACACCGACACGTACAGCGACACGCCACATTCAGTTACGCTCTACATGAAACACCGACACGTACTGCGACACGCCACACCACACAGCGACACGCCACATTCAGTTACGCTCTACATCAAACACCGACACGTACAGCGACACGCCACATCATACAGCGACACGCCACATTCAGTTACGCTCAACATCAAACACCGACACGTACAGGGACACGCCACATCATGCAGCGACACGTGACATTCAGTTACGCTCTACATCAAACACCGACACGTACAGCGACACGCCACATTCAGTTACGCTCTACATCAAACACCGACACGTACAGGGACACGCCACATCATGCAGCGACACGCCACATTCAGTTACGCTCAACATCAAACACCGACACGTACAGCGACACGCCACATTCAGTTACGCTCTACATCAAACACCGACACGTACAGGGACACGCCACATCATGCAGCGACACGCCACATTCAGTTACGCTCAACATCAAACACCGACACGTACAGCGACACGCCACATTCAGTTACGCTCTACATCAAACACCGACACGTACAGGGACACGCCACATCATGCAGCGACACGCCACATTCAGTTACGCTCAACATCAAACACCGACACGTACAGCGACACGCCACATTCAGTTACGCTCTACATCAAACACCGACACGTACAGCGACACGTGACATTCAGTTACACTCTACATCAAACACCGACACGTACAGGGACACGCCACATCATGCAGCGACACGCCACATTCAGTTACGCTCAACATCAAACACCGACACGTACAGCGACACGCCACATTCAGTTACGCTCTACATCAAACACCGACACGTACAGCGACACGCCACATCATGCAGCGACACGCCTCATTCAGTTACGCTCAACATCAAACACCGACACGTACAGCGACACGCCACATCATACATCGACACGTGACATTCAGTTACGCCCTACATCAAACACCGACACGTACAGCGACACGCCACATCATACAGCGACACGCCACCTTCAGTTACGCTCAACATCAAACACCGACACGTACAGCGACACGCCACATCATACAGCGACACGTGACATTCAGTTACGCTCAACACCAAACACCGACACGTACAGCGACACGCCACATCATACAGCATATAGAGATTCGCGAGTTTCTTTAATTTCCATGTTCTGGATAAATCGGTGGTGTATTTGTGTGATTTGTCGTAGAGGAAAGTGAAAATGTGGAACACGTGTTTGCCAAATGCTGGTCCCAGGTCGGTCCAGGAACAGGCGGGTTAGTCTTACAGCAGGGTCTAGTGTGGAGGTTGAGACATACAGCCTGAAACACACTAGTTTGCGTTTGCGTACTTGCGTATACGTTATCCGTATCCAAAACTTAGATTTGGTATAAATATTGCTGGCGAAAACATTTTGATTTACGCGTTTCTTTGTTTGCCAATGCGTATACAACTGAATTCCCCCGGGAACCATGTTGACGTCTATGCGTACATATACGCGATGGGAAATCCTTATCTACTGCATATGCTTAACAAAGAATGTTGGCGTAGTCGTAACCGTAAGCATAGACGTTGCTCGTTTTTAAGACAACGTGTACGCAGTACGC